ACAGGGCATGAGAAACGATGCGGTCGACGGCAGGTGATGATAAAGACTTGGTACGAATGGTGGTCAGCTTCTCTTAAAGTGTGGTTTGGTAATGGTCGATCATGACCTGCGTAACCTTAGAGAGTCATGTCCGATTGAGGGATCTAATATTCGCGTCGACAGCTGAGGTTTTCATTGCTGGACTGATAAAACTATCCAACTCAGAGACTTTGCGTTTGAAGGTAAACGCTGGTTGGCCTTGCTGTTGAGGGGTATGAATTGCAAAATGGAGGCACTGCAAAACTTGTAAGAACACCTTCACAAAGGGTTCTTCCTCCTTATGAGTGGGGACTGGTTGGCGTCGGTGGGCTGGTAGTCGTTTCTGTTGTTGGTCAGGTCGATGGTTACCTCTGGATTGGTAGGCTGTGTTGTAGGTAGGTCGGCGATGGGGTGGGATATAGCTGGATGGGTTGGTTGGTGGTCGGCGATTGGTAGGTGGTAGAGGTCGATGGAAGACAGGGCCGTTGTAGGGTACGTGATATTGGTTTGGTTGACGATTAGTGTTTCTATGTCTGGCTTCTTGCCAGTGGTTGTTGTAGTTGGGGAGCATAATGAAAATAACTTGAGGTTAGAAAGGGAATGTACAGCGGATGTAACAGGAGGAACCTGTATATGCTAGCGTGAAAATGTGGGGATCAAATTATGCAAATAAGTCAAACTGGGTTTGGGGATATATAAAGTAAGATGAAAGTTATGATGAAAAATGAAAAAATATATATTTAGGTGATAAATAACGCTAACTAGTAACAATGATGTGAAAAATTATAACAAGTAAAACAAAAACTTACGCAATTGACACGAACCGGTTTTCGAAATATTATCCTTTTTCAAGTGTCGAGGAAAGTTTATCAGGGAAGTGGGCGTATCTTGCTAGGCAACCACTTGTTGTTACTGTCGACGATTAGTGGCTGTTAATAATGATGTATGTGGCTGTTGACTATGATGTTATCGTCTTTTGTTGGTGGTGTTTGTGGCTGTTAATTCTAGTTAATGACTGTTTGTGACTTATGATTCATGTGGTTTAGAATGTTGATGATGGTGTTAGTGGCTGTTAATAATGATGTATGTGGCTGTTGACAATGATGTTATCGTCTTTTGTTGGTGGTGTTTGTGGTTGATAATTCTAGTGTTAATGACTGTTTGTGACTTATGATGCTTATGTTTTAGAATGTTGATAATGGTGTTAGTGGCTGTTAATAATGATGTATGTGGCTGTTGACTATGATGTTATCGTCTTTTGTTGGTGGTGTTTGTGGATGTTAATTCTATTGTTAATAACTGTTTGTAACTTATGATGCTTGTGTTTTTTAACGTTGATGATGTTGTTGGTGACTAGTATTAATGGTGGTTGTGTCAGTTGACAATGACATTATCGACTATTGATAGTGGTGCTTTTTGCTGTAAATTGTGGTGTTAATGACTGTTTGTGACTTATGATGCTTGTGGTTTTGAATGTTGATGATGGTGTTGGTGACTGTTAATAATGGTGTTTGTGGCTGTTGACAATGATATTATCGACTATTGATGGTGGTGATAATTGCTGTGAATGATGTTGGTGATAGTGTTTGTGATATTTTATAATGGTGTGTTCGATTTCTGATGTTAGTATTCGTGGCTGATGATGATGTCTCATCGAGATAGTTATTTAAACAATTTCCAATGCATTCAGAGTATTAAAAATCACAACAGAATAAGTTTTCCGAGATATTACTAACAATGTGAATGAAATCGATTGCATTGGGACATTGAATAACTGCAGTTGGAAAAGTATCTTGCTATTTATGCTTATTTTGTACTACTTTTATTCATTAAAAAACTACAATTTTAAATTAGATCTTCTTGTTTTTCAGCACGTAATATCTTCTCTCACTCCTCTCATCGATTCATTGGATTAGGGTGCTATTCTCGGAGTCGGAAGACTTAGAAAAGTAAGTTAGTTAATATATTTTCTAGATACAAGGCCAAGCTCATCCGTTTTTAGATCCTCGCTCCTCGTATCGTTTTGAAGAAAACAGGTCAGAATATGAGTATTTTGCAGTCTAAATATATTAGACCAAACTTTCGTCCGTTTTTTTTTGGGGGGGGGGGGGGGTCTTCATTTAGGAAATTTAGGTTGTAACATTGCGATTAAGTAATGTTACGAAAGCACAGGCAAAGGTATGTAGGCGTAACCTCTAGTGAGAGTGTATTGTTTGTGTAGTTAGTTTGAATAATAATATAGAATATTTGAAGTGAAAACCCATAATGTTCCGAATCTGAAATATTTTCAAAGAATACTGGTACCAAGGAAACATTAATAACCATGTAAATTATATCATTTAGAGTTTAACGACAGCCCTCTTGAACATTCATCCGTTTGATGAAACCGCCAGGCAATCAAATTCCTTCCCTTTTCAACGCTGAAAATATGTGACGCGAACATAAGTTGCATTCAGTGTCTAAAACAACTCTTGTTCGAGACACAAAATCCCAACATTGGAGAGGGGAGAATTTTACTTGGCTGGTGGTGTCATCAAACAGAGGCCCGTCTTTGGACCTTAACTGAAGTGGCTAAATTAAAAATAAAAGCTAATAAGAAAACAAACCTCCCTCTGGCTTCAGTGTTACTGACAAGAGCTAGAGAATAGTCTGGAAATGATGTGTATAAACCCATACATAAACTAATCGGGACTTTTGGATTAAGAAATTATTGAAAGAGATTGTTATTTATAGAGTTGGCATTGGAAGAATTAATTATAAAAACTATAGACCTCACTTTTATATTTATAGAGAATGGCACAAGAAAAGATAATATCGACTGATTTGAACTTGGTCAAACTGTATCAAGAGATACTGACGGAAGTTCTTCAAACCAATTTTACGATCCCAGAGTCGACCATAGACGAGATTCACAACAAAATTTTACACGAAATCAAAGAGAAATGTAGACCACTAGTTGAACGTGGGGTGTTGTTTGAAAGAGATATTTCAAGAAGATTAAATTTTCTTGTCACGCCAATTTTACAAGAAGCAAAGCGGGTGAACATGAATAGAAAATATAGTTATAATGGTTCTAAGTGTGGAGGTTTATGTACGAGGATATATAATCCAAGAGTGCAAAGCTGGACAGTTTTAGAAGGCGATGTTAACACAGCCTTTAATGATATACGATCTTGGATGAAAAATATGGATAATTTAGATTCGTCTGTTATTTATGGAAGTTGGGGTGAAGCTGGTACATGCTTTGATAATATCGAACGATATCTGCGATTTCGAGAACTGTTTCCTAAGATTTTATATGATGTCCCTTACGCCCCTACTCCTTCCAGTGTACATCCAGGAAATGGGGCGGACGTGGTATTTACACCTATTCATAGTGAACTTTACATGCACAATCCAGAAAAAGTTGTACCTGCGGAGGATATTGTATTAGGCCTTAAAACCTGGAGAATTTTAATAGACGAGCATGGTATTAGACGCACAGACAGCCATAAAGGAATAACATTTGATTTTCCAACTTGTGATTCATCGTTCGTTGATGTTGAAATGAAAGCAAATATTGAATATTCTTTGACAAAGCAACTGAAAGTGCAAACATGGGCTGTAGTGCTTTCACTTGGCATCAATAAGGTTTTTGATAAGTCAGTTTCGAAGAAAATTTCAAAGATATTAAAACTTCGTGTTCGTATCCATAGCGATGCCTTGACATTGAAGGAGCCAATTCGTGTGTCTATTAGTTCAGACCAAGCGAGAAAATTCATGGAATCTTACAATAAATTTGAACAAATAATGAAAGTTACAAACGATAACCAGTCTGCAGCTTTACCACCTGGTGCTGCACTTACTCATCTTCGTGAGCGTTATCCGTGGATTGAATTTATTGAAACTTTACGACGGGGTGGAGTAGAGGCCGCAATGGCTATGGTCAAAAAGAAACCCGAAGTAATACGAAATTTACCTGCTAATGAAAACAATATTATGGGAGTTGCTTTCGAAGAAATTCAGATCGCCAAGATGATGGCTGAGATTGTGAGAAATGGATCACCTATCGAACTGATTGCGGGAGATGGGTTGGGAAGATTCCAGTATAACGGAGTGGAAATGCCAACACCAGAATATGCGGATGCTGTGTTCCATAACGTAGTAAAAGATCAATATTTTGCTGTCCAGTTTAAATACAGCGATGATCCACGAGGCTTAGTCAATATGATAGAAGAATGGAATGTCAAATGGAGTGGTCGTACTCCAGACCCAAATCTGCCAGAGCCCCTTCTTCATGAAAATGTAGTCTTGATAGGTCCAAATGATGTCGTTGGTGAAGTTACTAATGGTAATCTAGGTGAAAGAATTGTTCGCCAATTTGAGCAACATGAGCAAATAAGATACACACCAGATGATGTCAGTGTTATGAAACAATTTCTTGATGATAATTCTGCCCTTTTAAAAGACATTGTGAATTCCGAAGACTACAACAAACATAAACGTGTTCAAGAAGATGTGAAAAAAAATAAGAATACATTAAACACAAAAGAAAAAAATCTGTCGAGTCTTCAGGAGAAATTAATAAATCTAAAGCAAGCGAAACTTGACAAAGGATCAGGTGGAAATACTGAAGGAATAGATAAGGGAATATCATCCATGGAAAAGAATATTAATGAGAAGAAAGCTGAAATATCGAAGGCGAAAAACAATCTGGAAATAGCAGAAAACAAACTACAAATATCCGATAAAAAAATGAGAACGAAGATAGAAGACAGAATAACTGCAAAATATCGCAAAGAATATATAAAGAAAGCTGCTTTGAAAGAAGTTGCGCTCAATGTTTTAGTAGCTGCCGCAGTAGATGGTATTACAGCTTTGATATGCACTGCAGGCGATGAGTACACTAGATACAAAAACGGTGAGATTACCTTGAAACAATTCACTGGGAAAGTCCTCAAATCCACTGCTATAGCAACAGCGAAAGGTGCAGCATTTGGACTTGGATTAAGCAGTTTTAATTTGGCCGCCCAATATGCAGTAGCTAATGGATCTGTTTACGCTGGTACTTTAACAACTGTGGCTAAAGCCGCTGGACCCGTATTGATGGTTGGGATGTTTCTGAAGCAGTCTTATGATATCGTAACAGCTTGGAATAATGGAGACTTGACAACTGCTGGTATGAAAAAGGCATTTGCGAGGACTGTCACTGCAGGAGGGTTAAGTATCGGAGGTATGGCAGCTGCCGGATCGTTGATAGGAGGTCTTGCTGGTCTATTTGTTGGAGCTGGATTAGCCATCGCTATTGGTGTTGGAGATTATTTTCTTGGAGATAAATTATGGAGTTTGTTTTTTAAAGAAGATGAAGAAGAACAGGCTGCTTTGATTATTAAAAAGATAGAGAAAATTAGGACAGAAGTTATTTCGTCAGCTTATTCCTTATTTGGACTCACAGAGTATGCAACTCTTGCAGAAGTAAAAGAATCTTATAAAGTTGCCATACTGAAATACCATCCAGATAAAGGTGGTGATGCTGAAATATTCAATGCTGTGCGGGTGGCTTATGGCTTAATTTGCTCGATTAATAACAATTCGGTTTAAAAAAAAACCTCGGTAATCGCCAAAAGATCCATTGAGTTTTTGAAATAGGAACATAACATTAGTCAATAAGACAATATTCTTTAGAGTGACCACATCCAAATATTTGGCCCAATCGATATTAATTACACGATACTCTATGAAATTGAACTTTGTATACATTATCTTTTCGATTTTTCCGATCCCTTTATACGCCAGCTTTTGCACGTATATTGTCGTCACCCATTTTGCGTCCTTCCAAGGTTAATTTAGATTTTATAGTTAAAGCTACACTGAAATTTGCTGTTGTGTGGTCGCATAGCCTTTTGGGCCACCGCTCCTCAGAACTCAATTTAAGAAATTCTACATTAATACATATTTACATTGAGCAAAAGTGACGAATCAAACGCCGGATTGCCACTCTCATATATATTCCGGACACAGGACCATTTAACCATTTTCAGAGATCAATCGACCTCGATTGAAATTTGAGCGTTCTTTGCCATGTGTATCAAAAAGGAAGATTATCTTTTTTATACACATGAAGGGTTGTATATTGTCGTCGGCCCTATCCGTCGGTTGGTCCGTCAACATTTCCTGTGTGCAAAATACAGAGTACAGTGTTCATCTGATTTTGATTTTGATATTGATAAGATCTCGGTCAAGATCGAATTTGACGATTTTTTTCGATGGACTGATTTTGAGTTATTGCCCTTGACTTTTTAAAATCGCGCCAATATTTGTTTGTGAACAGAATAAAAGCTACAATTTTCAATCGATTTAAATGGAACTTGATGTTTTCATTGCATCTGGTAAGATCTCGGTTCAAATTTGACGATTTTTCGATCAATGGTTTTTGAGTTATTACCCTTGACTTTGTAAAATCTCGTTAAAATTTTGTTGTGGCCAGAAGCTTCAATTTTAATAGATTTCGATTAAATATGGTATGAGCATTTGAAAAAATAATTTCGCTGTCTAGTTCGAATTTGACCATTTTTCGACGGGCGGATTTGGAGTTATTGCCCTTAACTCAGTAAAATTGAGTCCAAATTATTATGTTGGTAGGCACAAGAGTCGCTGCAATTTTCAATGAAATTTGATGAAACTTGATGTGAGCGTTATCATTGATAAGTTCCCGGTCAAATTTGAACTTGACGATGTTTCGAAGAACGGTTTTTGAGTTATTACTTAGCCAAAACACGTCAAAATTTGTTCCATCCGATTTAAGTGACATTAGTTTACCGAACGGTGTTTGAGTTATTGCCTTGAAACATGTCAAATTTGTTAATGAACTCAATAGAACCTGCAATTTTCATTGGATTTGCATCTTGGTGTGACCATTTGAATTGATAAGGTCATGAGTGAGGAATTGATTACTTTTGCAATGAACATTTTGTATTGACAGATTAACCATTATGATTCATGTTGCTCTTTATTGAGTCTAAAAATTTAACAAAGCTGCTGTGTGGACACATGTTTACCTTACCTATTTCTTGTTAGATGTGTATTTAAAGGAATTGTGCGATTTTCAAACTGTTCAACTAATTCTGAAAACATTTATTTTCAAGACCCAAAATCACTCCCCGAAAATGGCGAATCATGGACTCTGATAAGAATTTCTTGCTTTCTTGTAAATAAGTAATGCTGTTTTTGCCTCCCTGATAAAGATCTGACAACCGACCAATTCCATTAATGCATCTAAAACCATACACCATTGCCCCTTACGATATTACTTGTCCCTCAAACCAATCAAATCTGGCTGGCTACGGAACTGTAAGCACCATCAGACAAATCTTTATTAAGTTAAATTTTATTTATATAATACCGATTGTCACAATCTGGCATTAAATGCATAAGAAACTGTCAGCAGAATATCCGACCAAAGGCTCTAAAGCTAAGGACTATAGTCAGATCGCAATATTATTATCACTTGACAGATTGTAAAAATCGGAAGTAAAGAGGTTCGCAGTAATACACAACGAAATCGTTTATTACTTACCGAGAAAGATTCAGCTTCATTGAAACTGCTGACAATAGTCAAATGTCACTTGGTTTACCACCATGTAAGAAACGTGGCTTCAACCGATCTACTTTTCTAAACCAGAAATACGTGACGCTCAGACGCATGTAATTATATGATATTTATAAAAATCGATTGATTTTGTCTGGTGTAGTGATATAAAGACAGTTTGCTTCACTGTAGGCATAAAATTTGACTTTATAAGGGACCACACAATAAATACGTAACGCAAAATGGACAGTTTTAACAACCTCCCCCTCCCCCGGTAATATCTTGTAACATGACAGGTACTACCTCCTTGTTACATAACACTGGTTCATACTATTAATACTTCTTGGTTTAGTATAGACCTCATGTTAGTTGAATATAGTGTAAATAAAGTCTTGTTAATATCTTAGCTGTTATCTCATTTGGAAAGTAAATTTATAGCCGATAGAAGTTCGTATCCAGTTTCTTACAAACGACTATACAGTTTGTAAGAATAATCTTTGCAATTTGCAAGTAGAACCCAATAAACAAGTCTGCCAACAAGTAGCTTGTCTACAGTTGAATAGCATGTCTACAATACCAAAAAATCTAATTTGTGCAAGATATTGTTGATTTAATCAAACACACATTATATAATACAATTCTGTCATAAACTATCGCCTCTATCTTGTTCACATGTCAAATAAAAAAACCTCAAATTCCGATGATCAAAAAATTGACAAATTCAAACTTGACCATCATGATCTCATGATTATAGATGATCACACAAAATTTCATTTAAATTGGATGAAAACTGTAGTCTCTATTGTCTTCCTTGAGTGGCATTTAGTAATTGATGATATTAACACGAACACGAATTATATGGATAACAATTACTTTAATAAATAACTTGCGACGTTTCGACGATGATTCTTTCGTCTTTATCAAGCAATGATACAAAATAACAAGGCATTCAGAATATATAGTGTGAGGCAACAATGACAAGGATTAAAACAATAGGAATACATTAATCAATTATGTAAGGGTAATCACAAGGGTGTGTGATTAGAGAAACCATTAAAAGGATGTAGTAAATTACTTCTTGATTATAATGGTAGGGTGGTAGTGATTATAATCAAACAATGTGATGATAAATAAAACATAAAAAACTTGACTAGTAAAATACCGGTGACAATCTAAATACAAAATTTAGGGTGGGGTTATTTAATTAAAAGGTCATAGGCATGTGATAAATAAACACCTGTATCTCTGTTGAGTTGCGGTTGGTATCTCCTTATGTGAATGGCTTCGGTCAATTGTCTCGTTTTCTTGATGGTTTGGTGTTTAGTAAGGGCTTCGATATTGCCAATTTTGTGTCGTCGGTTGTTTTTGATGTGTTCAGAAACTGAGGATGTTTGGGTAAGTGCTAGTGATAGGTGTTCTTGCGTTCTGAGATTGAGAGGGCGTCTTGTTTCTCCAACATATTATTCATTGCAGGAGCAATTCCATATGGGAAGTTACAGATTGGTGTGTTTTTGGACAGTCGATTAGGACAAATAATGATGTTGAGGGCTGGCATACGCGCCTCAACCAGCGGGCTAAGCGTGGTGCCATCCAATTCTATATGTTGATCCCGCTACTTTATAAGGAGGCTGAAATGGTAACAATGACCTGCCGACTAATGTCCGAAAGGAAGATAAAACGGTTACAGTCAAAACGTGCCAAAACACAACAGGCCCAAATTATGGAAATTTGGAAGAATTACGAAAATGGAGAGTTATCTGTGAATAAGCTTTTAAAGGAAATCGGCCGGGTAGTAGCGCGCTAATAGATCTGTTTGTTATGTTGAATATATGATGTAAATAAATGAATTATAAACCCTGCTTAATTATCTCCCTTCAATAAGAATTCTCTTCACCAACGAAACGTTAACGAGTCGATTTATAAAATTCTGTCGACGAGTTGACTTATGAAATTCTGTCGACGAGTTGAATTCCGTCGACGACTTGACCGATAAAATTCTGTCGACGAGTTGACTTATGAAATTACGTCGACGAGTCGAATTCCGTCGACGACTTGACTGATAAAATTCTGTCGACGAGTTGGCGTGTCGACGATGGCGACCAAAAGGTTTTCAGTAGTTTTTTTTTTTAAATTTTACGATAGCTTTAATCTTACTACGAAACGAAACCTCTTTCAGGAGGATATTTGATCGAATGCATCTCCCTTCTTTCCCTATATATCCTCATTATTTCGTGATTTTCTCTTAGGTTTTCTCTGCGATATTTTTCGTGTCGGAGAAAATAGCCAGACTGAATAGAACCACTTACATTATAATTGTCCCAAAAATTTATGATAGAATTCAAAGCGCCTCATTCATATAGATTAAGAGGGACAATAGAGGTAATAGGGTAATAACAAGTGATTAAGGGAGACAATAGATAAAAGGGTATAAACAATGCGAAGTCATTGAGCAGGTACCGAGCAAACATAAGCTAATGAGATATGCCGAGGAAGGCACTGGGAGGAAAATAGTAGGACGATGGGAAGAAGACATGTAAAGAGTGGGGAGGGGGGGGGGTGGGGGGGGGGGATTAGTTTGGCCATATCATGGAAATGTACTGTCCATTGTCGCGGTTGATTTCTGGATCTCTGAATAGCTAGAGCTTCTCGAATTCGTCGTTGTTGCTTGTTAGGGAGGGGAGGCTATGATGGATTGGTCTTGCCATTGGATTTTGTGGTTTGGAAACTTTATGAGGTGTTCAGATAAGGCCGATTTTCCATCTTCGTTTTTGGTGGAGGTTACATGTTCTTTCATGCTAATGGGGAGGGGTCTGCATGTTTCACCTATGTAAATGACTCCACAGTTGCATGGTATCTCATATACCACTCCACTGGGGTCAGGTTTCTTGTTGGATCTAGGTCTGCCGTTAGCTGCCAGAAGTGATTTGATGTTGGTACCTGAGGTGAAATATAAATCTATGGATAGTTGTTGTTTCAGGAGGCGTCTTATTTTGTAGTTGGTAGGACCTATGAAGGGGAGGCCTATTCTGGATAGAGGAGCAGCTGGTTGTTTGGTTGTGGTTGGTACTTCTTTATCTTGGGTGGTTTACTTGAGGCTATTGCGGATAATCGAGTTAGTTAGCTGGGTGGGGTAGTCATTGTTGCTAGTGAACACGTCTTTCAAATGGTTAATTTCGTCATTAAGGAATTCCGGGTCACAAATGGATCTGGCTCTGCGGGTAAGGGAAGATATTATGCAGGATATTATGCTAGTTTTGGTGTTTGGCTTTATAATGGCTCGATATTATTAGTTGAAACCTTTGGAATATGTAGGAGACATATTTCTCTACAATTGGGCGTTTATTTTACTCAGTGCACTATTTTTTTAAAAAGTTTCTAAAAAGCATAACGAACTTTAAAACATTACATTATGTTTCTACATATTTCCAACGGCTGGATTTTTTTAGTTAAAACTTTCAGGTCACATCTTTCTAGATTTTGGTGTATAGTTTCCACAAGTTTGAGCAAAAAAATTTTTCGACGAGCAAAAAAAAAAAAGAGAAATGTAACTTTTTTGAGTAGGTCGAAAAACATTTTGCTCAAATTTATGAAAACTATACACCAAAATCTAGAAAAACGTGTTCCTTAACGTATATGAAAGTTGTAACTATTCCGAGAAGTATCAGACGCTGAATACACCCCGCTCTTATTAGCTGGGGATCCCGAAATGAGTCCAAAAATACGCTAGATAAAACTTAGATTTGTACCACATACATCATATTTCAGGGTAATTCATAGATCACACAGGGCAAACAATGGGCCATGTCAGACAAACTTGCCTGCCGCATTTGGCCCTCCGAAAAGGGCCTAAAAAACGCTTATTTCATTGAGAGTTCAGAAATTACAAAGTGTTTAATGCCGATCAAATTACCCGCTGCATAATGCTCGACAGACACGCCCAAAGGTTGATCCAACACTGTGCTATGACCAACTTGACCAAGATATAACATCAAATGTGCTGTCTGAAAATACTTTAAATGAAAGATGACAACCTGACTCTTACCAGACACACTGTCTGTTTCATTAGGCCTGCCATACAGCCAAAAAGGGCCTAAACATGTTGGCTAGTGGTACAAATAGAAACAAATCTAACTAATTTACTTACCAGTTTGGGGAACAAATTCGACTCTTTCTTTTTCATTCTTGGTCGATATAAACGTTGTTGATCCTCCGTCAAATCCCTGAAAATTGAAAAAATATAACCACTGAAACTAACAGATAATTGTGTCTGCTGCATCCCAACGGTATCTACGGTGGCCATTCCCGCTACGCTTGACAAAAACAGCTAGGCAGCTTGTGAATAAATCGGACTACTTTCGTCCTCCATTGTTGGCATCTGACCAGTCTCCCGTCTACGAGTATACGAGTCTTCAAGGGAGATATCTAACATCTGACGAATTATATTTTGTAACGTGATGTTATTGTCAGGCGTAGCGAGAATGGCCGCCGTATATACGATTGTGCTGCATCCGAGTGCCCCGGAATTGGGGGCATTGCCTAGAAATGACTGCCTAAATACGCCTCTGATGGAAATCATGAACCCAATCGCCCCAACCCAACCCATGAGTAGTAAAAGAATTCAAAATAATCGGTAAAACTATCATAATGGACTCACAGGGCCATTTTCTATTAAAACTTAAAATTATGACAGACGATAACCTTTACTCGGATAGAATTAACAAGACATGTGATTTGGGCCAAATAATTTTATTTCAGGAAAATGAAAACAAACTTTAAGTATGTTATTTTACATACCACAATATTTATAAGATATGAAAACCGCGAAAGTTATCTGTAAGGCCCAAATCACAAGTTTAATTAATTTTAAGAAAAAGGAAATAATAAGGCAAAATATAAATCTTAATTATAATGAATGGAGCGTTGAAGTAATAGGCAGCAAACAAGACATATTGCTCTTAAAGTATTTAACCCAGTATATGACTTAACATTTGTCGTGTTAAGTCCAATTGATGAACATAATTGGGTTTGATATAAGTTTGGTATGCAGATGAACGCCAGTTACCATGAATACGTATGGAGTCCAAATCTATTCCCAATGAATGTGCAAATGTGCAGCCACCTCTACGACAGCCATGCATCGAGAACTGCTATTCAAAATAGTGTAAGTCACTGGGTAGAGGAACCCTTGATTGGGATAAACGAAGGCTGGCGCGCTTAAAGGGGCAGAAATGCGAGTTATCATTTGAACTAGTGCGATAACAGGACACAGGGAATGGTTGTGATTTTTATGCAAAGGAATAATGTGAGCGTTTTCATGGTAAGTGTCCGTCTTAGAAGAATTAATTTGCAATAATGCTGCATTGCTAAAAATTCTGATAGTCTGCCTACGCAAAAAATGGCCATCATTGTTGTTAGCACTTTTGACAGAATTTGGAACCAAATGTGATCTGCGTAAGAAAGAGAAAAAGGCTACTAATAATATAGTTAAACAAGTGAGTTGAAAGTCATCATCAAATTCGATAAGCATGGACATGTGCTGTAACATAAAAGGAGTAATAGGAAGTTTTTGCACTGCTGGAATGCAAACAGTCCTGCGGAGACCGGATGAAACATTTTGAACTTCCAAATACTTGGTAGGCTCGAGACTGTAACCATGACAGATGTGCAGTAACTTAATGCTACTTAAAATAACTAGATAATAATTATAGGAATGACAATTTCTGGACATAATTTGAATAAAGCAAGATAAAAGATGTGGTGTAGCTGGGACAATAGTTAAACCGAAATAAGCCCAAAATGTGAGGTAGGCCTTCCAATAAGAACGTATGTTGTTTAATGTGCCTGGAGCATAAGCTTATCTCTGGGTCATTAATGCATCAAATTCAAGTACCGACCCTTGAATACGAGTATAGTTCGAAAACTATTAGAAATGTAAAGTTGAAATTTGAACTGCAGGTCCCCACCTATCTGAAGTTACAAATTGTTACAAATTTCAAGTTCCTACTCTGCCTGCTGCAGCACTTTTAGTCTCAGACATTTTCCCCAAACCAAAATAAAAACCATTTTCCACTTGAAATTGAGGGTGCAACTTAAAAGTCGATTTTCTCAAAAATTTTCAAAAATTTCGAATTTCTGTTTTCGACTGAAATAGATAGCAGACATGTAAAACTACCGTTTGCAATAAAAATTATTCCTCTCGGGCCAAAACTGACCGAGTAATGGCCATTTTAGTGTGGGGTGGGGGTCTGCAGGCAGCCTATACAGTCTTGTTGCATAGGTTGGGGTGAAGACCAAAACTTTAACAGGCTGTCGCTCAATAACTATCAGAGATGTAAGGTTAAGATTTGAACTGCCGGTCCCTACCTATCTGAAGTTGTTATGTTGCAAATTTCAAGTTCCTACCGTGCAAACTCTGCCTTCTGCAGCACTTTTAGTCTCAGACTTTTTCCCCACTTTTCTCGAAAATATTCAATAAATCCGAATTTCTCTTTTCGACTTAAATACATAGCAGACATGTTAAACTACCGTTTGCAACAAAAACCATTCCACTCGGGCGTAAAATGACCGAGTTATGGCCATTTTAGTGCGGATGGGGGTTGGCAGGCAGTCTATACAGTCTCTATACAGCCTTGTTGGACAGGTTGGGGTGAAGATCAAAACTTTGCACTGCAGGTCTCTACCTATCTGAAGTTGTTACGTTGCAAATATCAAGTTCCTACCGTGCAAACTCTGCTGCTGTAGCACTTTCAGTCTCAGATTTTTTCTCAAAACCAAAATATAAACCATTTTCCACTTGAAATGGAGGGTGCAACTTCAAAGTCGATTTTCTCGAAAGTTTTCAAAAAATCAGAATTTCTGTTTTCGACTGAAATAGATAGAAGACATGTTAAATTACCGTTTGCAACAAAAATGATTCCTCTCTGGTCAAAACTGACCGAGTAATGGCCATTTTAGTGTTGGATTGGGGTCTGCAGGCAGCCAATACAGTCTCTATACAGTCTTGTTGTACAGGTTGGGGTGAAGTTCTGGCCATTTTAGTGAGGGGGTGGGCGTCGGCAGTCCGCCTATAGAGTCTAGTTGCACTGGTTGGGGTACAGACCAAAACTTTAACAGGCTGCCGTTCGAAAACTATCAGAGATGTAAAGTTGAAATTTACACTGAGGGTACACACCTATCTCAAGTTGTTATGTTCCAAATTTCAAGTTTCTATCTTGAAAACTCTGCCAGTTACAGCACTTTTGGTCTCAAACTTTTTCCCCAAACCAAAAAATATGCGATTTTCCTCTGGAAAATTCGGGTGAAACTTTAAAGTCGATTTTCTCGAAACTTTTTCAAAAATCCAAATTTCTGTTTTCGACTGAAATAGATAGAAGACATGTTAAACTTTCGTTTGCAACAAACATTATATCTCTGGGGTCAAAATTGGCGATGTTCTGGCCATTTTAGTGAGGGAGTGGGGGTCGGCAGTCCGCCTTTAGCGTCTAGTTGCACATTTCTAATGCATGCTATTGTTCCAAAGATGTAATTCTCTCATAAAATATAATAAGGTTTAATATTTAAACACACATTTACCTCCACAAAATTTCCCGTAAAAGATGGCTCACACTTCGAAACTGAAAATTTCCATTCCCAATTGTAAATGAAACAGTTTCGGATAGCAGATGTCTTCCAATTCATACAAAAATATTCGGCAAAAGGCGACTTTTGTCATCATTATGGCCAGTCAGTAACAATCACAGATATCTTACGATACACTTTATTATAAGATATAATAACAGCATTGTAAAACTGTTTCTAGTTGAGGAGATAAAACATGTTTAATTCACTATCAATGTGAATATTAAGTTAAACATGAGGTCGATCATGACTTCAGTTCACTTGAAGGCAACAGAATATTTATACCTGTGAAACATGTGCAGTGCGGTCCGACTAAAAAGCGCAAACAAGGGCAAACGAGCGCAGACGAGTGTAAACAAGCGCAAGCAAATGTAAACAAGCGCAAACAAGGGGAAAATTTATATAATATCGGTTGATATTAAAAGAAGCGATTGCCTACTATGCGTGTTGTATATTCTGTAGTCAAATGGGCCTACATTGTATAAAAGGAACAGATTCGCCATTTTCCAGGGTTGGAAAATACCTCAACTCAAAGTCTGGAGAAAAACGAGTCGTATTTTTAACTTTCTAAGGCAGATTATTCTGGACTCATATTTCGACAGTGAGCTGTAGAAACTATTACTGATTAGCTTAGTTACAAACTTTCCGTTTCATACTAGGTACATTTGATAAAACGGATGGCGAATCTGAAACATTGCTTTTTCATAACTAAGTCTATAAGAGTGTAATTTTCTTTAAATAGTTGATAAATATGTTTTAAATTAGATTTTCCGAACCAAAGATTGTTCAAACATCACTGATAATATTGTAATAGCTAAAATAATTATGACAAGCCCCTTAATGCCTTAACGTTTTTAACAATGAGCGCTTATTAGCTAGAGGCGGATGATGCAATTGAATCAAGCAATGACAGTTTCAGTTCATTTCAAAGTTTAATGAAAAGACTCTTGAGGATCACGGAAGAATTTGAATCTTCGCCCGATTTTATCACATGATAACGTATTGGTTATTTCACAATGAGGCAATGATAATAACAGACTCAGAATTCATTCCTTTGATAATCGTTTTGCCAACAAATACTGTGGGATATCTAGGTATGATATCGACCGGGCAATATCTTAATGTAACAAGTAACATTGTATTTCTTTGTTACCCAGAGTTGTCTGGCAGATGTTCTTTAAAGGGACAGATTCCCTTTTTTCGGGGGTTGATTTTTGGTATTGAATGTAATGATGTGAAAAGTCTTCAGAAGTACTAGAAATGTATGAAAATCACACAATTCCTATTTAAATACTGAAGGCTCTATACTCCATATAACAACAAAGTAAAATATATCTTCTATAAACAGCCAGCCGGAAGTCAAAGGGGTTAAAATGGGACATGGGCAATTAGGTTTAACTAGGGTTGGGCCATTCTAGATTTCACAAACCTCTTTCGTATACTCAAAATGATAGGAAAGATTTAGCAATGTAATCGCCTTTAATCGTCCATCAAAGATTTGTACACTGACCGCGAATGGCTCCAATGGTGTTAAGATGTGGTCAAAGTAGATGAAATAAGCTATGCGCATTCTGATTAATTGCGGATAAAATTCATTACTATAAATGAATTGATAGAAAAGTTAGTGTGCGACTCCACAATGAAGAATTTTTCAAACAGCTTTAATGACCTATCAAAGATTTGTACACAGATATTTAAGAGGTAGAGAGGATCATTGAAGTCCATGTAGGTTTTCGATTTCTTGATGTCCTGTTCTCTTTATGAGAAGATTGTTGCATTTTTAAAACAGGCCAATAATTTAAATTTTTTCGTCAGGCTTTGTTCCAGTTTTATGTATTTGTTCAGTGTTCTTGTTTTGTTGTTTTAGTGCCACATTGTGGTGTGATATTGTTTTTATACGTCCACGTTATAATGTTGACGTATATTGTCGTCACCCATGTCCGTCCGTCTGTCCACAATTGGCTTGTGAACGCGATAGAGACTACAGTTTCCATCTGATTCGAATGAAATTTGGTGTGATCATTTATATTGATGAGATCTTGGACAAGTCCGATATTCACGATTTTTCGATGAATGGATTTTTAAGTTATTGTCCTTGACTTAGCCAAAACGCGTCAAAATTGGCCTGTGAACGCGATAGAGACTACAGTTTCCATCTGATTTGAATGAAATTTGGTGTGATCATTTATACTGACGAGATCTTGGACAAGTTCGATATTCACGATTTTTCGATGAACGGTTTTTGAGTTATTACCCTTGACTTATGAAAAACGCGTCAAATTTGGTTGTGAACACATTTAAGACTACAGTTTTCATCCAATTTAAATGAAATTTGTTAATATTTATAATGATGGATGAGATTTTTGCGATTATGAAAAACGCGTCAAAATTTGTTTGTGAACACAATAGAGAGTACAGTTTTCATCCGATGTAAATGAAATTTAGTATGATCATTTATAATGATGAGATCTTAGTCAAAATTAAATTTGAGAATTTTTCGATCAATAGAATTTGGGTTATAACTTAGTAAAAACGCATCAAAATTTGTTGATATAATAATGTGTTTGTTTAAATCAACAATATCTTGCACAAATTAGATTTTTGATGATTTGACACATATTGGTGACCGCCTTTGATATACTGAAAATGTATCAGGAAAGTGGGCGTATCTTGCTAGGCAACCACTTGTTTAGCCTTTGGTAGTTGTAGCCCATTTTAATGTATTTTTCTGTAATATTGTTTTATATGCGCATAAATGGTTTAGGGGCTGTGATGGTACGACCGAACTATATATATAAATATCCGTCTTCCTGAATATATCGGATCTGATTTAAATAAATGGGTCTAAAAAACCGCACCTGAGGTGCAGAGAATACCAACTTAACAGGGCCTATAAATTTCCTGTATCTACACCAGTCGACAACTTTCAAAATCAGAGTCTCAAATAGAGGCAGATGTTTCAGTCTAAAATGGAAAATGTCAACACACCTTGTTAAAATGTCAATATAACTATTACAGATTAGAAAAATGAAATTATTAAAATAAGGGTCAATTGAGAAAACGAAAGAAAATGTGTATAAATCGACGGATGCCCGTTAAAAATCAACGGCTGTCCATTAGGGGTACTTGATACTGATAAGTCACCGCATGCCTTGGGATAGGTGATCCTGCTGTACTCTAGATAGATTGATCTAGATTCAGGACAGTCCTTCAGTAATCTCGAGTCTTGCGTACATTCATAAGTCGCTGTGATGGACCTGAAAATGAATTGAAATAACGATATTGTTTACTTTCTAAAATCAAGACAAGGTATGGATAGCAAAAAAGCATCTATTCTGCTGCATGAAACCATATATTATATCTACATAAATATCGGGTGGTCCCAGAAAAAACGACAAAGGGGCATTATAATTTTTGAACAAGGAATTTTTAAAAAAAAACTGTTATATTCAAAATTGTGAAAAGAGGTCTAATATCTCTATAATTACGAGGTTACAATATAATGGTCTTGTCTTATATTTAAAGAATTATATTGAAATGAAAAGGTATTACCGTTTTGGTTTTTTTTTTTGCCCACCCGATACTTACACAGAGTACGTATTTTACATTGCATTTATACTTTTAATATATAACGCTTCTATGTTAAGGAAAACAGATTTTACCTGCAGCGATATTCTTTCCATTCTACAAATGTAGCATTTATGCTCAATCGACCGAGTTTCGCTTCTGATTGGCAGTCACCGATTTCTTGACCTGATCGTTTCAAACAGGTGATATTCATGGCTAAAATGACAATTATAAAATAGAGCTAAAGCTGTTTTCCGTCTTTAAACCTTATTAAAGGACACTTCGGCATTTTCTGGTGTTGATTTGTGTCTTGAAAATATATAAATAGTCTTCAGAAGTACTAGAAATGTACTAGTAATAGAAGTTTGAAGTATTTTTAAAGGGATTTTGCGATTTTCGTTCATTCCTAGTGCTTCTGAAGACTATTTAATACATTCACGACTAATATCAACCCCCCAAAATGCCGCATCTGTCCCATTACATTTGTTAGAAATGAAGTGGAGGTACAACTAGGCGTTACAGACCATTTTTCTAAAGAGGAGGGGGGCAATTCCCCTGTAACCCCCACTACCATCATCACTGATATAACAATTTACAGAACAATAATTGCGTACCTTCGGGTTTCGAACATATATGTTCGAACCCCTTTTCTTCAGCGTCTGCTGTCTTAAACATGTCTTTAGTTCTGGCATTTGGTAAGCACCGTCGCAAGTGGTTGTTCTTACAATATATCAAGTGAATATACTCAGTTTTAAATCTGAAACATCAACAGAAAATAACGTCATAAATGGCTGATAGATTTTATACAGGCAATTACAGAATTAATGGTTTTAGCAGTCGCGGAGCCAAAGGAGGGGGGGGGGGTGGTCAGAGGGGGCAGCCGCCCTCCCCTCGCAGCCCCGAAAGGAAGTTTTTGAGCAAAAATCTCCTCTGAAGTAAACCTGGCTCCGCCACTGGGTTTAAGCTATAAACTCGGTTAAAAAATAGCAGCCACAATATCGCAGTTAAGGGGTTAAAAGGGAATTTCGTTTATCTTGTCAGTCAAAAATTGTTTTGCTCAAATTCCTTAACGTATCTTAAAGTTTTAACTAAAAATATCGCAACCAATATTTTTTTTAAAGCCAAAAGTATATCTAAAAGTTTCTGTAATCATTTTAAAGTTCGTTGTTCTTTTTAGAAGCTGTTTGAAAACTAATGTAAGGATTTAAGTAGTTCAAACTACTAAATTAACTATTAGTACTCTTCGTTCAATTCACCCTTTTAAAACAAATTCAGTTTAATCAAGCTTGATACGTTTTATGAAACCAGTTTGCATCATCTATTCATGACGGCTTTCATGTATTATTACGTCTCCATTATGATGTGCCGTATTCATTAGACAACATTGTGCAGAAAAGTAGGACGTAAAACTCCATTTATCTTATTTTATTTCCATTATGAAGTGTCTCTTTCAAATAGAACTTACCGGCATAAATTTTCTGTGTTACTATAAATATTTATATCGGCCCTGTGCCAAGATTTGAAAACAGCATTACCAGAATAGCAGGAATCGTCCGATATCGTCTGCTGACAGTTTAGATAATCAGAGTAAGGTAGATCAGAACACCAAACAAAACCTGGAATATTAATATTCAAACGAAATTTCAAGTCCTACTTGGTGAGTTTTAAATCTCAAATAGATTATTGTTATTTGGATCATACAATCAGGAGAAACAAGAAATATTTATTTTGTTTCGTTTCACTTTTTAAAAGTAATCTGTGATTCCATAGAATTAACGTCGCCAAAAAATCCGCCGAATTGAAAATGTTTCGTTTCGTAGTATGAAACAATACTAATTTTAGCGCAAAATTTTTTAAGCTTTTTTAGGTGGTAGGGCGGTTTGTATTTAGAAACCATCCGTCCTTGTGCTCCTTTGGGCTAGCATGTGCCCAATTGATGCGAAATATATACTTTACTCCGTTCTTATCCCTGACTCAATGCCCACTAAGGGAGAATGATAACATGCCTTTATGTCCGAAAATGTTACACAAATGTGTATTTTTACAGTCTTGCTTTTAACGAGCAGCACCTTCTATTTAAAATGATCGTTTTGATCGATTTAGTAAAAATTCATCGAACATAAGAAATTATATTGACTAAGTGAACTACATGTACAGCTTCGAATATCTTTCGCCTTTCTTTCTCAACTGTAGTTTGAAACTCAAACATATAGCCTATGCCACTTTATGAACTTTTTCCTATTTTCAACTTTTTCCTCATGCATCACTAGCGTAAAGCAGTGCTTCTCAACCTCAGTGAGCTTTTCCTGGAAGAGTTCTTCCAAATCTATCATTTTACTCAAGAAATAAATTCAAAGATCAACTATGTATGGATATAAAATCATACTCCACATATCGAGATAGATAGGCTTCATGGGCCGAGGTTAATGACGTCAGTTTCAGTCGTAGATCACATCGCTCAATTATTTTCCACGAACCACGTCTTTACATTATCAAACTTGCAGCTGAACATGCACTCTATCAAATACTACTCGGAAATGACAGCAGTAGATTCCTCCCTCCCCAGCCCCCCTGTTTATTCCAATTCATTCCCTGTCGAGAAGCACTATATTAGAATTCATTGAATCTTACCTGCCAATATACCAATGTGGATCAGAATATGGCGTATCATTTTTCTTATGAATAAAAACAATCTGATCCTAAATTTAAAAAAAACATGGTTGTGTAACGATGGATCTTACTATAATATAACACAATAGTTGAATAAGAGTTAGATAATGCTCCTTGGCTCATATACCATTGTCTCTAGCACGTATGCGTAGCTCACTGGCTTGCTAATTTGAACACTCTGATATGGTACAATGGTACCACATGTGGGATCATCTGAGCCAAACCTCAACTCCAGTATCAGCACTGCACTGATGAGGTCGGGAAGACCGAATCAGTTCTGTTTGCAGTATAATAGAGTTTAAATAGATAACACCTTCCATATGCATGTTTAGTTTACCTGAGTTATTACTTAGTTTTCAGGATTTATCGGATTATAGAGGGATTCTGTCGTATATATTTATGACACCAGGTAAGTCCGCTGATGAAGTTTAAAAATTTAATTTTTTTGGTAATCCTAAGAGGTAATATACCATAATAAATCACTTTCAGAATGTTATGCACAATAAACAGATGTAAAGAAAAAACATTACCTGATTACATTGTTTTTATTTCCACTTTATCCAGTCACTAGAAAACTCGTTAAACCGTTTCTGTTATACAGTTCAAAACCCACAATATATAATATGGAACAGGAACTATTGAGAAAATATAACACCTGTAACCGTTGCAGTATTAACACAACATAGAAATGGATCTGTCAAGGAATAAGTTCAGCAAAATCAACAGGAAATGTCATACAATTCAAATTTGATATGCTACTAAATAAACTCTCCCGGAAAAGTTAGATGGCGGTCACGACCTGTACAATTTACACTCCTGTGTTCAATTACACTTTTATTTAAAGGGGCAGTTCGCAAAATTTTCATTATCAAAAACATCGTAAATCATGCCTGAAATATTTCTAGAATATTGTTATTTTCAATACTGCAAATCCGTTCAGTAGTTTTCTAGCAGCTTCCGAAAAGCACAACGTTTGGATATAAAATCGTGTTTATGTTTTAGGTGTAAAATGTGCTATGCAGTAACCTTGATTTAAATTCCCTCCACAAGAAACGATATGGAAGGTCACAGGTGATCTCCAACATGTTAATAGGAATTAGGTGGTTATTGTGTAACTATATCGTCTAATTAATGATTCATTAAGATCTCCAAATGTGATTTGCTATCCATTTTAACAAATAAAATTAAAAATTGTTCCTGTGGTTTAGCATTAAATTAGCCAATTTCAAAAACATGTAATTCTATGTGTTGCATACAAAATAAAAGTTAATGATATTCGGGCAGAAAAGAATCAAATTAAGCGAATTACTGGAATTATTAATTTATTCATTTCATGTAGTCAATTAAACAAACAAACGAATTAAAGAAAAAGGTAAAATGAAGAATGAATTAGATTTGATTGGAGGGTATGGGATTGAATTGAATTAGAAAATACACGAAATAGATGAATAAAATAAATGAAATATATGATATATGAATAAAATGAATGATATATATGAATAAAATAAATGAAATATATGAATAAAATAAATGAAATATATGAATAAAATAAATGAAATATATGATATAAAATATATATGAATAAAATAAATGAAATATATGATATATGAATAAAATGAATGATATATATGAATAAAATAAATGAAATATATGAATAAAATAAATGAAATATATGAATAAAATAAATGAAATATATGAATAAAATAAATGAAATATATGAATAAAATAAATGAAATATATGAATAAAATAAATGAAATATATGAATAAAATAAATGAAATATATGAATAAAATAAATGAAATATATGATATATGAATAAAATGAATGATATATATGAATAAAATAAATGAAATATATGAATAAAATAAATGAAATATATGAATAAAATAAATGAAATATATGAATAAAATAAATGAAATATATGAATAAAATAAATGAAATATATGAATAAAATAAATGAAATATATGATATATGAATATAATAAATGAAATATATGAATAAAATAAATAAATGAAATAAATAGAATAAATTATAAAATCCAAATAAATCAATTTTGAGCTATTTTTTTAAAAGAGTAAATATATAAAGCTACTTTAAATATACTAATATGAATTTTGCCCAAAGGAAATTACATATGAAGCAGATTTTGAATTTTTTTTAATCATTTTAATTAACTATTTTGACCTTATTTTATATCAGGTTCGCGAATACCAACGACATGTCGAAATATATATTATTCACGCTCTATCATAGAACCTTCTAGGTCGGATGTGTTTTTACACCAAGAACACACCACCTATAAACATTAAGAAATTAAGTTTATTACCACTTATAAACCAACAAATAGAATCTCTTAAACTTGGTTATACCTCGTATCATAACCATACAACAAAACCCCTCTTTAATCCAATAAATCCATAGAACTAAGCAATTATCTATTTAACTTAGTAATTTTGAAACATGCTTAGAAGCGTTTTTCAATAATTATTTAGTTTATTGGATAACCTACATCATCTACTATTCTATTCTTTAGTCATGGCACATGGTAAGTCCAACTGATGAATATATAAAATTCACTAACTGTTGACCTGTTTTGAGATTTTCAATCGGTCGCGGTACGCGGTAAAACCGATCGGTCGGAGTAGCGATCTTTCCGCGCGGTATAATATACCGTGGCGGTTTAAGTCCCCGTGTAGCAATTATCCGAGCTTTGTTTTATAGTTTCCATGCATTCCTGCGTGTGAAGTTGCGCCCATAAGTCAAAATGCCTAGAGGAAAACAACTTCCAGACGATGTAATCGAACGCTTGGACGGGAGAGCATAGCAAAAACGTTGAAAGTGGAAGGACTAGATGGTGAGCTTCATTTTAAAGTTTGGAGCTGGTCGTGGCCGCGTAGCGCACTTATTCAGCTGTTCCGGCATACAAGGCTCGGGCTCAAATCAAACCTCAGTCAGAGAATTGTAATGATTCTATCGCTCACACTGTTAATGGGCCTCGGTGGCTCAGTGATTGTAGGCCTACATCTGCAACAAAGCAGTGATACATTCGCTGGAAATCTCTTGCCTTTCACCATTGTGATGTACTGGTTATAAACACCAATCAAACAAACAATTCGTCTAGAACGTCTCTTCCTTGCTATCGCATAGGACCCAACGGCGATGATTACATCCCGCTGGATTCGGTTGCATCGTGTTTGAGAAGGAACGGACCAGATGGGCGCCATGCTTATGAAACTTGAAGTGTTAAGTTAACACGTTAACGCCTTCCGATAAATAGAAGTGCGGTATATTTACCGCATTTCACATACCGCATTCCGTTGACGCGTCCCGCAATACGCATACCGCGTGTTCGGTAAACGCAGCTTTAGAGGTAGTATCCTTGTAAGTAAAACTCCTGCTTCATCGAAGATGGGGCGGAAAGAATTTTGATCAAAATGGTTCTAAATGACACAATAAATCAGGATGCTCTATCTCAATTAGTTACAGCTCCCTTGAACGTTGGAGTATTTTTGAAAATAAAAGACCCAGTTTTTCGCCTCTCTGTGCAGTTAGACTGCATTGGCTGAGTGCCGACCCCACCCCTAGGCCTATTCTAAAATGACTATACCTAAACATGTCCTACGTCTATTTCAGTCGAATACAGAAATTCGGAAATTTTCCAAACTATCGAGTAAATCAACTGTGAAATTTCACCCTTATTTTCAAGAGGAAAATCGCATGTATTTTGGTTTGGGTAAATAGTCTGAGACTAAAAGTGCTTCAGCAGGCAGAGTTTGCACGGTAGGAACTTGAAATTCGGAACATATCAACTTCTCTGATAGTCTTCGAACAGCAGCCTGTTAAAGTTTTGGTCTTCACCCCAACCAGTGCAACAAGACTGTATAGGCTGTCTGTCGACCCCAAAACCCGCACTAAAATGGCCATTACTCGGCCAATTTTGGCCCGAGAGGTATAATTTTTGTTGCAAGTAGGTTAACATGTCTTCTATCTATTTCAGTCGAAAACAGAAATTCTGATTTTTTGAAAACTTTCGAGAAAATCGACTTTGAAGTTGCACCTTCAATTTCAAGTGGAAAATGGTTTATATTTTGGTTTGGGGAAAAAATCTGAGACTAAAAGTGCCGCAGCAGGCGTTTGCACAGTAGGAAGGAACTTTAAATTTTGAACAAAGCAACTTCAAATGAGTGTGTACCTTCAGTACAAGTTCGAACGGTAGCCTGTCAAAGTTTTGGTTTAACCCAAACCAGCCTTGCCCGACTGCATAGGCTGACTTCCAACCCCACCTCCCAAATAAAAATGGCCATAAATTCTCCAATTTTGACCCGATTCATAATTTTTTCAAACTTATCTGAACATAAAATGCACGTCACAATATTTTTTGCGAGGAATTGGGTAGGTAAAATAAATACGAGTCGAGTTGTAGAAACGGTAGATGTACATGGAAAATCGAAATCAGATTGAAATGTGGTCACTTCCACCGATTAGGATTACAGCAGGTTAATTTGAGAAAATGATTTATTTTTGTAATCGACAAACTAATCGTACCCCACTATGAAATTCGGTTGCTCGGTTCCACTGTGAAATTTAGTGTCCCGGAAATTTTTTACTAGTAACGATTTGTACTGTATCATGTAGTCCACATCATCAAGCAAAAGAAACATGTGTAGTTGTTTACAAAATGGTTTCGAGGATACGGAAACTGATTCAAAAGAGAGTTTATGATATATTATCACATAAGAATGGAACACTCATTGTATTTATCGGTTTAATAATAATTATTGTATCAGCTTTTCACTTTGGCGAGGTATGTCGGTTTGTTGATAGTTAATGATAATGCAATTTTTGTTATTTTGAGAACAACTTGCTGTGGGGTAGGAGGCGTTTGTCTTTTTACAGCCGAATCAGAGATTCACAAGAGTCACAAGATTCAGACTTTCCCTGTACATCCTAAATGTTACACTTTTCTTCAACAAAAACGAAGAAGGTAGCCAACTCTCCCCATCCATATGTCAAATATAGGCCTATGCCAAGTTAAATATAAGTTAATTTGTTATGTGCATGATGGACTATTTTAGTATGTAGATATTTGACGGAGGCAATTATCTTAAAATTTAATGTTAATGGGGAGGAATCTGTTGCTGCAATTTCCTACCAGGTATCACTGTTAGTGATGTACAGATAAAAGAAACACGGTTTTTTGAAAATAACTGAGCGAGGTGATCTACGACTGAAATTGACGTCATTCACCTCGGACATACAGAACATAGCGAATGATTATTCAGTTTAAGGGTCACATTGAACTATCTCGATATGTAGAGTATGATTTTATATCCTTTTTCCATGTGAGTGAAACACGTTTCAAAATGACTGATTTATTATGGGGAGAATAGATTTGGAAGAACTCTTTCAGTGGGTAATGATCTCACTGAGGTTGAGAAGCACTGCTTTAGGGTATATTAATTATGTCTCTGATTTTGAATGGTCAACCAAACATGAATGCATGTGGACAACTTATTGATGTGCAGATTTTCTAAAAAATACCGTCTGCTATTGCAATCGATCATGTTCATTTCCTATGTTATATGTTTTTAGGCTGTCATTGAATGGAGTCATGAAAAATATGCTACTGTTTTTAATTCTTACAGTGACAATATTGGTTCAAAGTCATTTAGAAAAAGGTAGGTGAAAGCACATTTGGAAACCTTGCTAATTTATGAATTTATGACGTTCTCGCATAAAGCTTATAAACCTGTTTTTGAAATGATTTTTCCATCAACATAAAGGGACAGGTTAGTTATTTTTGGAGGTTGATTTGGGTGTTGAATACAGTCTTCAGCACTATCAAGCACTTCTGAACATATTTTTCAAATATTCAAGACCCTAATCAATCCCCAATAATGGCGAATCTATCCCTTTAGGTAGCTTGTTTGTAAAGACCTTTCAATGACTTCTTACAATTTAGATCAATCTTTTCATGATACAGGGTAGTGGGCTGAAGCCATGAAGTTTTTCTTTTCCATTCATTTTTTAATTTTAAGACTTTTTTCCCCAAGTGATTCAAAGAAACCAATCAACCATCCTACTAATTTGGCTACATTCTGTCTGTATATGATGTATAATTTATGATGTAAGCTTATGTGATATAATATGATATCACTTTTATTGATATCGATAACATTTATTCCTAATTGATATTGGATATTGAATTTTTGTTTATAAACGCTGTGTTTTAAAGTGTTCATAATAATCATTATTTAGTGTTAAACATCTGTTACAATTCTTGCACTGTTTTATACTATTGAACTATTTTATAGATGGCTTCATGCATGTGATATTTTTATAGGTCATGTTATATTTGTCCCATTGTTATCATATATTATGTTTATATAGATATGGTATATGGCTGGGTCATCTTACTTATCTATATTGTTATTATAGATTATGTTTACCAGTGCCTGTAGATGTTGTTATTATAGATTATGTTTACCAGTGCCTATAGATGTTGTTATTATAGATTATGTTTACCAGTGCCTGTAGATGTTGTATACATGGGTCATGTCATATTTGTCCCTATTTTTATTATAGATTATGTTTACCAGTGCCTTTAGATGTTGTATACATGGGTCATGTCATATTTGTCCCTATTGTTATTATAGATTATGTTTACCAGTGCCTTTAGATGTTGTATACATGGGTCATGTCATATTTGTCCCTATTGTTATTATAGATTATGTTTACCAGTGCCTGTAGATGTTGTTATTATAGATTATGTTTACCAGTGCCTATAGATGTTGTATACATGGGTCATGTCATATTTGTCCCTATTGTTATTATAGATTATGTTTATCAGTGCCTATAGATGTTGTGTACATGGGTCATGTCATATTTGTCCCTATTGTTTTTATAGAATATGTTTACCAGTGCCCATATATTTTATACATAGGTCATGTTATATTTGTCCCTATTGTTATTTATAGATTATGTTTACCAGTGCCTTTAGATATTGTATATAACTGGGTCGTGTTATTTATCTATATTTTTTATTATAGATTATGTTTACCAGTGCCTATAGATGTTGTATATACATGGGTTAATGGTACTGACCCTGCCTTGTTAAAACAACTCAGTCAGTTAAGATATGAACTGAAAGAAGAAATAACTTCTACACAGTAAGTGACAGACATCCTTCAAGGGACAGTTTGACCAGTCATACCATAATCTCAGAAACAGGAAATCTTTAGCTAAGCTAATCATTAATAATGTTCACAGCTCAGCGTCGAAATTTGAGACTTCAAATCCATGTCTGTCATCTTTTCTAGAGACTCTGTCATATATAAAAAATATATAATATACTGATATAGAAGTAGAAATTGAAATTCATACTGATGGCGAATCTGTCCCTTTAAAGCCGACTTTTAAATTCATATTAAAACAAACCATAAAAGTTGTTTTACCACCAAAATTAAACAGATTGCTGATGCAATCGAGAAGATGTGGTTATACATCTTTAAACACTTTGATATACAAGAAATTTTTATTAAGAAGTTTTGGATTTTTTCCCTTGACTCAAACGATGACCTTTGGAACTCAATAAGTAATTGATATGATTAATCAATCATATTTTGATGATACCAAATTAACTTTTATACATGAAAAAGACTATTTTTTTGTACTTATGTCTGCCATGAAATTTGCAGCCTTTTGGATGACAACTCTTTTTATGAAGCTTTAACTTTATTGTACTTTTTAGAGAAACCAAATGTACTTTCCATAATTGTGTCCCATCAAATTTGGTTGTGTTAGATCCAGTGCTGAATGAAGAAATATCCTTGTTAAAACTTCAGACTATGAACAAATTATTTTTAGAAGCTAATAAAATCTTTAATGTACATACGCCAAACGAACCAAAAAGAAATTTTACTTTTGTACAATTTAATGAACAAATTGGTAAGTATGTTGATATCTCTGTAATTATGTTCCATCTTGTTTAGTCATTAATAAAAAATGAGGCTACATTGAAGGGTTTAAGATATGTTAGTTTTGGTGTATACTTTGATATTGCCCTTTTGGTCGGTCCGCTCACATTTGGCTTGTGCTCACTCTACAGGCTACAATTCTTTATGGATTCTTTTGTGGCTCGATGATCTTTTGTGGATCAATGTCATAATGATGATCCCTATCGATTTTCATGATGATCTGATAATTTTTCACCGAAATATTGTGTCAGACTTAGCGTTTTCTCTCTATTGGCTATATAGTGCAACTGTGCTCACTCTACAGGCAACGGATTCTTTTGATTTTTATTTTGTGGGTCAATGTCATTATGAGGATGATCTCTATCGATTTTCATGATGATCTGATAATATTTCATGGAAATATCGTGTCTGACTTAACGTTTTCACTCTATTAGCTATATAGTGCAACTCGTGCTCACTCTACAGGCTACAATTCGTTATGGATTCTTCTGCTTTTTTTTTTGAGGATCAATGTCATTATGAAGATTTTCGTGATGATCTCTGATTCTCACTGATGGCTATCTTTTTATGATACATTGATGACTTGTTGATGTTACCATGATGTTCTACCTCTTAAGATCTAGTGCTTCTTTTCCTGTTTTTTTTTTTTCATTCCATTGTACTAATGACTGGGGAATGAATTTGAGCAACTGGTTACAGGCATTCTACCTAATTGATAGCCCAAGATTATCGCCTTTCAGACAGGATTCTCAACATCAAACCAGTTTGATGTTTGTTGCTGATTTTTTTAATGTCAATGTTTGTTATCTTTGTTTGACCCTCCTTACGAAAAAGACAAGGCAATCATTTCATGAGAATCGTCATAGTGGAAAACGACTGACTGGAGATTTTGCTGCTATGTCTTCTGTGTAGCCGCAGCCGTCGGTGAAACTCTGCGTCAAAAATGGCTGACCAAAACCACTCATGTACCTGCAGAATTATATATACATTACATTTTAAACAATCGGGGTTCTTCACGACGTATTGACCCTATAAAGTACACACATGTCTATCACATGTTGCGTATGTGACACTTGACAGTTTTTCTAAATAGGAAGCAACATAACTCTTCTTATGGAATAGCATGTTTCAACAATTTGGATATTTTTTAAACCGCATGATTTTATCGGGAACGGGAATATGCGGATAAACGAGGCGCCACTGTATATATTCGCTCAAATTTTGTTATTCACAGATGTATGTACTTTTTTTTTCAGTTGATAACTTTACCTCAAAGTATGTGATATTAGATGGCAAAAATACATCAGTTTCCAAAGTGTTTTATGTAAGATTTCTATGCTTTGTTTTTAAGATGGGTTCCCTATTTTCATTTATGAAAATAGAAAAGCTAATACTTATATCAATAGAAAGTAGAGGTGTTCTAATGACTTGGAAAAATACCAGTTTGTCTCATTTGTCCATTTGTCCATTTGTCCATTTGTCGTAAATTAGAAGAGAATTACCAGCAGAATTTTAATGAGTGACCGATCTAGAATGGTCAAAAAGCCATAATGTATGATATAAGACATACCAGACAATCATGTTCACTCATATAGCTTTGAGTTGGGTGGGAATGGCATTGAAAAAGCGTCTAGTTGTTCGGATGGGACAATAAACTGAGGCCCTGTGTGCCCATGAACGATAAGATTCCTCTACAGTCGGCTAATGCTGCTGTCCTGGCAAATTCCCCTCATTGCACACTGCATGGCATTGCCTGTATACAGTAGGATATAGTATATAGTAGGACGTAAAACTCCATTCATTTACGTTTTTTTATAATCCCTTTAAAGGGACAGATGCACCATTTTGGAGGGTTGATTTGAGTGTTGAATATATAGTCTTCGAAAGTACTAGAAATATAAGAAAATCGCAAAAATTCCTTTAAAAAAAATAGGAATTTTACTCACTATTTCTATGTATGTCTTTTCTACTATATCCAGAGATAATTTTGGACACACATGGATTTGAAGGCTCAAATTTAGACAGTAAGCTGTGAACATTGTGTCTGATTAGCTTAGCTAAAAAAAAAATTCCCAATTCTGAGACTAAGGTACAATTGGTCAAAAAAATGGTGCAACTGTTCCTTTAAGGGAAACTGTATGATTGATATTACTGACTATTTTCAGACTAGTGATTTAACTAAACAGTACAGTATGGTATCAGAAGATATTATTCTAATGACAGGTTTCCCCCATACTTTAACATCAACAGAATTAAAGCAGAAATTACCGGAAAAATATCAACCTAGTATTAGTGATGTAAGTTATTCTTAAACATGGGTTCCCTTATTTTCATTTATGAAAATGAAAATGCTAATACTTAATAGAAAGTAAAGGTGTTCTAATGACATGGAAAAATACCAGTTTGTCTCACATGTCCATACTTAATTCATAATTAGCTAAATTAGAAGAGAATTACCAGCAGAATTCCAATGAGTGACCGATCAAGAAAAGTCAAAAAGTCTTGTTTGGTTTTTGTTAATCCAGACTGTACATACATGGACATTTCTGATTGTTTATAACTCTTAATCATATTCAATAATATAAGGAAAACCCATCTTTAAGTTTTAAACAAATGTAGGCCCTACTATTGTTAAACCTTTTTCCTAAACACCATTCAGATCTACAGACCTATTGTTGGAAAAAATTGTCTTTTTATGCACTTCTTATGACTTTTCGGGAGCAGTGATGGCTCACTGAGTTAAATGTTTGGATGCTTGGTCACTAACATTAAGGGCCAGGGCTCGGGTTCGATTCGGGCAGGGGGCAAGATAATACGTTTGGATTTTTCAATGGTGTTTGTTTTCCCACTGTTAGTGAGGCAGGTCTAAAGAGCTGATATAGAAAAAGTATATGATCACCAGATGGGGCATTGTGCTCTATGTTCTATGGGCTACAGGTTGTAAGTGCTACAGGATGTGTAAGTGCCTAGACAGTTGAAAATTGAAAAGGAGTAGGCTGTTCCTACAAAATTTATCATTGCACAGTAGGGCTGCATCGATTCTTGTAGTTGTGATTTGTTACACTATACGATACTCATCTAACAATACGATTTATTGTGATAATTATCGCGATTCATTTATTAGGAAGGAAAGAGAAAACATTTGTAAAAGTTTGTCACTATTAAGCACTTGAGAACATTTAGAATAAGGGATTGTGAAAAAAATCTCAATTTTGAAAGTCAGAAATATAATTTTTGCAAATTTTGATGTGAAAGTCATACTTGAAAAATGAAAACATGACACAATTTCTTATACACATAAGGATTATGTGTCATTTGTTATTAAAGGGGGCTAAGAATTAATTGTGCCGATACAACATGATTATTTTTATCCAACGCAATGCATCGATAAGACGGAAAGATTCGCGGTTCATCGATTCATTGGTGAATTGTTACAGCCCTATTGCACACTGCGTAGGGATGCTCGTCTTTGTTAGCCCAAAATAGATTTAGCTGTAATTTTACTTTTTTTTTTTTTTTGTAATGTAGATCAAATTACATATTGATATTGGTGTAGCAGTATTAACAGTTCCTGATAAAATTCAGTTTAATTTTATATTAGAGGTAAAGTAACCTCAGATTTTTCAACCCAATTTCCCCCTTGTCAGTAATGCAGGTCGGAGGGGCTGTCAAAGAAAAAGTGTTTAAGAAAAAAAAATGTTCTAGATCAAAAATTTTTTTTTCATTTGTTTAGTTCGTTAAAAATGATATTCTTGTATCCAGTGAAATATAGCTCGTGGAATAAATATGGTATTCAATGGGCGGTATTAGATGGGCGGGGCAAAAGGCTGACATTTAACGCATGTGCATTAACGCTGAAGATGGCGTCTGCTAGGTTTGCCTCTGTCAACGTTGAAGAAATAATTAAAAGCGAACCAAACAAAAACACAGAAAAAAAGACTAGACTTGATACCCAACTCTTTCAAGACTTTCTCGCATCTAAATTTGTAGTATTGGTAGAAGGAGTACGAGATATCGAACATCTTTCAGAGAAAGAATTATTTATTTCAATTTTCAACTTAGTTGACCGGATAAATAGGTTATCCAATGGCAAACTCGTGGATATGGTTTTTATGCCATCCGTAGCCATAGGATATCCATATATCTTGTGCTTCTATGCCTATGTCTATATGTCTTACAAACAGTTTATTTGTCTTATGTTTGACAGTTACAGAATTGCTCAATAGATGGTAAAACACCAACATTTTCTACAGCTAATTATATATGGGAACTCAGAGATGTAAGTCAGTTAAGATTTTCAGTAATAAATGATGCACTCACTAAATTACATCAAACATTTTGTCATTTTGCAATATGGATCCAATATTTATATTTTGTTAAAATATGTTTAAATATATATGACAATGTTACTGTGAAACATTTAATGTATTTTGGTGATTACAGTAGTAATCTGATGTTACAAAGTAATCTGATGTTTTTTGGGGTTTTTTTTGACAGTTTTCTAGAGGAGAAGATATTGCTTCCAGTAGATTTGAAGATAATGAGGTACAGTAATGTGAGGCTATTTATATCTATTTTAATACAAGATAGATAGAAATTATCAGAATTTTTTTTTGTATACCAGTTTTGATTTTGTTTAAGATGGGTTCCCTTTTTTCATTTGTGAAAAAAAAAATGCTAATACTTATATGAATAGAAAGTAAAAAAAAATACCAGTTTGTCTCACATGTCAATAATTAGTTCATAAATAGCTAAATAGCTAAGAAGAGAGTTACCAACAGAATTCTAATAAGTGACAGATCAAGAAAGGTCAAAAAGCCTTTTTTTGTTTATCCAGACTGTACATACATGGACATTTATGATTGGTTCAAACTCTTAATTATATGAAAGGAATTATGCAAGGTATTTCTCCATCAAATAATTGCAACAAAAACATTAGGTTCAGACAATGCTGATGATGGAATTTGAACTAATCAAATCTTTTCTATCTAAAACAGGAATTACGATACTCTATGAGATCATTAATGCGTTTTGCACCCTGGGTACATCATATATTTATTGTTACTAATGGTCAAATACCATATTGGTTAAACATGGATAATCCTCAAGTTACAGTTGTCACTCACGAGGTATGTAACAGTTTTTTATACTTATACTGCAGCATTTTCCGTTTGTTGAATTGAACCTTGAATATATGTAAATAGTCTTCATAAATACTAAAACTGTAGGAAAATCGCATAATTCCTTCAAAAATACCTCAAATAAGAAATTTAACTTTTTTTATTTATTTTGTTCACAAGCTTATCTTCTCTCTAAAATTTTGGGTATCTTAAAGTCGAACGCCTTGTTGATATAGTCTCTGACACCAAGACATCTTCCGTCACAGCTGTGTGTAGATGAAGTAGGACAGGATGATTGAGTCTACTGTGAACATTATTACTTTTACGAGCCCAGAACCAAAAAGTGAAATTACCAAATACAAGTTTTCATTGCCCATGATATCCTCCTGAGTAATTTATTCTTGTGACCAGAAATTCTAAAATTGTAAGCCAATTTGTAAAAAATGATCGAAATGTTTCAATTTTCATTTTTGTAGGAACTGTTTCCTAATAAAAGTCATCTACCAACATTTAGCTCTCCAGCAATAGAGGCTCATATCCACCGTATACCAGGTTTATCTGATAGGTTTATCTATATGAATGATGATGTCATGTTTGGTAAAGAAGTTTGGCCTGATGATTTTTATTCTCAATCTGCAGGCCATAAGGTACAGATTCATTCAAACTCAAAGTGATTGTAAAGAGGTTTTCTAAATTCTTTATGTGTATCACGGGCACTGATAGCATCCATTTGAACCATTTCAATCTGACATTGTGGTTCCTGATATTCCTCTAAAACTAAGTGTTTGATGACGTCACTAATCACAAAGGGGCTTATTTGATACAAATAGTGACATCATCTAACACTTATATTGCTTTGAATTGCAGGAACAACAGACATCTGATTAAAAACTGGAATAGTGCAAATAGATGCTATCACTTGTCAATTGAGAAAACCTCTTTACAATCCCTTTAATAATTGGAAAATTCCAAAGATTCCAAAATTTGTTAATTTTAGCCAAAATAGTTTTCCTGGTCTTTTATATAAAAAGCCAGAAAGCCTCCTATACAATCCCCGTAACTTATTGTTTCTTTCAATAATTTAGGTTTATTTAACTTGGCCAGTACCTAATTGTAATGATGGTTGTCCATCTAATTGGATTAAAGATGGTTACTGTGATAAAGCCTGTAATAATACAGAATGTGATTGGGATGGTGGTGATTGTGATGGTAAGTCCAATGTGCAAGTGGGACTTTTTTTTTTAAAGTGTTGTACAAAGAGAATTTCCCCTTGTCTGTGATGCAGGTAAGAGGGGTTGACGTGGAAAAAGCGTCTAGTCGTTCTGATGGGACAATAAACCGAGGCTCCGTGTGCTACAGACTGTTCATTTTAAAGATCCTTCAACAGTTGAAAATCAAAAATGAGCAGGCTAATGCCGCTGTCCTGGCTTAATTTCCCTCATTCCACCCCGCATGGCGTTGCTCGTCTTCATTAGCCCACAAGGTGCAGAAAATTAGGACGTAAAACTCCATTCATTTCATTTTTTACAAAAAGAAAACTCATGAATCTTTAGCATTAAGAGGGTTTAATTTTCACTTCAAAATTGATCTTTCACAAGCTGAGGGAGGGGGCCATAGCCAAATGTCCCACCTCCTAAATACGTCACTGCCTGGCGTCACACTGGCATATGGATATACTACTCCTTTCTTTAATTTCTGCAACGTTTATTCACATACACATATTATCAAGCACAAAATAATAATGATAACTTTTTATTCATCTTTTCAAATGCATTGATTAGTTACCCATGAGGAAATTTTATATATTATGTGAATGATTATGAATGATCAGTTAGGGTAGGGATCCAATATGAATATGGCAGAATTTTGGGGAATTAGTGCTAATTGTGCATTTATTTAATCCACTAACTTTTATAAGCAGTTGCCAATAATATAATTTATAAATATGTCATTTGTAGGTAAATCAGGAGTTCAACTGGGTGCTGGTTTCCATGCAGGTTATGATACTGCATCTTTTGGTAAATATTATTTTCATTTTGGTAGTTCATTAAAGGGACAGATGCTGCATTTTGGTGGGTTGACTTTATTATCACCTAAAAGTCTTCAGAACTTATGGAAATGTACGGAAATCGCATAATTCCTTAAAAAATATCTAAAACTTGAGATTTTACTCACTATTGCTATATATGTCTTTTAATATATATCACAGAGTATATTAAATTGGTGAGTCATCATTTTAACGTACAAACGCATGGATTTATAGGCTCAAATTTAGATGGTGAGCTGTGAACACTATTACAGTATAGCTTAGCTAAAAAAATTCCATTTTCTGAGACTATAGTATGATTGGTCGAAAAAATGGCGCATCTGACCCTCTAAACATATTGGAATCATAATTCACGAATCCACAAGATCAGCTTAGGCTCCGCCCACTTAGATACAGTCGTTAATCACCACAAACAACCAAACAAAATGACCCCTCCAATCTTTCTGGATATCTTTTGTCTGCATTGTATGTACACCTAAATATTATTTTGTCAGATACAAATTGAATCTCATGTATGACACACGCTTTGTAGCTGTGTTGTTTATTGGTAAAACATGGCGGATGATTTTGAGCAGCTGTCAATCATTCTTGCAGATCTTTGAATTATGTCAGAGCTACTGTATCTACAATGTATCTGTGGGTTAGAGACTTGCGCGATTAACCCCTGCATAGTGAGAGATATGCCTGCAAATTTTTCAAGTTGGTGATACCAGTCAGAGAAGCTGAAATGGAAAATGGTTAATGTTTCAGGCTATCTATCATCTTTTCATAAAGCAGAGTTCTGCTAAAGCAACAAGAACCTTGGGTCTAAGGGTCACAAAGTCCTTGTGGTCTCCAAGCTTAAGGGAGCTATTGAGTGTTAAAGGAATACTTTCTCTTAGAACAAATACATTGCAACAGCATCCCTGTATAATCCAGTAAATCCTTAAAACAAAGTAATTATTGAAATTGCTTTACCAATTTCTAGCTTTTTGCAATAATTACTTGTAGTTTCTGAATAATTACTTACTTAGTTCTATTGATTTATTGGATTAAACGGATTCTGTTGTTTATTTACGACATCAGTAAGTTCAACTGATGAATATACACTCTTATAGACCAAGTTAAAAAATGTAGATTTTATGTAAAAGGTAGTATTCCTTTAACAGCATATTTAATGGTACCAATTTCTTGAATTTCAGCTGCTTATTGTAATACTGGTTGTGCTAATACCTGGATAGCTGATAGATATTGTGATACTGTAAGTACAGCTCTTTTATCAAACATAATAAGACAAACTGTATCATTTTATTACATCATCAATGATCTTAATGAAATGTGAGCCAATTCGTGAGTCAGAATGACCCTTTTTGCGATCAAATATTTCCAAAATTCAAATTTATCACAAAGATCTGCGAATCAAATCAAATTTAACCACTTGAAACCTCGTATATGCCATATTTGGTCATTTTGACATTTTGGTACCGTTCGAAAGCTTGTAAGGGGCGGATCTTGTGATCAAAACTCTTCTTAGCTTGATTGTAAATAACTCAAAAAGCACTAATTAAATAACACATATATAAACAGTCAGATTTAAAACCTCGTAAAATATTATATTATACTAGGTTCAATGTTCCTTTTTCTGCAGATGAAAACGAAAAACCTCATATACTGTACTATAATACGAGTAATTGATTGCATAGGTCAGAGTACTCAAAGTGTTATACAAGGTTTGAATTTCAAAGAATGAAAACCACGTATAGCGGTAAAAGAAATGGTAAATAGATTTTAACAAAATACGAATTCAAATAGTTTTTTGCGTTTTTCTCGAAAGGTAATTATACGAGGTTTCAAGCGGTCACCCAGGATTATACAGCCAAATTTAGAAATATATTGAAACTCTCATCAGTCCCTATAATCTTAACCGTAGTTGCCTGTTTACCGGTTACACATTAGCACAATAGATACCCGAGCAGCCGTTACTAAGTGATGTAATACACCGTTAACGTCATCCGCTTTTACTTTTATTACTTGGAGTTCAGGGTATATGACATTATATTTCTTTTACATTCAGGGTTCAAAGGGTTAAGTAAATTAATGTCATTGGCAAGATCAACCTAAAAGATGGGTTTCTTTATTTTTATGTCAAATTAAGCAAACTATTTGAGTAATTGGTGTTTCTAATGAATTATCATGTATTCTTTATCATATCGTTATGTTCTTATTACACATTATTAATAGTTTTAACCAATCGTAAATGTCCAGGTATGTACAGTATGGATAAACAAAAAAAGACTTTTTGACTCATTCTGCTGGTAATTCTCTTCTAATTTAGCTAATAATGAATTGATTATGGACTAACTGGTATTTTTCCAAGTCATTAGAAAACCTCTGCTTTCTATTCATAAAAGTATAAGCATTTTCATAAATGAAAATAAGGGAATCCATCTTTAATTCTACAACTTAAACATCATAATTTGCTCCAAATTTCAATTAGATACAAATAAAAACTGAATTAGATTAGCCAAAACTGAATAGAAAATCAAAATTATAATTGAACCCTGATGTGAGCATGATGATATTTCTGTTTTTTGATTGCTTATGTACACATGTAAATTGACAAAATCTCAGACAAGTAAGAATTATATGAGGATTTCTGAGTTATTGCCCTGAGGTCAAAACAGGTTCAAATCAGTATGAAAACACAATACCAATTGACAATATAATTGACAATTTCAAACTGTAATATCATTTTATTTCTACTGACCTGGGCATATCATATGTTGAGTGTTTAATTTGATTTCCTTTTTCAGGCATGTAATGTGAAAGTGTGTGGCTTTGATGCTGGTGATTGTGGTGTGGAACAATATGGAGATTTGTATGGTATTATGTTATCTAAGGATATAAACACTTATCACATACCAGTTGGTAAGTATCTTGGATCTTACAAAATGGCTAACCAGGGAACTGGTTTTCACAAAATTGCATTTAAAGGGATAGGTTCACCATTTTGGGAGTTGATTTCAGTATATGTAAATAGTCTTCAGAAGTACTAGAAATGTAAGGAAATCGCATAATTCCTTTAAAAATATCTCAAACTAGGAATTTTATATGGCAGAGTCTCAAGAAAAGAAAAAGAGTCGTCTTTTTAACTTTCAAACAAGGATAATTCTGGACACACATGGATTTGAAGGTGCAAATTTCGACTGTGAGCTGTGATCTCTATTACTGATTAGCTTAGCTTGAAAATTCCCATTTCTGAGACAAAGGTACGATTGGTCAAACAGATTGCGAACCTGTCCCTTTAAGATAAATCTGATTTGGTTGATAGATCTAAATTTTGTCATCAAATGACTGGAACACTAAAATCATCTTTGTGTTAAGGTTTTTTACGAAACAAGCCCCTTATTTGAAGACAGAATCCAGAATCAGATTGTAGGTCATGCAATAAGAGTGTTACAATTATCTCATCACCCTCAAGGAAAACGTCAAAAGTCATTAGTATAAGTCATCTGTGATCATTAAACCATGCTGTAAATGGGTACCAACGATCTAAGAAATACCAAGATGGCTGCCCTTAGCAACAGGTAAAAGGATCAGCAGATATATGCTGTTTTCATTGAAGAAATTCATACCATATTTGATTCACTACAAGACATAAATTTGAATTCCAGGTATAACAGAAGCATATTTTAATTTAACTGAAGTATTTAGTATCAATGGTACTATAACTCAAGCTTTATATAATATCAATAGTGTTATACGACAAGTAGCAGTCTCTAATAAATACCATGTATTAACTATAGTACTATTGGGTAAATTTAATCAAACATGGCTGAACTTTAGTTTACATGGTCATACTGGTGAGAAAGAAAATACCTTTTCAGTAAGTAACTTAGCAACACAAGATTTAAAGGGGTAGTATGCAAAATTTATATTATAAAAAAGATATGGTTAATTAAACTTTTTTTTAAAGTTTTAAAGTTTATGGCAGGATACTTTAAGGTAAAATTTTCAGACAAGTAATGGGACATTTCTCTAGATTGGGGAGTATAGTTTTCACAAATTTGAGTGAACAAATTTTTCCTACTTACTTAAAAATCAGACTATCTTTTAGAATGGACATAAAATTTGAAGTCTCAAACTTGGTCAACAAGAGTACATATTCATCAGATGGACTTAATATGTGGCATGACTAAAGAATAGAAACGCTTCTAAGCATGTTTCAAAATTACTCAGTTTAATGAATTATTACTTAAATGTTATGGATTTATTGAATATAGAGGAATTCTGTTGTATAGTTTTGACGAAGTCCACTGATAAACAAGGACTCATTTTGACCGAGTTTTAAAATTTCAATCTTTTGATCATCCTAAGAGGTAGTATAACTTTAAAGTATTTCATTTGGTTTAAAAGCCGCTTGAAATGCTAAACAATGAAAATATGAATGACCAATCTTATGGTAAAAAGGGCCACTTTTCATTATTTTTGGGCTGAGGTCACATTGAGACTTATACTTATCTTGTTCACAAATGGTAGGCTTAAAGCACTGAGGTTAAAAGCTAAAAAGCTGGACGTTCCAAAAGGCCCAAAAGCCATGGGATAAGGTTTAGTGCCACACTCGGAGCTGTTCACAGTTCTATTTATTGTCTGTGTACAAAACAAAGCAAAAACATCTACATTTGTATTTAATCAGATTGTATTTAGTAAACATGTTTTATGCCATGAATCTTCCTTCAGACAAATTTCACAGTCTCAGTTGATACAAGTAAAGATCTAAAACAAGAAAAGACTGTAACCAGTAATAAAACAATGAATGAGTCTGATACTGAAGAAGAAGAAGACATTGTTATCTTGCCAGCATTGACTGAAAAAGAAAGGTATTGTTAAAGATTGAATGCCTGGTGTTTTTTTCTAATAAAAAAACACCTCCAGTGTAATTTAATAAAGCTTCTATCACGGTCCTGATCTAATGTTGTTATTTTTACCCAAACAAGGCGTGTCATTCAGGAACTGTTTCTTGATAACAAGAAAGAATTGTGGGATAGCAAAACCCAAAGTGACACTCATATTGCCATAATTTGGCTTGAACTATCCTACAAAGAGGTCATCGTGCTTTGATTGGTGAATAATTAGAATGAAATGACGGTGGAAAAGGTGAGGATAACTGATTGTGCAAGCGATACTTTTCCCAACAATTTAGTGAACTTTTCAATGTAACTTTTATTTTGATGATAATTGTGATAATAAATGATAACCGTGATCTGATTGGTCAAGTGTAAATAGCACCAATCTCATTTCAACCCCCGCAAAACAAAGTGTAACGATCTTAGTTTAATACAAGTTGATAAGACCATATCAAAACCTGTATTCAGGAAACAATGGATATAACTATACTAAGTATGACTATGTCTTTTGATGTTGTAGAAAACCACAAATTAAGATGGGAAAAGAAGATATGTTAAATTTTATGGACAGAGATTTTAATAGTAATAATACTCAATTACCTACAGAAATTATATCTCAATTATATTTATTAGAAACAGAATATAAAGCTGGTAAGTTTGTTATATTTATTAGAAACAACCTATAAAGATCGTAAGTTTGTTATATTTATTAGAAACAGAGTTTAAAGCTGGTAAGTTTCTAATAGTTATTCGAAACAGAATATAAAGCTGGTAAGTTTGTTATATTTATTAGAAACAGAATATAAAGCTGGTAAGCTTGTTATATTTATTAGAAACAGAAAATAAAGCTGGTAAGTTTGTTATATTTATTAGAAACAGAACATAAAGCTGGTAAGCTTGTTATATTTATTAGAAACAGAAAATAAAGCTGGTAAGTTTGTTATATTTATTAGAAACAGTATATGAAACTGGTAAGTTTGTTATATTTATTAGAAACAGAAAATAAAGCTGGTAAGTGTGATATATATATTAGAACAGAAAATAAGGTGGTCAGTTTGTTATATATATTATTATTTATTATTTTTTTTGCAGATGAATTAACAGCGAAAGGATTCAGAAAACAGCTTCAGAAATTGAAATCAAGTCTTCTTTCACCCAGTGATGTGAAATTAAACAAGGTCTTGAGAAGATTATTGTGGCTGGATAATGAAGACTTTGAAGATTTGAACAGCCAGTGGTATTTAAACAAAAGTCAAAGTGTAGATAATCACATTGGTTTACCTTGGGAAGTAAAAAACATCATGAAAGACATTAAAATTGTAAGTCTGTATGTAAAATCATAGATAAGCCACCTTAGTTGCAGGTCTATGGAGGGTTTTGTTCAATAGATTATGTAGTGATTCCGATGCAGTTTAGAGGGGTTTATTGTATAGCCAAAATTTTAGGTTCTATAACACAGTCAGTTGGTTCTAGCTAGCTAACCCTAGCAACAAACATGACGTCATTTGCTTGGTTATGTTGAGCCAATGGTGGCTGTGGGTTCCGATCTTGATCGGCGTGTGTTAGTCTGATGACCTTGAATAAGTCATCTTAACTCATAATTCTAGTCGACCCAGCTGAAAATGGGTACGGATAATCCAAGAAAGATTAATGCAAAGAGGTTTGGCCAAGGACCAGTTGGTAGAAAGGATCCTTAATTGTGATCCTAAGTTGTTATCCTTGTTAAATATAGTTGTTTCTTTCTTATTCTGGGACAGGTCTTGATTTGACCAATCAGACTTCTAGTATCAGTATAGTATCCGCATATAGATACCATAGTTTATGATATTTCCTACAAATAGTTTTCAGAAATGTTTAGAAAATCCACGTAATCTTTAGTTTTTTTATGTACCATTTTAGGTTTCTGAAGATAATGACTATGGTACTCCAACACATCATGGTCGAAGATTGTTAGACACATTTGGTGATTCCTTACGCCATGTCAATAAAATTTATAATAAAGCTTTTGGTTTTGATTCGCGGAAAGTCCCAGCTCATATGCCACATATGATAGATAAAAACATCATGGCAGAATTACAAGCAAGGTTGGTGCAAAAAGATTAGGCTATGTTCTTACTTTTAGCCTTAAGGGCATGGCTGTTTAAACTGGTTAACGGATGTGCTATAAATTACTTATAACAGGATTGACAAAAGTGTAACAGATGGGGAAGTGAACTTCTTGTTATGCACATACATCAAATACTTCATTTTTGTTGCAAAACCATTTTGTGGCCAGTGTTTACACAATAAATGAATGCCATTAAGTTCTGTTTATTATGGAATATGTAGTAGGGTGGAACTTATAGGTCAGTTATGATCAGTGCAAACAAATGTCTTTATAAACATTTATAGAGTAAAACCTGCTGTTACTTCAATTTAAACTAGTTATACCACAACTTAGCACCACCCACTTGTTTATACACAGAAAGATCAAAGGAAATTTTTTATATCATGTTATGATAATGTTAACTTACTTGGATCCATATTCTTCAGGTTTCCAGAAGAATGGGATGTGACATCTTCCCATAAAATACGACATCCTAAAGACATGCAGTTTGCCTTTTCCTTCTATTACTATGTAATGGGGGTAAAAGATGAAGTGAATTCCAGTCAAGTTTTTGAAGAAATTGATACTGATCATTCAGGGTAAGGTACATCTTGATCTTTCAAGGGTATATGTTCCTCTTTGTCTTTGGACCTTTGATTTAGCTTGTCAATAAATCTGGCCCTACCAGTTCCTCAGTTATTTGTAGTGTTTCTGGAAGATGATTGAATTGTGAAATTTTCACAATGTCCATTAGCCAGGTATTATATAAAACCTGGGTAAAAACTGAGCGTAATACACAAGAATATACTGTATATACATTACTCTATGTTTTCAGTGTTTTATCAGATAGAGAAATCCGTACACTAGCAGCTAGATTGTATGATCTACCTTTATATTTAGAGGTATGTTTGTCTCTATTCGATTAATTTTACCTGAGTCTTGGCAAGGGAAATATTGAATCTGGCAATGAATGTCATAAATTTCATATGATATAAGCACTCGTTTAAGCTCCTCTTTGTTGTGAATAGATTTGGATGTTCTCTATATAATAATCACATCATGAGTTGCCAGAATTAATATGTCCTGCACATTGGCAAGGGAAATATTTAATCTGGCAACGAATTTCATAAATTTAATATGATATAAGCATACAGTCATGTGTACAGGTCAATAAAAAAAATCTTGAGATTTGCCTTGAAAAATCGGGAGATTTGTTGAAAAATCGGGAGATTTTTCCAAAGCGCGTAAATTCATGATTTTGAAACTCCAAATTGTTTTTTTTTTTCAAATAAGCATTATGCCTTAATTAAAATTAACAAATCTATAATAGGGATAGGCTTACTCAGGCAAAATAATTCTAGAAATAGTGCCTGATATTTTAAGTTTAGAGGCCCAAAAAATGTCAAGGTGAAATGGTGTGAAATGAAAACAAGAAAGCAAGCATGATCCCAGCCCTCTAAATTTAATGGTACCGGTAGGCCTACATGTAATACCATATTAAAAAATCAGTATGTTTTGAAAGCAATATTTAGTAAATAATATGTACTGGCAATGTTACTTTTTCCAAAGGTGTATTTCATGACATCTAAAATATCTCCAGTTCAAAACAAAGAGGATCTTAAACGAGTGCTTATATCATAAGAATCATAAGAATAGATTTGGTTGTCCTCTATATAATAATCACTATATAAGCTTGTAATTAATTTTACTATTTATTCTTCAATAGCTACTGACTGGTTTAGAGAATTTATTCTTAAACTGTTCCAAATCAATAGCACCAGAAACACAAGACGAGTCAGTGACTGAACTCTACTATGATAAAAATATGGTAAGGTATTGTTGTATTTGTATTGCACAAAGACTTATATAATTATGTATTAGCACTCATAGGTACAGTTTTTCAACTCAAGAATATACTATTATTTTTATGAGAATTGGAATAGCAGCCTCAAAATAGTTCTGTTAGTCTTAGAATGTCTTTGTGCTGATAAAAATATAAGCAAGAGCACACATTATGTCTTCATAATTTGTTTTTACAGAGGAAAATTTTCAGCCAAAGTCCCTTTAAAGAAACGAAACACTATCTACATATACAATTCAAAGGTATAACAATGACTATAGTAATTCATGTATTTCAGCCACAAGTAACAAAATATATTTTATTAAACTGTGAAGATTTTACTAGTTTGATCAAAGAAAAGTTTAAACCAGTTGGGAGATACAAGTAAGATGTAAAATTGTTATGTTTTAAAGAAAGAAATAAGTATTTGTTACAATGATAACAACACAGGTTCACAAGGATCCTTTCTACCAACTGCTCCTTGGCCAAACCTCTTGGCATTGACTATCTGTACCCATCTAAAGGCGTAGTTTAGAAAATATCAAATATATTGTAAATTATACCTGAAAATATTTCTAAAGTACGCTATTTATATTTATGTATCGTCTTGATCAAACTGAATTTGTTTGAAAAGGGTTAAATTAAAAACTGTACTAATTGTTAATTGAGCAGTTTAACCTAGTTTTGGCGTTAAAAAATTAATGGGTGGATTTTTTTAGTTAAAACTTTCAGATATGTTAAGGGACACATTTCTCTAGATTTTGGTGTGTAGCCTAGTTTTCACAAATTTGAGCATAAAAAAATTTTGATAAAAAACAGAATGCCCGTTTAAAGCTGTGTTGACTGGCAATAGGAGGAACGACAACTGAAGAATAAATGAAGTAATTTTTTTTGTCCACTGATATACTTATAGTCTTATATGATATACTATATAGTTAAAAAGTTGATGAATAATAAAGAATTTAAGTTAAATATCAAATATAAATATAAAAATGATTTATTCCATATGAACACCCTATTATTCTTTCAGATATACAATAACAGAAGAAGATGAAATAGCATTTAAAATGATAAAAACTAATGTATCTAGTGTTGTTGGACAATTAGATGACGTGCGAAAAAATCCAAAGTAAGTTTCATCTAATACTCCTTTCATGCTAATTTTGAGCAGCTAGGTCCTAAATTTTTACGACTATTAATGGGTCTGGCCTTGCCTGACTAACTTTGTTAAGGTTCTGACTTTCATGATGCATTGTCTTAATTTTCATAATAGCCAGATGTCTGATTTTAATTCTGAATAGTGTTACAGATAGCTGAAGTTGAGCTCTATCAGTTGGTTAAGCAAATATTTAGATTATCATATCTAATTACATGTATTATTTTTTTTTTACTTTCAGAAAATTTATATGTATAAATGATAACATTGAACATGGTTCAGAAGAGGCTAAAACAGTAAGTAACATCTAAAACTCCTATTAAGTTAGAGTCTGGAAAATCTCGCCTGCAAAATGTCTTAGAATTTTAGACTTGAATAACAACTAGAAGTCAGGAGTACAAATAACAAATTTTCTTTGATATTTTGAAATATTAATTACACAGTCTAAAATCTAAAATTTGATTGTTTTCAGTTATAAAGCTTATGATTCAATTATTTAGATATTGAAAATATACCAAGTGAATTGGTGCCTACTGTCAATTTCAAATACTCAAATCTATATATGAGGACTTAGTAGTTAGATGTCAAGTATTAACTCAACTTATAGATTGTTGAAACAGGGTTACTTGACACACAAACTTCAAATGTCATGTAGGAAATGTTATGGTCGTTATGGAGAACTCCTTGATAAATACAAAAAATCTGATTCTTGCATTTTGACTGATTTGTTTGGTCAGACATGAATTGATCTAGTTGTATCTCATGATTTTGACCTTTGAAGTAGTGGCAGATGTGGCACAGGAAGCAGACCATTCATACTCTTTTCAAAACACCTGATGGTACTTCTCTTTACTCCCCAATTTTGCCAGTCTATGGAGGAGATTTTTGATTGATGGAATTAATTGTTATTTTATTATATTGTGTTTTGTTTTAGGTGAAAGCTATATTACAAGATTTTTATGAGTCTATGTTTCCAATACAATCAGATTTTGAGTTACCTAGAGATTATAGAAATAGATTCTTAAATATCAAAGAACTTAAAGAATGGTAAATATCTTGTTCATATCAATATTTTAATCCAAATTTATGTGATCTTTAAAAAAAGGCTTGGACAACTTTAAGAAAATTTCAGAAAAGTTAGCTCTATTTCAGTGAATTATGTAGCAAATTCTACAAATTATTTATTAATAATGTGTAGAATTCTATTTACTTTTGGCTTTATTATTTATAAAACCATCCGTTATATTCCAATATTTCTACTATCAGTCTCTTCTGTAAACCAGTCACACAAATTGTCATTAATTTTTTGATGAACTGTAAGGAGCCGCTGTGGCTTAGTGAGTTAGACGCTTGCTCGCTAAACTGAACGTCCAGGGTTCAATCCTGGCATAGGTTGAGATAATACCTTCAGATTTTTCAACCCGGTTTCCCCCTGTAAGTGATGCAGGTAAGAGGGACTGACATGAAAAAAGCGTCTAGTCGTTCGGATGGGACAATAAACCGAGAACCCGTGTGCTACAGGCTGTGCACGTTAAAGATCCCTCGACAGTTGGAAATCGAGAAAGGGTAGGCTAATGCCGCTGCCATGGCAAAATTTCCCTCATGGCACCCTGCATGGCGTTGCCCGTCTTCATTAGCCCACAAGGTGCAGAAAAGTAGGACGTAAAACTTTATTCATTTCATTTCATTTCGATAAACTGTAGTTTGTCATACGTTTTAATTAACCCATTTCAAATACATTCAGTTTGATCAAGAGGTAAATAGATGTAAATAGCAAAGTTTTCATGTCTAATTTACAACGTTTTTGAAAATGAAAATTTTTATAGACTGTTCCTTTAAATAAATTATATATTATATTTTAGGAAGAGTTATAGAGATTGGTTAAGATTCTGGACACATATAGCCTTAGTTTTACTAGTAATCATAACTATAGCTACTTATTTTGGCGACAAGGTTTGTTAGTATTCTTTTCTTATTTTAGTTTGTGTACTAACCAGAACCAGTTTTTCCATTTCATCAAGTATCTTAAAAATGTATGGTTATGGTCCTCAATGATTTTTGCTTTAATAGTTCTATAGCACATTCGGTTAGAGTCAGAGCTGTTGTTTTCTATCTGGACATGACTGGTAGGGCAGCTCAAATGACTGACAGTCAATATCCTCTTCAGGACATCAAGTATAAACGCTTACTCACAGCTTTACAAGAAGCTTTACATTGTGTCACTAATAGTTGGTTGCAGGTTCTAAGTTTGGCATGTAAAAGTCTGATCTTGAATAAATCATCTGTCCTCATTATTTCAGTTGAACCCAGCTTCATAAGGGTACAGATAATCTGGGAAATTTCAGTGCCAAGAGGTTTTTCAATGTCCAGATTGTAAACATAATCCTCTGTGACCAATCCATCTTCAGAATGTCAAGCTATTATGGACGTTGTACTTATACCTTGACTGCAATAGCCACTATTCTTGTACTACAGAAGTTTGTAAATGAAGTGATTTGATTGGATTGCACACTATCGAATATACCCAATCAGAGATCTGTGAACACATAGCCATAATGGTTACAGCCTTTCTATCGAGGGCTCTTATTAGCTGTATTCGCTGGCATACAATCCAATCATAGCGCTACATTCTGTGATACAAAAACAGTGGCTATTGCAGTCAAGGTATAAGTACAAAGTTCCATAATAGCTTGACATTGTGAAGATGGATTGGACACAGAGGATTATGTTTACAATCTGGACATTGAAAAACCTCTGATTAGCTGTATTCGCTGGTGTACAATCCAATCATATCACTGTATTCTGTGACACAAAAATAATGACTATTGCAGTGAAGGTATAAGTATGATGTTGGTAATGGTTTGATATTATGAATCTTAATAACTGCCTTAATATGGTTCATAATTAATTATCCCTTTCAGATTGAAGAAAAATATAAAGAATACAAGAAACATTCCAAGTTGAAAAGAAAGAATTCCAATAGTAGCTTATTGTTTAATGATTCCCCTGATTTAGATAATACTCAATCCATAATAAATGTTTGAAATGATATGTTTTTAATTATTTAATATTTATAGACCTAATGATTGTTCTTCAATATACCCAACCATACCTGATATCATTATAACCCAATAAACGCTGAAATCTGTATCTAGATATCATTATAACCCAATAAACGCTAAAATCCGCATCTTGATATCATTTTGACCAAATAAACGCTGAAACCTGTATCTTGATATCATTTTGACCCAATAAACGCTGAAAAGGTTATGACACGCCCACTTTATGATTGACAGGCCAATGTAAATATAAGGAATGAATGTGGATCTTGTAATCGTTACGGGGAAATAAATGTTTGTTTATCATGTCACAAGCAGAACATTACTCGCTACTCCGCGTCATTTGTCTTGTCACATGATAAACCCGCGTTTATTTCCCCATAATGATAACAAGATCCACATTCATTCCTTAAGTACAGCAATTCTCCAATTTAAGAAACTATTGAATAGATAAAGAGATAGCGTTACACATAATATGCCCACTTCTTCATGTTTAAATTCAAGCAGATTAATACATTAATTAAAAAATTTTCAGCTTTTAATAACACTCATTTACAGAGCATAATACTAAAAACACAACCATGTCAGCAAGTCTTTCCTAATTTATATAAATATTATTTTTTATAAGGATTTGTTAAAGTGATGTTAAATATCTGTTATATATATGTTTTGCTAAAATTGATATGTGCATTATAAGGGTTTTTTTTAAGTGTATATTTGGTAAAATTTAATGACGTGTTATTGTGTATATTTGGTATGTAAAATGTAACATTTTGTTATTGTGTATATTTGGTATGTAAAATGTTACTTTTTGTTATTGTGTATATTTGGTATGTAAAATGTTACTTTTTGTTATTGTGTATAGTTGATAAATGTAATGACATGTTATTGTGTATAAATGGTATGTTGTATCATTTTTTCTTTTTTTTTTACTTGGTAAAATGTACCATTTTGTTATTGTGTATATTTGGCAAAATGTAACATTTTGTTATTGTGTTTATTTAGTAAAATATTTTGTTATTGTGTAGATTTGGTAAAATATTTTGTTATCGTGCTAATTCAGTACGATTTAATGTCTTTTAGTGTGTATATGTGGTTAAATGTAATATTTTTGTTATTTTGTTAGTTTGTATGATTTGGTAAAATGTAATGTTTTTAGTGTGTATATTTTGAAAAAAAACGGTGTGTAATATTTATGTATATTTTGGAAAAAATGGTGCATTATATAAGTAATGCTTGTTAATGGGATGTTTTTATTCAACACTCATGTCAACTCATTGTTAATAATTCAATCATTGATATCAACTCTTTAAAGGGGTATTCCGCTTTTTTGTAAAAAGTTTTCATTATCAAAAATGTCGTTAATTATACCTGAAAATATTTCTTTAGTATGCTGTTTATATATATGGATCTTCTTGATCAAACTGAATTTGTTTGAAAAGGGTTAATTAAAAACAGAGAGTCCTGATTGTTAATTAAGCAGTTTGAACAAATTTTGGTGTTTGGATTTATAATAGCTTGATTTCATTAGTTGAAACCTTTAGAATATACAGGAGACATATTTCTCTACAATAAGGCATTTATTTTAGTGAAATCCACACTGTAATTTTCTAACAATTTTCAAAAAACATATCAAACATAAAAACCTTACGTAATGTCTTTAAATATTTTTGGTTTTTAAAAGTTAACGGCTGGATTTTTTTTAGTTAAAACTTTCAGATATACATGCTCATTTCTCTAGATTTTGGTGTATATTTCACTAATTTTAGTAAAAAGAATTTTCAACATACAGAAAAGCAGAATGTCCCTTTAAATGGTGCTGTCTGTATAAGTTAGTTTTCCTACCATTCAATTAATATCGTGGGTGAGCGCTTGAAACCTTGTACAACGATATATGAAAAATTACTTTTTGAGAAAATGCATTTTGTTAAAATCTTTTTTATTATTTTTTTTACCGCTATTCGCAGTTTTCATTCTTTGAAAATTTAAACCTCGTATAACAATTTGAGTACTCTGACCTATTCAACTAATAACTTGTATAATAGTGCAGTATATGAGGTTTGTCGTTTTCATCCGCAGAAAAAGAAACATTGAACCTCGTATAATGTAATATTTTACGAGGTTTTAAATCTGACTGTTTATGTACATGTTATTTAATTGGTGGTTTTTGAGTTATTTACAATCAAGCTAAGACTAAGAGGTTTTGATCTTTTACAAGCTTTTGAACGGTACCAAAAAGTCAAATTGACCAAATATGGCATATATAAGGTTTCAAGCTGTCACCCACGATCTTTTGGAAGTGAAGACTAGCTATTTCCAATTCACTTTTTTCATCCTCCTGCAAAATTTTTGTATCTTCCAAATTGAAAATATATATCAGCAGGGCAAATCATGTCTTTTGTGCACACTACTACATAGACTTGAAAAGAAATCCAAATCTATAGAAATCCATATAGGCATATCAAGTTGTATGAGATTTGTATGATTAATGAGAGATTATATGATCGTTATATGTATGAGTTTGTATGATTGTTATGTGTGTGAGGTTGTATGATTGTTAATGTAATGTGTATGCAGTTGTATAAGTGTTAATGTTATGTGTATAATTTGTATGATTGTTAGTGTGTATGAGGTATGATTGTTAACGTGTATTGAGGCTGTATAATTATTATGTGTATGAGGTTGTATGATTGTTACCGTGTATGAGGTAGGATTGTTGTGTATGAGGCTGTATAATTGTTATGTGTATGAGTTTGTATGATTGTTATGTGGATGAGGCTGTATGATTGTTAACGTGTATGAGGTTGTATGATTGTTATGTGTATGAGGTTGTATGATTGTTGTGTATGAGGCTGTATAATTGTTATGTGTATGAGTTAGTATGATTGTTAACGTTTATGAGGTATGATTGTTGTGTATGAGGCTGTATGATTGTTATGTATATGAGCTTGTATGATTGTTGTGTATGAGTTTGTATAATTGTTATGTGTATGAGGTTGTATGACTGTTGTGTATGAGGCTGTATAATTTTTATGTGTATGAGTTTGTATGATTGTTAACGTTTATTAGGTATGATTGTTGTGTATGAGGCTGTATAATTGTTATGTGTATGAGCTTGTATGATTGTTAACGTTTATGAGATATGATTGTTGTGTATTAGGCTGTATGATTGTTATGTGTATGAACTTGTATGATTGTTGTGTATGAGTTTGTATGATTGTTAACGTGTATGTATCTTATATTAAAACTATCCATTAAATGTTGATTTGGCATAATGATTATCTTGTTAATGATTTCTTATATATACATGAGGGTTTTTTTTATGTTGATCACATATCATGGGTTTTCTAATAAAAAGTTAACAATTAAATTATGATTATGTTATCTGCTATTTTTGGGCTACTTAAATTCTATTTATAAGTATTGTGTTACATGTTATGTGCCCCAAGCTTGGGGGACCCACCGTCTTTACAATGGCACGCTATTACGAACTTCATCTTATACCTTGACTGCAACAAGCACCATTCTTGTGCCATGCAATTTTGTAAATGCAGCGATTTGATTGGATTTTCCAATAGTGAATACAGCCAATCATAGGCCTCAACAGAAATTCTGTCAACAAAAAGCTATAATGTTTATGGCTACAGTCTGTCCATCCAGGGCTCTGATTGGTTGTATTTGCTATAGTACAATCCAATCAAATCTCTGCATTCTGTTTTACATTAAGGTGGCCATTGCAATCAAGATATAAGAAAAAGTTAGTAATAGCTTGACAATGAAGATGGGTAACCACCTGAATAGTGGGGAATCCATGTTGTAGGCCTATTTTGAATAATGTTAGTGTACAGACACAGGGAAACTTTCACATCTGTGCATCCCCATCTCCGCCACCTTAACTCTTTACCACGCCTATGCTTATGCCTATAATCTGAAAAGGTTTAAAAAAAAGAAAAATGGGAACTGTCTGCAATCATGACCGAAAAAATTCTTTCATCAAATAAGTTGATTAAACGGATCCAGTTATGGGCCTACTTCAATCTTGTCCGGTAAAGTTTGGCATCATTGCCACGCATGACCACAATGTCAATATTTTGTTTATATATGGTCAGAAACAACAACTTATAGAGCTTGTTGGTTTTGCAATCTAATGAGTCAGAAATTAAAAGTTATGATGAGAAATATTCCACACATTTTTCACCCTGAAAATTTCTTCATGGTGTTGCAATTTACGATTTGAGAAGCCTTAGGGCATTCCTGTTGTTCGAAATATCTTTCAATCAAAATGTTTGTATGAATTATAGCTCCTACAGCCAAAGGCATTCAGAAATAAGTTCTGTCTATATTGTCCTGTGGAATATCGATCGAATGTGCAGTGTTGCAATATTAACTGTGGTCTGACGCTTACATTTTTATCATATCCAATTATCTTTTCCTTAATTCCAATATGGATGCCATCATTAACATGAAAATCGTAATCGATTGAAAAATGAAGCATATGTCATCTTTTTTGAAGGAAATTAGGAACGAAATATAAAGTCAACAGACTTATTCTTATAGCTTATAATCATGGCAAGCAGACCACGTTCATTTTCGTGAGTATCCTCTAAAATAGTAAGCCTACGGTACCGATACGAAAATCAGGCCGGCTTTTTACTTTTGCCAATCCTCAGTCACCACAGTCAGAATTGTTATCGACATCACTAATCAGGCATAATTCAGTTAGTTCTCTGCCAGGCTAGACTAAGTGTAACCTACATATCAGGTTATTTTCTACTAATGGCAGAGAAAGTAGATTTTATCTTAGAGGAAAGTTTTATGATCTTGACTTTTAGTTTCTCATTCCATTCATTTCGATTGTGATCTTTTTTATTTTGAGAAGTTAAATGCTTTTTCTTCACTAAAGATAATGTTTTTAATGGTTAATGATAGTGACAGATGACATCAACTTCGGTTACGTTTTTTGTGAGAATGATAGATCGAACTTTGTTAGTAGGGTGACAGTAACGGTAGACCTACCAGTAATGTTCAGAAAGGGAAGATAGTCTTGGAATTCTCACATTGAATTTTTATTAGATTGTGTACGAACTGGGTTCTACAGATGAATTCTAGCCTTTGACTGAAGCCGAAAATTTGTGCTGTGGTAGTATCTGACATGGTAGGCCTACATTGTTTTTGAAAGAAATTAGCCCACTTTGTGACAAAGGGGGGTCTATTTCATTTTTTTAGTTGAAGTAAACCTACAAATGTTTGTAGAAAACTGCTGAATAACCTTCATTTTATCAGGATATTCTGTTAAATATTTTCAGTAAAAGTGGTGATTCCCTTTACGAACTATTGGGTATTCCAAAAGGGGCAACGAATGATGAGATCAAGAAGTCATACAGAAAGGTAAGCTTCACTATCCCTTTGACAAGTCCTACCTTATACTCAGAAAGGTACGGTAGTCTCTTTTTTAGCTAAGCTAATCACTAACAGTGTTCAACTCACTGTCAAAATTTGAGCCTTCAAATTCATGTCCAGATTTAATCACAATTAAAAGTTAAAATGATAAGTTGTCATATAAGCTTATAGAAAAGATATATATAGAAATAGGAAGTAAAATTCCTAGTTTGAGAAGTTTAGTTTAGACTATTTACTTTATATTCAAGACCAAAATCAAACCCTAAATATTCAAACTTGTTCCTTTAAATGAAATTGACCAAGCTTATAATTTATTGATGGTAATGGATAATATAGCTTAAATGAAGATGCCAGCAAAGTCTAATATGAGGCTGCACTTAATGTAAATTGATCAAACAGGCTTGCAAATTATGGAATCAGGTTTGAGTCAATTGATCAATTGTTTAATCTGTTTTTCAGCTAGCTTTGCGCTATCACCCAGATAAAAATCCAGATAATCCAGAAGCATTAGAAAAAGTAAGCTTTATTAATCATACATTCACAACCTCATAGTCCATCGGAAATAGTTAAGGCTCGTGGAAACATTTTCATGTATTCGTTTTACACTTGTCTATCATATAGGGATATTACCGCATAATTTATTTGCTTTATTAGCTGGCATAAATCATTTCAGCTGCTAGCTGTATCACTTATTTCCAAAAACATGATAGCATTATCCATCACTTTCCTTGAGAATGACAATAATAACCCAGTTCAGAAATGATAAATTAACTAAAATAAATACCAGTATTTAGACAATCATTTCACGTTAAAGGGATTGTAAAGATGTTTTCTAACTTTGGGGACACTGATAGCATCAATTTGCACCATTCAAACTAAGTGTTTGATGACATCACCAATCGCAAAATATGTTTTAGCGCATAAGGCCCATCACGATTATTTACATCATCAAACACTTCTTTTTAGTAGAATTGTAAGAACCACAGACGTCGGAATGAATATTGGAATGGTGCGAATTGATGTTCTCAGTGTCACTGATACTCATAATCTCTTTCTGTGACTTTGAGAAACAATATTTTTTGTGATGTTTTCGAATGTCTTCATTTATTCTTCAAAATGTTTCATAAAACATCCTTGTGAAATGAATTCCTTTTTCAGTTTAAAGAAATAAATAGAGCTCAATCTATTCTACAAGATTCAACAAAACGTGGTATATATGATAGATATGGTTCTTTAGGTATTTATGCTGCTGATCAATTTGGTGAAGAAAATGTTAATACTTATTTAGTTTTAACTAGTGGATGGTGTAAGGTAGGTTACAAAATGTTCCAATTCATTTATAAGCTTAATCCTAAAGTGACAATTAGGGGGTAGAGACACTTTAAGGTACTGTATACTTAAGTATGGAACTTTACACACTGACTGAGATTAGAGCTCACAACCACCATTTGTTTGACGTACATCTTATGTTTCCAAAGCTGACCGCTATACAAATCTGCACCTTTGTGCTACATAGAAAGAAGCATGTGAACCTCCTAGAGAGACTATGAGCAAATTGATATACATCTGAAACGCCATTAACACTTAAATTTGTTTATCTCTTTCAGGCATTAGCTATATTTTGTTGTTTTCTGACAGGATGTTATTGTTGTTGTTGTTGTTGTATGTGTTGTAATTTCTGCTGTGGTAAATATAAACCCCAGGCACCAGAAGATGAAGGAGATTACGCTAATTTACATGTAAGTAAACATGTAAGTAAAATATATGATACCTATTTGGTACTTGATTTGACATATTTTTTAATGCTTACATTTATTTCATAAACTGTTAGGGGCCTATGTTTTACTACTTCAATAATCCATGTCCAGATTTTAGAAATGCAGCAATCAGATATGTTCATGAAACATTGATTTTTATCCAATCAAGGGAAAAGAAAAAAATGTTGAGCTGCCAGATCATTATCTAGAATGGCATGCTTTAAAATTTCAAATGGAAATAAGGTGGTCTCAGTCAGGATCTGGCTGTTCTACTCACAGTGTAAATGGTAAAGCATACAGGCTCTGACTATTAAATCTTCTGCCATTTTGACTTTTTGTGGACCTTTTCTACACTTTTTCGTTAGAGAGCGAACACTTTCTTCCATTTAAAGTACCATTTTTTGGGGGGGCCATGTGCCACTGATTGCTGTATCTGAACCAAATGTAAAAGGGATCTAAGTGAAGTTTTTGTGGTGGGGCCACTAGTTTGGAAATAGAAAATAGGGAAATAACTTCAGCCTTCACCAAGCAGGAAGTGAAATCCTTTTGATTGTTTAAAATTTCCAAGGATGCATAACAGGTTTAGTGGTCTGTGCTGTTATTCTAATGGTTTATAATGATCTATTGTAGGAAGAGAATAGTAGTACACCAGATGAAGGTTCACCTATAACCTCTCAACCAACTGCTATGCCTATGCCCATGCCTATGCCTCCTCCCTCTTCAACCAATACAACAGCTGATACAACAGAGAACTCCAGCTTAAATAGAGAACCCAAAGCAAGCTATGGTGGTGCTGAATTACAAGGTGATCCCTTATCAAGTTGATGATTTTCATTGTAAAATACAGTATATTGTTACATTTCTAATATAGAGCATTCTGTTGGAGGGATAGATTCAGGATGGCTGTCTGATTTGGTACACTTGGTTTTTTGTGATTCGGCACACTGGGTTTGGGTATATATTTGGCTTGGTCTAGCTTAAAGGGACAGATACGCCATTTTCGGGGGTCAATCATACCTTGGTCTGAGAAACAAAAAATTTCAAATAAGCTAGTTCACTGCCTATCATCAAAATTTGAGCCATCCTAGCCATTTGAATCCATAATTATCCATGTTTGAAAGTTAAAAAGACGTATTTCCAAGATTTTCTGTTTTGAAAGATTGTTTAATGGAGTCACATGAATACAATAGTCTCAATCATCCTGTCCCACATCGTCTACGCAGCTGCTACTTAAGATATCTGGGTATCAGAGACTATATCAACACGTTTAATATTCAGAAACCCCAAATTTCAAAAAAAAGGTAAGCATGAAGGAAATAAATAAAAAGTTAAATTTCTTGTTTGAGGTCTATTTGAAAGAATTGGGCCATTTTCGTAAAGTTCTACTACTTCTGTAGACTATTTACATATATTCAAGGTCTAAATCAACCCCTGAAAATGACAAATCTGTCTCTTTAACATAATTTTGTTTAAATATATAACAGCTCTCCCACCACTAATTCTGAATTGAAATGATCTGTTATTTCATATGGAAAATTTTATTTATCTTAAAATAACTCCAATTCCATTGGAATGAGGTCAAAAGCCATTTAGGACACTGAGTTTTATTTTTGGAGCTTATATATCAATAGCTATACAACAAATTATCTGAAAATGCAATAAGCCCCTAAATCATAAACCATTTGTATACTAGATGTTAGTTAACAGCCCATCTTCACAATGTCAAGCTTTGTCTTATACCTTGACTTCAATAGGCACCTTTCTTGTATCACTGTATGCAACGATTTGATTGGATAGATGCCGAATTCAGCCAATCATAGCCCTGACAGACTGTATACATTATAGTTTATTATTAACCAACTTTCTGTCAAGGACTCTGATTCTCGGTTTTCGCAAGCATACAATCCAACTAAATCACAGTATTTACAAACTTCCTTTATACCAGAAAGGTGGCTATTGCATTCAAGGTATAAGACAAAGTTTGTAATTACTTGACATTGTGAAGGTGTTAACAACCTGGACCCAAACTTTTAAATTTTGTGATGAGGTTCTCTTGTACTTACTTTTTCTTGAATTAAATTTGTACTTTTTCTCTTGTTGCAACATTTAACAATTTATTTTCGTCATCCAAATTCTTTTTATTTTGATTATATTAAAAAAGAAATTGCAGTGGTCGTTTTTGTCATATTTTAAATACATTATTAGCCCTTTCAACCCTAGCGACCAGTTTACCAACCACATAATTACACATATAAGTGAGTGGCTGGTAAACAAGGCGTTACCAAGTGATGTTACACAACGTTAACGTCACAGAATGTTAACGTCACAAAATGTTAACATCATAGGTTTTTTACTTATATTACTTGGGAGTTCAGGTATATGATGTTTTATTTCATATACACTTAAGGGTTCAAAGGGTTAAGCATTTTTAAGATTTTTACTAACAATGTAATAAAGAAAAACCTAATGTATGATAAATAGGTGAGAACTCAAGTTATCTATTAGCTAATATCTAGTGTAGTTACTAAAAACAGATCTTGTAACATAATATAATAATAGTCAGTCAATAAGACAAGCGAAGATATTGTGCATATCTTGGTTCTATTCAAAGCATAAAAAACGGCAGTCTAGTTTGATTTTTGGGTATGATAAACAGTAATTGAAGCTTATAACATATATACTTAATAAGTTCCTTAAACTACCTTAAAACAGACCCGTCGCTAGTGTGGGTCCGTGAGGGCTGGGCCCCAGCAAATGAGAAATAAGCCCAAGCAAAACCTTTTTCAGTTCAGCAGAGATTGATTCATTTACAGTGTCTTTGTACAAAATCAAAAAGATATAGATTTTGATACGTTTTTGGCACCTCAGAATTGTTAGAAATGAGTTTTTGTTGCCATTTAATTCTTCAAATTTTCTGGGTACAAAATCTGAGCCCCAGCATCAATTCATTCCTGGCGAAGTAGCTGCCTTAAAATGGAGAGAACTACTTGTATTTATGGTATGAATGGGACCTGAATATGCACAAATCTTTGTTTAACTACAGTTTGGGTGTATAATTCTTTGACAAGCATTTCTCAAATATTTACAGCATTTTTTTCATAATTGTATTTCGAAGGGGAAAAAACTCAAAATTTAATTCACTGTGTATAGTGTAAGGGCTATATGTAATAACCTGTCTGTATGATATTATAGTGCACTTGTCAAAATTTAATCAGGGATAGGTTCCAATATGTAGAGTTTTTACTTGAAGAGATTTTATTAAAGCATTTCTTTAATACATTACCAGTAACTGACAATTTGTTGATATTTGATCAAACAAGTGCAATAATGTTATTCTCTGAGCCTTACAAGTTTGAAAACAAGATAAATACCACTATCAAATAACAATTGTAAGATTTTGTTATCATGCATGTTATCCTCAACATTGTTAATGATGTCAACTCTGGTGTATAATAACTTTTTACATGAGATAGTGTTATTAAGAGTTCTATCTGAGGGATTTTGTTGTTTTAATGTTAGCAAATGATTTAGCTAAATGTGTCCCTTTTCAAAATGACAAGCTGTTGTACAGTATAAAGGACCTTAAAGGGACAGGTGGACCATTTTTTTTACCGTCTATTCTCAGAAACGGGAATGTTTAAGCCAATCAGTAATAGTGTTCACAGCTCCCTTATGAAATTTGATCCTTCAAATCCATGTGTGTGCAGAATTATCCTTGTTTGAAAATTAAAAAGATGTCATCTTTTCTTGAGACTCTATCATATATAAAATAGACGTCCATAGAAAGAGGAAAAGAAATTCCTAGTTTGAGATATTTTTGAACGAATTATGCAATATTCGTACATAGTTCTTGTACTTCTGAAAACTAGTTACAAATATTCAAGACTCAAATCAACCCCCCAAGATGGCACATCTGTCCCTTTAAAATACTTACAGCTGAAACATCCATTCATAGTATACTTGCGCTGAATTGCTGCATGATTGAATAGCCATTTGGACGTCTGTCATTAAGCCAATAAATTTTACCTCTATTAGTTGGTAACGCAAATTATTAGAAACCATCTCCCTTTAACCTATGTTTGACAAGTTATTTTCAGCTGATTAAAAAGCATCATTCTTACAAAATATAAATGTAAATTACTTGAGCATTGATTTTGTGACCTTGGCCAGTGCTTTACAGTTTTAATATACTGCTTCACTTTTAATACTGATGACAGAGCTTAACTGAAATTGACAATCTTGCCAGAATGTAACTTTAAATGGTTTTGCTAAACCTCAACTTGCGTCAAGGTCACTGTCAATCATAACCATGACAACAGAATTTGCTATTGAGCCACCATCTTTAATGGTCCAATGTTAAATGAATTAGATGTATTGATTGGTCATAATTTAATTGGTGTAAATAATTATTGTTGCATGAATAGACCTTATTCACGCCTTGTTTTTGAAACACTGAAAGCGAGGTTCATAACGCAAATGACGTCATCCATTGATAAGATGGCGACGTCATATGAATGAATAGCTTATGTGACGTCATTATCCGATTAACAGCAAGAATAGGGAATTAAAACTACCCTTCTCAGAAAGTATCATTAAGTAGCTTTATCAATTCCAGATTTTAATGATGTAAAATATTATTAGATTTGAGTTTGTGGGATTGCAGAAGTGGGCTTTAAAGATGACAGGGTGGCAATTTTACTGCAGTGACACGCTGTTACTTTTGTTTGTTATGAGCCTCATTCTGGATCCAATATGGCTGACGCGTGAATAAGGTCTATAATCTCTATGTTATGTACAAATGTAGTATTATTATTGTATTAAAGCTATTACTCAATCTTTAATGATGGTTCTTGTTCATGTTAGAAATATTAATGCCTCTTGGGATGATTTTGGAATTTCCTGCAATGTATTAGCATGTGTATACTCATAATGCAATTACCATACTATTGTTTATTGCCATTGGCTTCAGAAATAGTAAAATTAATGGTGATCTTTGACTTGATCATTAGTTAGCACCAGTGGGAAATCATTTTCATTTGTCCTGGACAGGGTTCAGATTAGATTGAACAATTTTATTCGCAATTTATCATACCATTTCAGTTTGGGCTTATCAAGTTAAATTTTGATTTACATTTCTTAAAAATTTGGTATCAATCTTAAATGTTCCAGTTGTAAGTTTAGATCAATCTTGCTAATAATGATAGTTATAGAGCCCACAAGAGTTTCCTTATATTTCTAAATTTGACCGAAAATTCTCATGGAAAATATACTATTTGATTTGATTTGCAGATCGGTGTGTTAAATTTTAGTTTTGGCTAATCAAAGGAAATATTGGATCGTAAATGATGTTATTTTGACTTGCAAAAAGGGATGCGATACTGCTTAAATTGAGCCCCGGTTCAGGATGGTAAATCTTGAAACACATGCAAAAATAAGACAAAAACATGTTGGCTTTACAATATTCTGGGTCAGAAAAATTAGGTTAGTGTTCTTTTAGTAAAAACAATTAAATTTTACACATTTTTCTGATTAGGAATATTAAAATATTGTTATTTTCATAGATTTCCGTTGCAAGTTTCATCTTCAACAGAATGTACTGTAGCTCTAATAAAGTTTCATCAATTGACTTATCATACCAATTTCTACATTTATACTCCCTGTAACCCTTATCAACCATAAGCAAAGTAAACAAATCTAAACCAAGATTTATGAGTTGTTTGCAAAGTCAACATGGGATGTCTTAAGAATTGTCAAAAGCGGTCTCTTGTGAGCGATGCTAATTTAGTTATAGTGGTAAATATTCTCATAAACATTTTGACCAATCATACTTTAGTCACAGAAACAGGAATTTTTTAGTTAATACAATCAGTAATAGTGTTCACAGCTCACTGTTGAAATTTGTTTAGAATTATCTGCAATTAAATGTTCAAATGACGACTCATCAATTTAAGATATTCTGTTATATATAGAAAAATGACATACAGGTATATAGAAATAGTGAGTAAAATTTTTTGAGGAATTATGTGAATTTCGTACATTTCTAGTACTTCTGAAGACTAATTTCATATGTTGAAGACTAAAATCAACCCCCAGAAATGGCCCACTAGTCCCTTTAAAAATAAATCATATTAGTCTGTCATGAGACTATATAACAGAACTAATTCCTACTTGTGAAATTTATCAGTACAATGTAAACAGATGGTATCTAAATCAATGTTATTCATTTCAATATATTATTATTGTGTATTTAAATTGATTCTTAGGCCAGACCAATTTTTTTCTTGTTTTACCGATCCTCCTGCCTTCAATCAGAAGAAAAAATATCAAAATCAACTCAACTGAAAAATAAAATAGCTTTCATTCCTGATAGGAAAAGAAAATCATCATCAGAAACTCCTATTATTAATAAGATATATGATTTTGGATCAAATCAATACTGAGAGGGTAGGAAAAATCGGGTATTTTTTGTCCCCTGCCCTTCACACTAATTTTGGCCGTTTTTCCCCTCGTGCCTTTTTGATTGTCCAGAAAAAATTTGTAAAACAAGAAATTAAATTGGTTTGGCCTTATCATATAAAAAAAACTCTAATAAATATTAATTTCATTTGATACAGGTTAATATTTGTGTCACTCATTTTGATTTTGAATTTCATTCTTGAGCATTTGTTACGGTTAACACAAGCTGAGATTTTACTCCAATTTTAAGCAGCTGTAACATGTGCATAACTGATGTATCAATGCAACAGAGTATATGTTACTTACATTATTACATTAGTTTCCAGACTTTTAGACTGTTTAGAGTTCTAAAAACAGTTTTTATTACTTAAGGGATAGGTTCACCATTTTTGGGTGTTAAGATGGGTCTTTACTAGAAAGAGATATACAGAAAAAAGAAGGCTAAATTTCTAGCTTGAGCTACAGTACATAGTCTTCAGAAGTACTAGAAATGTATGAAAATCGCATAATTCCTTTAAAAATACCCCAAACTAGGAAATTAACCATCTTTATTCTGTATTCGTTTTTTATATAAAGCATAGTCCCAAGAAAGACAAGTCCTCATTTCAACTTTCAAACACGGATAATTCTGGACACACATGAATTTGAAGGCTCAAATTTCGGCCGTGAGCTGTGAACACTATTAATGATTAGCTTAGCTAAAAAATTACCGTTTCTGAGACTAAGGTACGACTGGTCAAACAAATAGTGAAACTGTCCCTTTAACTATCAAAAATGATGGAGAAAAAAAAACAATTCTTTTATCACAGTTTTAATAGTCAATATTTACATATTTATATAATTTAACATTTCATACAATATGTCATTTCTGAAGTTGAGCTGAGATCAAAAATATGATTCTATTACAAGTCATAGATGCCTAGAGCAGGCTGTCTTTACGATTGAATTAATTATAGAAGAACCAGATTCTCATTGTGTAAAGTGATATGGATAACTGATGTAGATCTCTATCAAGTTACAAAAGTGAATTTGAATAAAAGCTTCAAAACAGTATTGATAATCTTAAAATGAAAAAAAAAAAATATAAACAGGAGCACACTTGATCACTTTGAAATTTGTTTTAACATAGGACAGTTTTCATGTAAAAATTAGGAACATTTTCTGGGAGGGAAATGTATTTCTTTTCGATTTCATCTAACAAAAATGTGTATATTTATCAATAATTCTAGAATCAACAATACCCTTTTGAAGCTTATATTCGAATTCGCATAAAATTTCAAATAAAATAGGCAAAATTTGGTACATCAATGAACTTGCTTAGACAATAGTTTGTAACAAATTTGGCAAACTGGCCCACTAAGTATCATATGTAGAAATGAGTTTTTAAAAGTAAGTGTACTTAATTTGGAATTCATAAAAATAATGTTCTTAAAAAAACAAGATAAAGTCATATACATGTATATGGTTCTCTCAACATCCACATCTCTCAAACATAAACCTCAGCATTTTATCTCTTTTGGAATAAGATGTTTTTATGGTTTTTATTAATATTGGTCCAAAAATATGAGCAAATTCTTGAGCATTCACGAGAAAAACTTCCAATACACTAATCCCCCTACAATGCCCAATTCTACTAGGATAATCACAATTAAAATCATTTTATTTGTCATAACTCTCCTTGCCATTCCTTTTAAAATTTTTCTGCTGCGAACTAAATTACCGTCTGTTTCATGAAGTCTATCTCGCGTACGAACTAATGTCTCTCTCTGTTCACCCAATTCTCCAATAATTTCCACTCCTATTTGATCAGTTTCTTCAGATATCTGCTGCGATCTTGCTATACTGTCAGACGTTCTTTGTAATGATTGGTGTCCCTGAAGTAGTTTTGAGCGCTGTGATGCCTCCATTCTGTCTTCTGTATTGAAACCTCTCGAACCCGAGCTGCTGGCTCCAGTTGTCCTCTGTTTTAATGATCTGGATATACTTTCAATATCAGACTTATAATTTCTGATTCTTCCCAGCATTTGTGTCCTGTAATTGACAGGAGCAACTTTGGCTTCACCTTCCATTTCTTGTAAGATGAGATAGGCATCTTCTAGTTTATTTTCAACTTGTCTGGCTGCACTTTTTCTTTCCTCTCCAGAATAATTCTTTATTTTCCTTTCAACTGTCACTTTTGCATTGTCAATAATGGAGCACAAATCGTCTTCCAACGACTCAAATTTTTGCGATGACATGTCGTCAAGTCATTAATCAGTTAAGCTTTTATGTTATTCTCTGTATAAGCAAATTTTTGTTGAGAAAATTTTGGTTTTTTGTTATAATTTCTTAATCAAGATTAATCAGGTGACTGGGCGTAAAAATAATAAAGTGAGTTATTCCCCTTACATTATAGTCTTGATTAACATAGACACTCATTACGACATTCATTTTATAATTTTTTTATTGCGATTTCAGCTGAATTTTTTATAATTAAAGTTCAGTCTTTCAAATCGCATGCAATACAACATTCATGCACATAATCCCAGTTCAAATATGGACTTATTTAATCCACCTTGATTTTATTGTAAACTTGTGTCTAAATAATCGAGTCTTTCAAAGATAAGAAAGTAAACAAAACACTGGAAAGTTCCAAAGCTTTCTTTGACTTTCAGACTTAATTTTTCAGAATGTTTGGAGTTTTAGTCTCTGGAAGATTAGTGAGTTATTACTTTTCAACTAATCATTAGATGACAGTGATGTTGATGACACTATCGTCTATTTCAAAGCTTACTATTAAATAAATGAAATGGTGTTTTCCCTTTTTATTTTTGACCGGGGATATTTGTCACGGCACCTGGAAGATTATTATTTGGCACATGTTGTCGCTATTTCCTACTGGTTTCATATTTTTATGAAAGAAATTATAATATTTCAAATTAAATGTACATTTTTGAAAATTTATGTGAAAAGCCTTCCTTAAAATTGATGTTGGGAAGGACTATTTATCCAATTTTGTGGTAAATATTCACTGCCTTTACTATTACAGTTAATTTTACACTTTTGTTTTCTCCTCTTGATTCAGAAAAATGAGTAAGAAAAATTCACCAAGGCATTGGACATTCCCCTTTTGATTTCCAGCAGTTGTTGAGGGGTCTGTGTCATGTACATTCTGTAACACATTACCAGGAGACACCTCCATTCAGGGTCCCATTGGAACCACCCTACCAGCCACTCTTAAATTTCATTTTCATTTGTTAATATAGCCACAGACAGACTGTCAACAAGTTGGTGAAACACAGTTTATGTTTAATATACCAGAAGCTGATAACATTAACCATGTTGTAGTATTTATGACAGGACAAACAGCTTTTCCTCAAAATTTAGGTGGTGCAGGTAAAAACCATTTCCCTTTACTCAGACTGCATTCACACTTTGCATTTGATACAACAACCATTTTTGTGTCATTTTTTGTTTCAATAATTTTTGTGTTTTTTTTTTATTATTTCTAAGAAATTTTCTTATTTAGATTTGAAATTTGGGGTTTGACAACTATCATAATTTTTTTGTTAAATTTCAGTATATTTTTCCTGGCCTAGTCCAAGTGGAGCTACCTCTTGGATTTTGTTGGGTCACATCTCTAATAATAAACCCAGTGCAATTTTTAAAATTACCAAACTAAAAGGTAACTCTATTTTATATAGTTCTAAGTTTTTCCATTGACCTTGGACAAAGTTCATAAAATTTTTACCTATATTATCTACTAGGCCCCGTTAGTCATGCATATACCGGTACATGAAAATAGTTGAAAAAAAAATTGTTTGATTTTCCTTCATGCATTGATTTCATCAATTTGACGAAAATAACAAAGAGAATTAATAAATTATGTATGAATTGAAATGTATCAAATTTAAATTTATTGCAAATTTACTTAGTTTTCTTGAGCCCCAAATCCTTTCTTATAGATGTATGTAGTTAAACAGTTTTTGAGCAAGTCAAAAATACCAACTATCAAATCAAAGTTAGTTTCTAAAGGGTTTATATATAAATAAATGAATTAAAAATACATTTTATTAACTTTGATTAAAGATGACATTCATAAGCTTATTGGTAGCTTTTTTTTTCATAGAGATATCATTTAAATGAAACTTTGTTAATTTCAGAATCCAGTAATGACAGTACCCATCCATTTGGTCAGAGTTCCGCCAGTCATTTGGCCCAAATAGGTATATCAGTTGAACCAATAGAGCAATTAGCCCAACAGACACCAGCAACAGCTTCATCAGCAACCAATGTCTCTTCATTTGTTGAATTCTCTCAGAAAATGTTGGAAAACTTTGTGAATTTTGCATCTTCTTTTGCTGTGAATCAGTCTCAAATGGTGCCAAATCCTTCGGAAACATTCGTTCCTTTGAGTACCATTCCAAAATGGTTTGAGAATTTCAAAAGACGTTTAGAAAAGAATCCTAACTTTTGGCAGCAGTGATGTTTATATATGTTGTATATTAAGTGGTTTTAAAAGTGATAATTGGTGTGTGTAAATTTTGAACTCAAAGTGCTCTTTTTTGCTGTATAGTGCTCAATATTTATAAATATAATGCAGCATTATGCATTGAAGCATTGTGTATCTTCACCAAGATGAAGATGCTTTTTGAAGTAATTGTTTGATAAGAGAAAAGTACTATATAGGATTAGATGACCCATCAAGGAAACCTAGCTAATATGTGAAAATGCATGTTTAAAGCCTAAAAACCGCATTGCAATCGTAGATCATCATTAATGATTGTCAAAGTACTGTGTTTGTTTCACTGGATGTCAGAGCTCATTTTCAATTTTTAGCTATTTGGGTTTTTATAGAGAAGTCTAGTATTCAAGATCTCATTGATATCGTCTCCTTAGATACTGCGATAAAAAATTAAAATAAGATTACAAGTTTGTTTCTTTTATTTTTGATATTTTTGTCTCCAATGTAATCTAACATGTTTTCGACCACATTCCTGTTGTAACGATTTTATTTTTATCCAAATAGAACATGTCTGCAGTAGAAAACTTGTAGGATTACAAGACATGAAATTAACAAAAAAACGGACAAGTGTAATCTAATTGAATTTATTTGGATACATAGAGACTGTAATAACTTTTATTTCTATGCTTTATTTTATTGTAGACAAACCATCTTTATTTTGGTTTTCTCAGAATTGCAAACTCTCTAGAAGAGGTTTTTTCCTGACCTTCTTTTGAAATTATGAGATTATTGCTATGTGTCTTCCATTGAAATTCTTAAAAAGTCAAATTTTTAAAAGGCCTTAAAATAGAATTCAAAACCATTTCTAAAGCTATGTCCATGTAACAACCAATGAATGAACTCAGCTTGACTTTTAAAGGGACAGTTGAGGCATTATGTCTTCAGAAGTACTATAAATGTACAAAAATTGCATAATTCCTTCAAAAAATATCTCAAACTGGGAATTTTATATAGTATTTATATATATGTCTTTTCTATTATATCACAGAGTATCTTAAATAACATTCAAACGCAGATAATTCTGGACCCTTATGAATTTGAAGGCTCAAATTTCGACTGTGAACTGATAGGCTTAGCTAAAAATTTCCCTTTTCTGGGACTAAAGTATGATTGGTCAAAAAGAATTGCCTACCCGTCCCTTTAACAGTGGATTTCATTGATTTGAATTTACATCAAACTTGACTCACAAAAGGATATGGTTAGATCAGAAATGACTGGAGTAAAATAATCAACAGATCTCATCAAGTAGAAAATGAATGAATCAAAATTTGGTTTTTAAGTGCCAATCTGTTGAAATGTTGTTAATTGTATATTGTTATTTAAGTATATCAGTAATGTTATCTATTGTTGGCATTATTCTTGAAAAAGAATGTAAGCCTATTAACCTCAATGTAAAATTAGCAAAGTAGTGGTTTCATGAGAATATTTTTAAGGACATACTGTTTCTATGAAACGCTTTGACTTGTGGAAGAGACATGTGCTTTTTGATTAAAACATTTTTTGATAAAAAATATTCAATATTTTATCTCACATTGCTAGTTTATTATCTTATCTGGATATACTGTACATTTTGAAGGGTGTTGATAAATGAAATTGTCAATATGATATTTTTATTTCAATATCATTATAAATATATTATATAATATTACAACAAACTTAATATGTTCTTTTTCCTCTCTTCTCTTCCTGAAAAAAAAAACCAAACATGTTAACCATTATTTGGAATGGAATTATTTCAAAATGCATGACTAAATGTTGTGTTTTTAAGAAAAGTTCATGAAATGTGTATACTTACTTTTAAAATCATAGGTAATTTTCTAAGAGAATCATTATATCTTGGTTTGAGTGAAAACAATTTATTTGGTTTGATTTTCAACTTTTTGAATTTATCTTTCCCAGATTCTCTCAACATTGCCTTGTAGGTACAAACCTAGTATAATATAAACCAAGCGATCATTATATAAATATCTAGTCATACAAAAAAATGTGTGCATAGCCATTTACAAAACATCAACACAAGCAGTCCACGAGTAATTGCCATTATTGTTTGAAACATTTTAGAATATTAGCTCTGTATGGCAGAATTTCTTATTGGATTTTGACAAAATAAAAAAGTAAATCACACGATAACGTGCAAACCTCAAGACAAAATCTAAAAATTAGAAAATTATAAGGAATCAAACTAGGATTTCTCAAAGGATTTAAACTTCGATTAATATTAAGTGTAAATTTGAAGAAAGAATGGCATACCTCTCGTTTTTCTAAGATAGTGATTGCTGTGCCTGTTTTACCGGCTCTAGCTGTCCTTCCAACTCTATGTATATAGTTTTGTATATGAAGTGGTCTATCATACAATATAACATATTGCACATTATCAATATCAATACCTCTTGCCATAGCATCAGAACATATCACCCTGAAAAAGTTCATTTCAACATAATGAACAGCACATTCCAATATATAGTACAGTCAGTTAGAGCGCTAAAGACATAACTTTATTTGCTTGGTTATGTCGAAAAAATGATGGTCCTTAGTTTTAATCTAAGTCTACCCAGTTGTAAATGGATTAATGCCAAGCGGTTCGGCCTCCTTGATAATGAATTGAAAGTCCTTATGCCGTGGACCAAGTCTTTAATGTCTTTAACAGGGTTCATACAGCACTTTGCCTCAAAAATTCAAAGACTTTTCAAGGACTCTGGGCTTTGAAATTCAAGGACTTTTCAAGGATATTATTTTGACACATGTACCTAACTTCTGAACTGTGAAATCAATAAAGATAGTTAATATTTGTCAATGAGGTTAATGATAAAAATATACACAATTTGACTCAAATCAAAATTCAAGGACTTTTCAAGAGAAAATGGGTTTTTTATGGTGTTTTCAAAGACTTTTTTCTAAATCAAGGTTTTTCAAGGCAACAGACGGAATTCAAGGGTTTTTCAACCCTGCTTTAATCATCTGATTGGCTGAGTTTATTACCTGTGAACATATTGTTTTTAGAAATGAATGCAAAAATAAAGTTAAGGAAAAAAACAAAAATATAATAATTATTCTATTTCATACTACGTGTACTTACATATCAACTTTGCCCTGAGCAAACTCTTGTAATATTTTTTCTCTAGCTGCTACTGTCAGTGCTGAACTAAATTCTCTAACTTCGACATCTCCATATAACTTGATTAGTAAATATAACCTAAAATAAATGTTATCAATATATCTCCAACTAATCTGACAAGTAAACATAACCCTAAATAAGTCTGACTGGGAAATCTACAGATAATCTGACAGGGATATCTACATATAATCTAACTGGGACATCTACAGATTGTCTGACTGGGATATCTACAGATAGTCAAACTGGGATATCTACAGTTTTACCGACTGGGACATCTACAGATAATCTGACTGGGACATCAAGATAATCTGACTGGGATATCTACAATCTGAATAGGGACATCTACAGATTGACTGTAATATCTACACATAATCTGACTGGGACATCTACAGATAATCTGACCGGGATATGTACAGATAATCTGACAGGAATATCTACACATATTCTGACTGGGATATATACAATCTGAATAAGGACATCTACAGATTGTCTGAATGGAATATCTACAGATAATCTGACTGGGACATCTACAGATAATCTGACCAAAATATCTACAGATAATCTGACCAAAATATCTACAGATTATCTGACCAAAATATCTACAGATAAAAAATAAGAGCCTGGGAAATGAACTTACCTGTGGGTAGATTCTACTGAATTGGTAAAGCACAGAATCTGACGGTATTGTAGGTTATGTAGACAATGTAAAACAATCAATGGTTTATCCATGGCCTTACATTCAACATGGAGTTGCTGAAATGATAAATATTATTTACAAGCCTTCATTCTGCTTCAAATGCAGATCTCAATGTTTTGTTACATGCCCTTCCTCAGGTCCTGTTTCCCCTGTCTGTGATGGAGGCAGAGGCAGACCTGGAAAAAACATCTAATCATTCTGATGGGACAATAAATCAAGGTCCTGTGCGCTACAGGCTGTGCATGTTAAAAATCCTTCAATGAAATTAAACAAAGAGTAGACTAATACAGCTGTCCTGAGAAAATTACCCTTATTACACACTGCAAGGCATTGTCTGTCCTCATAAGCCCAATAATATGCAGTTAAGAAGGACAATAAACACCATTTCATTTATCTCAGCATTTCTTTCATATGGTAAACAAAGCTTGTATAAAGCAAAGCATCTCATAGATACTGAGTCACACATTCAAATTTGTATTGGAATTTCAAGGATTACATGGATTTACCTTCAATGTAGAAGGTGTGCTGTATTTTCCAACAAATTCTCCTTCTTCTAAATCAGACTGTTTATCTAAAATTAAAACACATAATCTATGTTGAGGAGTCTTATTTATAGCTTATTGATATGAGTTTCTTTTTCTGCTTCTTACAGTGTTAATCTACTTTAATACTTCTGCTTTAATGTTGCATTCAATTTGTTAGTTGACCTTAAGAGAGGTCAAAACAGATCTGTACAATTCAAATAAGAAATATTTGACATTACAAATTTGAGGAGTAGCTGTAGCACAGCGAATTAAAGTGTTTGTTCTTTTCTCAGTCAGTATGTGCAAGTCTGGTGAACCACCTGGAAAGAGGGACAGATAATATGAGAAAGATCAATGCCAAGAGATTTGGATTTGACCAAAGACCAGCTGGTACAAAGGATGCTTATGAATCTAAATTGTTAACCTTGTAAAAAAAAGTAGTTGTTTATTTGTTTGTTATGTCAAATAACAAAGTCAAAGTAGCAAACCTTTTACATGTTTCTCCTTTTTCTTCGATGAAACATCTTTGGTCTCCTTATTCTGGGTGTGTTTTGAGCTGACTAGTGTTGTAAAGAGTTGGGGTTGAAATAGTTTCAATTGTTGTAGAATTTCTGGATCTTGAGACAAAGTTGCTGAGAAAAGTAACTTCTGAAACTGAAATCAATCAGAACCAAATTAATGTGAATGCTTTTAATGAGTCAAACTTTAACTTGAGTTGAACTAGCCATTTATATTAGATGCACTAAGAGTTAAGAATGAGTCTTGATCATGTCAAAACTGCAATATATCTGAACTTCCTGTATTCAAAAAACAAATCAAGTGCATTCTCATTGAACTCAAGAAGCTTTCAAAACACAAGAGTTGTGTACCATGTTTGGATAATTAAAAAGCTACGATGGAATCAAAAATAATGGATTAGAAAGCCTGATGTGGTACTTACAGCTAATTTCTTTCCGTCACAGCTGAAACAGACAAAATATAAAATATCGTTTAATGATACATGCACAAATCTAAAAGTTCTGTTACAAATGATAGTCATGAGATCTAGCTCCTTTGGCAAGCAAAAATCTACTGACCTTGATTATGATTCGCTGTCCTCATTATTCCAGTCAATCCACCTTTAAATGCGTACAGATAATCCAGAAAGATCAATGCCAAAAGGTTTCACCAGGGATCAGCCGATTGTTTCTTGAGAACCCAAATTGCTTTTCTCGTAAATATAGTTGTTTTTCTTTCGCACTCCACAATTTAGAATAATATAATTGACAAGAGATCATCTTGTCCTGTTGACACACGTTTCAGATATAAAATCATCATCAGGATAACTAATTTTGGAAACACAGCAAAATAAATAATGGCTCACCTTGCTTGAGTTCCTTCTGGAGTTCTAGTTCTGTCTAATCTTTTAACAGGATCATCAGGATTATGTACTTTGAATACATGTTTCTCAACAACTTGTAACCAATTCTGTTTAATATTATCCATCATCCTATCAGCTTCATCTATAACCTGTGACACATAAATTTTTGAAAGCAAGAGTTATATGGCTTACGGGATCACGAGTCACAAGAAGTCATTAATGAGAATATTGTAAAGGTAAAGTGGTCACAGTAATATGGTCACATGGTAAATTAGGTACAGTCATGTGGTCACAAGGTACATTGGTTGCAAATGGTCACAGTAATAAGGTCACAAGATACACTGGTCACAGTAATATGGTCACAAGATAAAATTGTTACAATTATATGGTCAAATGGTAACTTGGTCACAGTAATAAAGTCCCGAGGTAACTTGATCACAAGATAAAATAGTTACAATAATATAGCCTTTTGCAAAAATAGCTCTCTTCAAAAGACCGCAAAAATAACATGGTCACAGGAATTTGGTCACAAGATAACATGGTCACAACAATATGGTCACAAGATAACATGGTCACAATAATATGACTTTTGGCAAATTGCTAACAGTTATATGGCTTTTGGTAAATTGGTCCTTGTAATAAGATTGCAAATTTAACATGGTCACAGCAATATGGTCACAAGATAAAGTGGTCACAGAAATGTATGGCTAAAATAAATCATTGATGAGTAAGTATCAACTGATCCAAACTGTACATCTACATGGTGTAGATAGGCTACATGGGCTCCTTGGTTGAGCTCAATTACATATAATATGTTTGAATGTACATGTGATATTTTATCTTTTGTTACTACATACACTACAACACTTACAAGAAAGCGTAAGCGACTTAGATCAAAACCAGGTGTCTTGTTGATATGATCTACTAATCTTCCTGGTGTAGCTACTATTATATCAACTAGACTCAAATAACCAGCCATTCTAGAAAAAAGAAATTAACATCATACACCACAAGTAACCCCAAGTCAGACAGAAAAAAAACTTTAAATGAAAAATAAAAATCACACAATAGTCTTAAAGGGACAGATGAGTCATTTTTTACCCATCACACTTTAGTCTCAGAAACAGGAATTTTTTAGCAAAGCCAAAAGCTCGCTGTCAAAATTTGAGCCTTCATATCGATGTGTGTCCAGAATTATCTGCGATTGAATGTTAAAGATTAATTAAAGATACTCTGTGATATATAGACAAGACATATATTGGAAAAGTGAGTGAAATTCTTAGTTTGTAGTATTTGTAACAGAATTATGTGATTTTCGTACATTTCTAGTACTTCTGAAGACTATTTACATATATTCAACCTCCCAAAAATGGTGCACCTGTCCCTTGTCCCCTGTTAATTTAAATCTATTTAATTTGACTAGGAATTTTGAGGGGAAGTCTCCTGAGTGATATATTAATAAGGAAGAAATAATAGCGTTTTTTTTTTCCCAGCAAAATCCTAAATAAAGTTAATTTGGTAATTCACTATTGTAGGGATGTTAATCAAATATAGCATAAACCTTACTTTTCCACAACTAAAGTCTGTTGTTCTTCTTCAAATGCTTGTTGTCCGCCAAGAAGTTTCACCTAGCAAATATCAACAACAGTGCATTAGTGTATTGAGCTGGGCAATTTTATTTGAATTATTCTTCTGTTAAAATATTGAATATGAATGAAAAGTTATGATATTTATGTCATACTTTTCTGATTAGGCTAATAAAAATAGGCAATGCCATGCAGTGTAAAATAAGGGAAATTTGGTTTATTTTTTCATCTGCTTAAAGGTTTGGATGAAGCTTGGTTGAAAAATTTGAAATTACTAACTCAACTTATGCTGGGATCAAACCCTGGACATCCAGGTTAGCAAGCAAGCATCAACTTACTGAGCCACAATGGCTCCCAATAAAGGGAAGCTGAATTGAAAAATTCTAAATTATTATCTTGACCTTTGCTGGGATTGAAACTTGGACCTTAAGGTTAGCAAGCAAACATTAAGACAGTGATAGTAAAAGACGCAACTCTACCTTCAGCTGTGTGCCTTGACAGTAATTTTCAAAAACTTTAAAGACTTGAAGGGCTAAATCCCTCACTGGTAAGACAACAAGTGCTCTGATTCGACACACATTTCTTGGTAATAAAATCTGAAAAAAAAAAACCGGAATGAAATGAGTTTTACATTTTGTTCTAGGTTGGGCTAATAAAATGATGACAATGCATAGTGGTATGCAATGAGGGAAAGTTTTCCATGACAGTGTTATCAGCTCTTGTTATTTTTGAGGGATCAGTACATAGCCAGCTGCAAACGTGGCCTCTTGATTCACTGATTTCAATTTTAATTAAACAAGGCATAGTTCTAGTCATCTATCAGAACTTATATGAGCCAAATGCAAATAATTGCAATTTTTTCAAACAGGAGAAGAAGAAAACAGCCAGTTCACAAGAATGGCAGTTCATGTTCTTGAGGATACTCATTGCTAGCTTATCCTTTAACAAACCATTTATTCTTGGCTTTTTCAAAGGTCATTGATCATACTACATCAATGTAATCAAAGTTAAATTTCCTAACTTTTTTTCGATATTTTTAGTCTGCATTGTAATCATATAAGTTCTCTACCAAAGTCCTGTTCTATTGGCATTAGTTTTAACCAATCTAAATGTGTCATGTAGTACCTGTTTCTTGAAAACAAGGACAAATTGGAGGATATCAGAACCCAAAGTGTAGCAATAAGACAGCCTCTTTGAGATTTGTAACACACAAAATTTCGAACATATCTATCATTTTAATTGAAACAAGCAATTGATGCCAACTTTTTGTCTAAAAGTGGTACTTGATTACATTTATACTTACATGAAGAATAGGTAAAACATAAGCCAATGTCTTTCCACTACCAGTTGGTGCTGAGACACAAACATCTCTTAATGGTGAACCTGTTCTACTGAATCCAACCTGACCTCCACAGTCTTTTAGTATCAATGGTAATATACTAGTTTGTACTGAAAACAAACACAAACATGGGGTATTTAGAATATTTAGAGGAAAATGAACCATCACCAATATACAATGAGCTCTCTAGTCTACTATTCTTCTCTTAATTGATATAACGCACAGTGCCATGCAGTGTGCAATTAGAGAATTTTTGCCAGGACAGCAGCTTTATCCTCCCCTTTTTCAATTTTCACTTGTGAATAGCCATGAATGGGGTCTCAGCTCTGTGTTCCATCAAAGCCACTGGACACTTTTACTACTATATCAACCTACTTCTTCCAAACAGCCCTAAACCTAATGTAAATCATAGCCAAATCATAGGGGTGCAAACTATTTCTATCCTTACCTGGGAAAAAATGAGAGATGTTGTTTTCTTTTAATTTTTCAACCAGACAAGGGTGGAGCATATCTAAATCTTCAACTGGTGTTTTTTCTAAATCAGTTTTAATTATACCAGGTTTGGCCAGCCATTCTGGTAAATACTGTTTTACCTTTAAACCAAATACAGATGTGAAAAAAGTGTCATGATCCTCAGTTGAACAGGACATGAAATGCTGACTGAAGCCTTTTAATCAAATTGATATCATTAATATTCTTCTCAAGCTTCACTAAAGCTTATATTTGGTAAGATTGTAAAAACCAATATTGTTGAGCAAAAATATTTGTGAAGGATTAAAATGTAAACTTTATTTGAGGTGCAATAAATGATAATTGAAACTATAGTAGAGCAAAAATATTTTAGAAAATCCTGAGGGATCCACTTTCAATAAATCAGGTTTCTCAATATTTGTTTTTTGAATGGGATTCTGATGAGCAACACTATTCTATACACTATATAAGCCAGATATATTCCAATACACTGTCTTTTACTGTCAGTGGAAAAACTGAATTTAATTGATGTCTGCTAGGCCAGTGCTTCTCAACCTCAATGAGATCATTCCCCTCCAAAAGAGTTAATCTATTCCTCCCCAAAATAAATCAGTCATTTTTCAATCGAAAAATAAATTCAACCAATAACCATAAATGGATAAAAATCATACTCCAAATATCGAGATAGATAAATGTGACCCTTGAGCCAAATGTTCGTTCACAATTCTCTGCATGTCCGTCAATTATCTAATGATGTCAATTTCAGTCATAGATCACAATATTGTCTCCCATGTCCTCCCTGGTCCAACGATTCCCCCCCATTTCCAACCTTGGCAATAATTACTCCCTATGGTTTTCCAATTCCTCCCTTGGGTAGCAATTCCTCCCCTGTTGAGAAGCACTGTGCTAGTTAGGATGGTTGAGACCCTCAAGGTTAGAACAATTCTGAAGCCACAGCCGGTGCATCCTGTCACTAAGATATACATGAATATTTTTCTTTCACTTTATACTCACCTTCTTTTCAGGTTCCAATTTGAATTCTCCTAAAACTGTAAAATTACCAACAAGATGAGGTCCCTCTTTGACTTGTTTTGAACTAATGTCTGACACAACTGGCATACTGGTAATTTGTCACTAACTTTATCACTTTGTTCATCTTCAATATTAGAGAGTTTACTTTCACTTTTCTTTCTGTCCTTTTTAGGTTTATGCTTATCATTGATGTCTTCAATATCAGTGTCTTTTGTTACTTTCTTTTTTTTTTCACTTTTTTTTCTTTTTTCTGTGAATCACTCTGTTGATCTGAAAGATAACTATCCACTTCAGCCACTTTCTGATTCTTCTTTTTATCTTTACTGAAAATAGCAGTTTCTTCACTAAGTAAAGATTCTGAATTATCCTTCTTACTCTTTTTTGGACTACTATGATCTTTTGATAGGGTCTTTTCAGATGCTTTTCTTTTGGACTTAAGATTTACTTTTTCCAAACTTTCATTCATCTGCAGTTTTTCTTTCTTCTTTTTCTCCACATTTTGGTATAATTGTTTAAGTAGAAGAGCAGATTGATTTTGTGGAATTCTTTCCTCATCGTCACCATAATATCTAAGAAAAATGGAATCAATATTAAAAACGAAGATCCTCAGCATAAATGCACATAGTACAAGTTCGACTTCATTTCACACCATCATTTTGAGTAATATGTCAAGATATAATTAACTATTTGTGCTATTAAAATTTTATTTAATTCCAAAATGCCCCTTCCCAATTCACCCAAATTCTATTGCCATTTCGGCCCTCCCAAATTTGCCCCTTGCCGTTATTTTTTATGTGGTCTAATATGAAAAAGGGGCGAAGTGGGAAGGGGTGAAAACTTAAGCTACCAGTAGCCTGAGTAGGGGCGAAATGGGACAGAGTAAACAGAAAAATGGGCCAGTTGGTGAAGGGTGGATATGGGAAAAGTGGAAAGGTTTGGTTTGGGAAAGGGTCGAAATGGGAATAATTTATGGGGAAAAATGGGCAATATCGAATATGCCTGCCAATATATCATAATGTGAAGGGGGAACCTTATCACAATTTCAAAAGTATTTTTTTATCATTTTAACTTCTGCAATATAGTATTGAAAGGGATGCAGACTGAAATTATTTGTCTTAGAAACTGTGGTTTATCAGCTGGTTTAAAACTCTACACATCTCTTTCTTGTGTGTGTGGACTGTGTAGGTGGGCGAGTTAATCTCTCTCCAAATCTCTTTTAGGCTATCCAGGACACCCTTTTTTAGAACAAATTTGCAATGTCATCCGGAGCACTCATAAACTCATACCTGTTGATTTTGAATAATGCCATTTTGATGTAAATTCAACATACACGAATCACATTCAAGTTTTAATTTAACTTCTCGTGTTGATATATGGGCGCTGACATTTTTGTTTAGGAATTATGGGTAAAATTGAGCGTTCGATTACTTAACACTTTCTACACTTAAAAAATATTTTTTTCTCCAAATTTTAATTTATCGTTAATTTTCATTTCTTACTAAATAGACTAAACAGTCTCTCTATTATTCACCAATATCTGCATGTACAATGTAATAAATATAGAGCTATTTGAAAGTGAAATGATCTAATCGAGCTGTTCGTATAGGAGAGAATGAACGAACGCAGCGGATGGACCTGTCAAAAAATGTAAACAAACCGAGAATGAAATGTGGTGAGTATTTTCAACAAATTAGATATTATAAATGATAATTCAAATAGATATTAATAAGGCACATCAATTGGTGATAAATTTTCTGCAGTCTCTCAGAATTACTTATAGGGAGTAGATCTAAGCGTGTGTCTTCAAATTTACAGGCCTATGATTGAATGAGAATGTGGTCAATAGCAATATCTTAATGAGGAAGATAAATTATTACACCCATTTGCGAGTGATCAGTCTATTTTTTTTTATATAAATTCAGACCTACTTTGCAATGTATTTTATTGTAAAGTTACATAGTCATGTCAAGATATTACTTTTCCAGCTGATAGAGTGCATGTTTCGTGAAAATTTGAGGTCTGTTTTGACAAACATTTCTGCCTCTGGCAAAAGTGATGACAAGTGATTTATCATTTGCATTTATTCTTATTTTCCAGCTAGGGCTGTTAACAAAACATATTCTTCAGAGCGTGCAAGTTTTGTTACTGATGACAATTTTCTTTTCTTTTTTTTTTCAGAATATTCTATGCAATAAAATTTAAAGATAGTCCATGTAGGTGCCTATCAGCTCCAGGGCTACATACAACTAAACCACAACATGGTGAATACACCCATACCACATAGTTTGAAATCAGAAGCTAAAAAAGCGGCTAAAATACTAAGAGAGTTCACCATACCTAATGCTAAAACAGGCCCAGATAAACTTATACCAGGTATATATGAACTTTTAAAGAAATTTTAGTATCCTGTTTTCGGTGAGTGACTTCAGCCTCCTAACACTTGGATACAAATAAGGGATAGACTGAATGGTGGGACAACTGTGGGTTTGGGATTCCAAATGCAGAAGTGGTTGGTTGGTAGATGTCAAGTTAACATTCGCTTCCAGCAGATGCTGATATCGTAAACTAGGTACTTGGTAGTCATAGTTGTTGGTAGTTAGAAGTGATGTGAATGCCTCCTATGTAGGGTCTGAGGGATTTCCCCCCATCCCTTCTATTTATTAGCCGAGAATGTGTAGGAGCTTGAGATTAGCTTTGTTGTTTGATGTCATTATCAAACCTTACCAAACCACAGGTGCACATTACTTTCTCTTTGTTTAAAAAAAACTTCTATTTTTGGTCTTTTGATGTGAATATTTGATGAAAAAAATTGCTGGGACAGCAGCATTATGCAAATAAATATTCTTTTAACTATTTGAGGAATCTTGCATGTACAGACTAGATGCTCACCAATAAGTAAGGCTACCAATTTTCAATTGATGCATTCTGGAGTTTTTTCTTTCAGCTGGTATATTTGCAAAAGCTAAAGGTTTAGCTATATTAACTGTTGTTAAAATGGGGTTTTTGGTAACAGCAAGAGGTGGCAGTGGTATTGTTATAGCTAAATTAAGTGATGATTTAGACTATACAACAGGTAAGTTTATAACAATCTCTGATGTATCAGAATATTTTACTGTGTTACATTGCACTGTGTTTTTTTTTATTAGAGATTTAATATTCATATGATATGTGACATTTTTTACAATCCACACAATTCTTTAAGACAGAATAAGATGAATCTATAGAATAATACATGAGTATGGGCAGTCTTTGATTGTAGGATTTCCAGACTATCTCTATTTAGAGGAATTCATCTGTTTGTTTTTATTTTTGAAATACCACTAAAAATTTGGTTTAATGAATAGATTTCTACATATAGAAAATGACTTTTAAAGCATTGTAAAATAGTTCAATTTGCCATGTACCCCTCATGAGACCCTGAGCTGATATTATCCATTTCCTCTGCTTATTTTTGTTCCAAATTGGGATCCTTGTAATTGGTTAAATTTCATTGCCTAAACTATGTAATTATCCATAAAACTATACATAATGATTGAAAAAACGCTTAAAAACTTCAAAGATTGTTTCAATAATTACCTGTAGTTTAATGAATGATTAATTAGTTTTATGGATTTATCGGATAATGCAAGGATTCGCTTATGACACCAAGTAAGTCCATAAATTGGCCAGGATTCAGATGTTCTTTCTAAGAGGTACCACAATTTCTAGGGCAGTGTTTCTCAACCATTGTGATCCAATAGCTTCATGTGAAATGGATTTCTCTGCCATTCATCCTACAACTGTTAAACATCAAATAACTAAAAAACTTAAAAACAAAAACATGCTAGATAGATACTGTTTCAAACTTATATGTAAAAAACAGAGATGTCAAGGCCCTTCAGTAAGAACCTTGTGCTTGGTTTTCTACTACAAGGGCCTTAACATCTGGAACTAGCTTGGTTAATTTCAGGTGTAGATTGCTATGTCCATGTGCATCGCCAAATTCCCTCTCCCCAAGATTTTCGAATTCAACCCTGGAGGTGCACATGGCCCCTGGTTGAGAAGCACTGTTCTAGGGTATTTGGTTTGTTTGTGTTGCAGGATGGTCAGCACCCTCAGCTATTGGAATAGCAGGATTAGGAGGAGGATTTGAAATAGGAGCAGAAGTCACAGATTTTGTTATAGTGCTGACCTCTAGAACTGCTGTTGATGCCTTTTCCAAGGGAGGTAACTTAACTCTTGGCGGAAACTTCACTATAGCTGCTGGTCCATTGGGTCGTAATCTTGAAGCTGATGTTGCTATGAGAAGTCCTGCAGCTATTTATACATACTCCAAGACAAAAGGAATATTTGCAGGAATATCTGTGGAAGGAAGTGCCTTAATTGAAAGAAAAGATGCCAATAGAAAGTAAGTTAAAAGGAATAGCCATTAAAATACTGCTAAGTAGCCTAGGATCTAGAACAGGGATTCTCAACTGGTAGCGCATGCCTTTTGTGGCGCATCAGCGCATGCAAAATGGTGAGCGACAGAATTAAAAAAAAAAAAAAATTGTCACCACATTGGTATTCTTGTATGGAGAGTTGAGAAAATTAAGAATCTCTCAGGTCTGTGGCACTTTAGCAATTCCAAACAATGAAAGTGGCACTTCAGCTTATTTACTTGAGAAATCCTGATCTAGAAAATATCACATGCTCAAGGTGATTGTTGGTCCATTTTAGTAAACAAGACTCTATTGATTACTCTTTAATGCCTTGTTTCAGCTGTGCATAACACTTTTAAACTTAAAAACTCTGAAGACAGGTACTCCCAAAACTATACGCCAAAATCTAGAGAAATGTGTCCCTTAACGTAAAAAAATCCAGTCGTTAAATCTTTTTAATACCAAAGCTATGTGAAAAGTTTATGCTCTATGGAAGCTGCTACATAACTACTAAAGGGATTTCAGTAAAATAAATGCCTAATTGTAGAGAAATATGTCTCCAACAAACAATACTACCAAGCCAAAACTAGGTCAAACTGCCTAATAAACAACTAGTACTCTCCATATTTAATTAACCCTTTTAAAACAAATTCAGTTTGATCAAGTAGATACATAAATGTAAATAGCATTCTTTAGAAATATTTTCAGGTATAATTTATGATGTTTTTGAAAATGAAAATTTTGCATACTGCCCCTTTAATCAACAAAAGTTATCAGACAGTGTTGATTTTATTTACAGATTTTATGGTGAATCTATTAGAGCACATCAAATACTATCAGGAGAAGTAGAGTCCCCAAGTGAATGTACAGCTCTATATGATGTTTTAAAAGAACACAGAGAGTTAGCTCTGGAGGCAGCTGCTAAATTAGCCAAAAAACAAGCATTAAAACATAGCCAGTCTGTCAGACATCATGCTTCAGAAAGTCTTTCAGCCAGATTTGGGGTAAGTATATTATATTTATTGGTATTTATCTGGGCCGGACCCAGTCTGGACCGTGAACGCTTCGGCAGAAAAAGTGACAGTGTAAACAGGTTAAGAGGACTTGGCTCCCTGCTAGTTTCAAGTGGGTTGAGTCTCGCAAGAAGAGGTGGTCTCGGTCCAGACCGTGTACAGCACGGCTAAATATCAGTGCAGTGTAAACGCGCCACTGGGCCGAGTCTACTTACACGAGGGAGATACTCATGTGCAATAATGACTTTAACCCTATGACATGTAATGTCATAATAGAATACATCGTGTTTTTAATGGCTTGCGCCGCTGTTATTCACGAAAACATAACATTTTATTTCTTTGTGTCTCAAAAACAAAACTAGAGATTTTTTAGAATCTTTTAGGCTGCGAACGTGACAAAATTAATCATGACTTCAAAGTTATCGCCTGTTTACGGTTGGTGGCATTTTGAATGTCTGTGTTTTTTTTTGCCTCCATTGACTGGAGAGCAGGTGTATAGTTGATGACTCGCCATTCTGGTCCAGTGAAAACAGTGCAGTGTAAATTGTATCGGCCAGCCACGCCGAGTCCAGGCCGAGTCCAGACCGAGTATGGTTCTCTTATAGCGAGCCAATTTTTATGGCTGTGTAAATACGGCTTAGAATAACTTATCATGATTAAATGGGCAGTCTGCTTTTTCAAGCAGTTTGGGTAAATTAGGCTTAAAGGGGGAGTCTGATTTTTTAAAGTGAGTTTTAGAAAAAAACTGTTCACCATAATTTAGAGAAATGTGTCCTTTAACTTATCTGAAAGTTTGAGATTTCGAAGAGCAGACATGAGAACTAATGCTACCTGTCAAACTTCTGTAGGGACACAGGCTGAAATAGGTCAGTTGTCTGAAGATATGACAGGGATTAATAATCTGTGTTTCAGGTTTTGTTTTAAATTTTTTCTGTTTCATATTTTTAGAGTTTTCGAAATAGTGGAGAAAACAAACCTGGCAGACCACAATCTTCATATACATCTACATCCTCCAAAACTGTCAAGAAAGATGGCCGTACTATTACTACCAAAAAAAAAGTGAAAAAAGTCTCTTCTTCATATGATGGAAGTAAGTGTAAAGGCAACATGCAATCAGTCTTGCATCATGATACAAAATCAGCCCTGTGTCATGATACAATATCAGTCCTGTGTCATGATACAATATCAGTCCTGTGTCATGATACAATATCAGTCCTGTGTCATGTATAATCAGTCTTGTATCTTGATACAATATCATTCTTGTTTCATAGTACAATATCAGTCTTGTATTATAGTACAATATCAGTCTTGTATTATGTACAATATCAGTCTTGTATTATGGTGCAATATCAGTCTTGTATTATAGTGCAATATCAGTCTTGTATTATGTACAATATCAGTCTTGTATTATAGTACAATATCAGTCCTGTATTACAGTACAATATCAGTCTTGTATTATAGTACAATATCAGTCTTGTATTATAGTACAGTATCAGTCTTGTATTATTATCTTGTAACTGTTTCTAGTTCACGTTGGTAGTAAAAGTCCTGGAGGATCACCTTGGGATAGAATAACCCAGCTAGCATCGGATGATGTTATCAAAGCTGTTGCTGATTATGATTTTGAAGGTCAAATTCCTGCTGATTTGAGTTTTAAGCAAGGTGGGTACATCTTTTAGTTTACCTGCAACACTCACATAATATCAAATTTCTAACTTCATGACCTAGGCCAGTGCTGTTTTGAGAATATTATTTTCATCTCAATCTCTCTCTGTTTATCTTGTAAGAAGTAAATAATTTCTTATCAAATTGATTTATTGATGTCTCTAATCGTGACTTAGGCCAGTGCTTCTATAGGAGAGTATCTATCTAATACCAAATCAGACTTTGCAAAAGCAATTTTCTGTAATTATTTTTCACTAAAAGCAAACAAATAGATGAAAAGTGGCAAGGTATATTCAGATAGTTCTTGTTATTTTGAAGATGCCTTTAGTCACTCCCTTTAAAGGGACGGATGCGCCATTTTGTTGATTTTAATCTTGAATATATGTAAATAGTCCTAGAAAGTACTAGAAACTGAAGTGTATGAAAATCGCATAATTCCTTTAAAAGTACTTTAAACTAGGAATTTTACTCACTTTTCCTATATATATGTCTTTTCTATATATCATAGAGTATCTTAAATTGACGAGTCGTCATTTTAACATTCAATCATGGATAATTCTGGACACACATTAATTTGAAGGCTCAAATTTCGACAGTGATCTGTGAACACTATTAATGATTGGCTTAGCTAAAAAAATTCCCATTTCTGAGACTAAAGTATGATTGGTTAAAAAATTGCCCATCTGTCCCTTTAATGTGTTGTTTTATGGTTTACTTGTAGGTGAAGAAATAGTAGTTTTAACTAAAACTGATAAATCCTATGATTGGTGGGAAGGATTGTGTAATGGTCAAATTGGAATATTTCCTGCTAATTATGTTACCATTGTAGCAGAAACACAGCCAACTTAACTTAATCTTAATTTGTTTTATATGCCAATTTAAACAGATTGTAAACAGGTTTTTTAAATTATTTATGTGAAATTTGCTTGTATCACATAAGGCTTTCATGATTAGTGACGTCATCGAACACTTAGTTTTAGTGGAATTGCAGGAACTGATTGAAAATTGGAATGGTACAAATTGATACTATCAGTGTCCCCAATACACATAAAAAAGTTAGAAAAACTTTAACATAATCACAATATTTATATTTTTGTTACTCTGTGTCTTTTTAAATAATATTAATGATACAATATTTTTTGTTATTCTTTCGGCCAGGTTTTGGAAAAAAGATCCTCATCAGGAAGCTGGTTTTCAATGTTGTCACAAGCAGAGATTACTGATATAAGTCATAACTATACCGGACTTGAAATTGTCTTGATGCATAAATTTAACAATGGTGGTTGTGGGTTCTAACCCTGGTCAGTGTGTGAAATTCATCTTTCTTCATTATTCCAGTTGACCCAGCCATAGAAAGATTAATACCAAAAGGTTAAGACGAAGTTCCTAATAGTTTGATATTGTGAAGATGGCCGTCCCAGATGGGCAGAACATCATGTTTGACTATACAAGTATGTTTGGTTGATTATACAAATCCCATAATGCCTGTACAAAACAAAACAGAATATATTTACAAACATGATGTTTATTTAAATTTGACAAAAGTATGTGATCAATGATGTCTAGATGGGATGATTTTAAATTCTATTGTAAACAAGTTTATAATTTGTTTCTTGTTCTCTACGCTGTGAATCCATTTCTGTTGATATATCTTCTACTCTTCTATACAGGGCAGCTGAAATATACATAACATATAGTGCAGTGTGCAATAGAGGAAATTTGTCAGGACACAGTCTGTAGCACACAGGGTCATTAAGATTTGTTTGTCTCCATTGTAATCTAACAAGTGTTCTACTGCAGTAACCTTTAAGTCATCATTTTAACTTTAGAACGCAGATAATTCTGGACACACATGGATTTCAAGGCTCAAATTTTGACGGTGAGTTATGATCACTCTAACTGATTAGCTTAGCTAAAAAATGCCCTTTTCTGAGACTAATGTACAATTGGTAAAAAAAATGGCATCTGTCCCTTTAAATCCCACCATTGAATCTTAATATTAAACAATTCTTACCAGAATTTCTATCAATCCATAATAAGGAATCCATATGAGCATTCAATATCTTAGTTATCTGTTGTACCTGAAAGATAATTCAAGAGAAATGAAATAGAGTTTTATATCCTACTTTTCTGCACCTAATTAGGCTTTTGGAGACGAACAACACCATGCAGAGTGCAATGGATAGCAGCATTACCTTTGTCTTTTCTGAGAAAAAAGCTTTTGTGTACAGTCTGTAGCACACAGGACACCATACGAAAGACTAGACATAGACACTGTTTCCATGTCAGCCCCTACGACCTGCATCACTGACAGGTGAAACTGGGTTGAAAAATGAAATGAAATGAAAAGAATGGAGTTTTACATTCTACTTTACTGCACCTTGTGGGCTAATGAAGATGGACAATGCCATGCAGGTTGCAATGATGGAAATTTTGCCAGGACAGCAGCATTAGACTGTTCTTTTTCGATTACCGACTGTCGAGGGATCTTTAACATGCACAGTCTGTAGCACACGGGACCATGGTTTATTGTCCCATCCGAACAACTAGGTTGTTTCCATGTCAGCCCCTGGTACCTGCATCACTGACTGAGGGAAACCGGGTTGAAAAATCTGAAGGTATTATCTCGACCTATGTCAGGATTGAACCCTGGACCTTCAGGTTATAGAGCAAGCGTCTAACTCACTGAGCCACCGCAGCTCCCTGGGTTGACTAGTTTCAGGATGATAAGGTACACATTACTTACTGGGTCATGTGGATCAGTTTTAGAATTGGTAGCATTTAATCTTTCTATTGTTTCTTTTAAATCTTGTCCCATTCTTTTCATCTGGGCATCTATACTCTCGGCCATTTGATACCTGTAACACAATAGAAAGAAGAACACTGGAATTATTATTCAAGGGGATCCAAAGTGCCTATGTCTTTAAATCTGGAGCATGGATAAACTGTATTTGTGTTTAGTACACCCTAAAAAGGCCTTGCTGATCATGGGGTAGACAGTGCCAAATTTTTCGAATTTTACACCAGTCTACCTTGACAGTCTGACATTTTGCAATTGATCGGTGATGGTCAAAGTATGCATTATGATGTCACTAACTTTTTATATTTTTAGAGATAACAGTTCCTTTTCTGATTTTAATAATATGGTCAAATATTATAGACATACGTATGTTCTCGTTGTAAATCAGCATGTTGTTGAAAACTAATAGGTGGAAGTTGTTCAAGACTTTTCTCTAATGGTTCCAACATTTCCTCTAATTCTTTTTGTTGTGAATGTATAAAATCTAGCTCATGGTCTAACTTCTGTTGATCTGTTTTGACTTTTTCTACATCTTGACTCAGCTGTATAATCTGTAAGGAAATCATTAAAAGAATACAGCGGTTTATCCAATTTATAGGTATTACAGCTATCAATATTACTTTTCAGAATGGACATTCAACTTTTAGTTTGTCGAAAATAATCAAAAAAATCCTGTCAGAATTACTTTATAATCTGCAGAATAACATACAGTCTAATTTAAATTAGACCAAACTTTTGTTCCGTTTTTTTACTAGCTTTTAGTTTTAATATAGCCGCTTCACTTAGGGTCTAACGACAGCCCTCTTGAACATTCATCAAATTAACATCACAGCGTCACAAAATGCCAGCGCCATAGAAGGTAGAAATTTGATTGGTTAAAGCAGACATCATCGAGATAGGTCAAAAGGTTAATTTGACGAATGTTCAAGAGGGCTGTCATTAGACCCTAACTGAAGTGGCTATATTAAAAATAAAAGCTAATAAAACAAACGGAAAGAAAGAATGGTCTAACTTTAATTAGACTGAAGAACATAGACACAGCACTTACCTTTTCTCCATTTTCCATAACTAATCTATCCCAAGCATTAACTTGAGTAGCTTGTTGTAGAAAGATTTTCTCTTGTTCTGATAACTCTGTAGTCCATTTATTTATAGAATCTTCTAACTGCCGGTAAGTCATTTGCCTTGATGGTGCTGTCACAGTTGTTGTTGCCGTTGTTGATGTTGTTCTAAAAATAATTATCATAGAGGTTTACTGATCGTAGGGAAACATTAAGAATACATTTACATAAGTACTAAAATGCTTTCACTGTTAATTAGTGCTGAATAAATCAAATGTAAAGCAATTTAAAAATAAAGCAGAACCTGAAACACGTTTTACACTGTGTGATCTTCTTCCCTATTGAAGTTTGACAAATTAATAAATTAAAGTGAAATCTTTTATACAAAACACAAAAGAATACATAATAATACAATATAATTTGGTCCTGGTAGAGATCAATTTCAGGTGACTGTAACACTTTCAGAATGAATTCTGATGCCTCATTCTTCCACAACTCAACAAAAAGCCTACAGTTTTGTCATTGATTCCAAGTTCAATCACCCTTATTCCTCATCATATCGAAATTGTAGGTTCTTTAGTTGATTGCCATCAAATTTTCATGCATTTTGGATAAATCAAGGGCAATAATTCATCAAATTCATTCAAGATCACAACAATATAAGCTTACATAATGAAGTATTTTAAGTTGATCCAAAACCCCATCAAATTTGTAAGTCAGAATAAATGGGCACACAGGGCAGATAAATAAAATAGCTTACCCTGCAGCAGCACATGTTGTAGCAGTAGATGCACCAAGAAGTCCAAAACCAGATGGAGCTGCTGATGTTGTTAAACCAAATCCTGTTACTGCTGATGTTGTTGCTGGAACACCTATTGTTAATGGTTTTGAAGCTGTTGATAATGAAATTCCTGCAGGTGTAGTGGAAGCAGTGCTGGCTGTTCCTAACTGAAATCCACCTGTCAATGATGATGCTGTTGTTGTTGCTGCTGCTGTTGTTGCTCCAAGCTGAAACCCTCCTAAAGATGGTGCTGCTGCTGCGGTTGTGGTTGCAGCTGGTTTAATACCTGTGGGAAATAATAAAAACTCCCACTGTCAAAAGGTTCAAGTCTGGTGACCTTAAATAAGTCATTTTTATTCAAGTGTACCCTGCTGTAAATAAGTATAATTGATCCCGAAAAGGTAAATTCCACGAGGTTTGGCAGAGCACCACTTGTAAGAAAGGATTGTCATGAACCTAAGTTGTTATCCTTTCTTTCTTATTTATATTTTTACGATTATGTTTGTATGCAAAATGATTTCAAAAAACTTCATTTGTACAAACACATTTCTATTTTTGTATCATATTCCATTAAAAAATACGATTTCCAAGGATCAAATATCTAGCCTATCATAAGTTAAAAATTTTCTCACAACACAAATATCAAGACCCAATATCTATTGGTGCACTATAAAAAACTTTTTCATTACTTACCAAAGCCTGTAGTGGCAGTAGTTACAGCTGGAGTTGTTATTTGAGGGGCAGCTCCACCAATAGACAAACCTAAATATGAACAATAAAAAACAATTCTAAATATACAATTTAAAAATTGACTTTTTGATTTAGATCCAACGACGTTCTTTTTTTGTCCAACTATCTTATTTTTTGTCATAAGTTGGTATACACCAAAATTACTATTTATCATTTTCAATATGCAAGATCTTGGTCTTACCACTAGAAGCTGGAGTTGATGAACCTGTAAGACCAAAAGAGAAACCAGGAGCAGCTGCTGCTGTGGGTTTTGCTGCTGTAGTTGCTGGTGTAGCAGCTGGTGCTGTACCACCTAACTGAAAACCTTAAATAAATCATACACGATTTAGAAATCATCATTTATAATGGTACAAGTGACATTACAGTTCTTGTTCAATTTGGGTAGATTTTTGTACTTAAAGACGAGTTTCCTTATTTTTTAGTGTCAAATTAAGCATACTTATAATCATTATTATAAATCCAGTCTGAATATCACTTCGTAGGAACTGGATAGGGTCAGATTTGTCAGGCTAGGGCCAGGGAACAGCGGCATTAGCTTGCTCTTTTCCAATTCCAATTGTCGAGGGATCTTTTATGTGCACAGCCGGTATCAGAGGGTGCCTTGGTTTATTGTCCCATCCAAACAACTAAATGCTTTTTCTATTTCAATAGTTTCTTTTACCTGTAAGAGAGGCAGCTGGCTGCGAAGAACCACTAAATGAAAAGCCTCCCCCTGGTGTGACTGTAGGTGTAATATTAGGTTTTGGAGCTGCAATAGCAGCAGTTTGTGTGAGAGAAAATCCAGGTGCTGATCCTAGACCTGTTGCTGGAGTAGTTGATGCACCAAAGGAAAATCCAGTACCACTGGTACCTGTAAGAAAAAATCATCAACTATCATTTTTTTCTGAAAAGGTTTTACTCAATTTACAATTACGCAGTTGTAATGCAGGGTAATTCATCTATTTTTGGGGTAAGTAAGACCATAACTAATGTACAAGAGGTGTCACTTAAGTAGTGAGCATCACCATGAAATAGTTGTCTTAATGTAACCACATTGCACATTGTACTTAAATGAAATGCATAAAAATCACAGACTCTGGGAGTGTGCGTTTCTTTTTCTAGTTCAGTTGCTGATGCATACCTGGAAACAGACCAAATAGACACAACTATTTTTATTCCCCTTACTCAAAACTGTTGCTGCAAATTCGATGTCACCAGGATGAGTCCCTGGACCTTGATGTAAGCTAGAAACTCTCTCCAACCCTTCCTTTTCGCAACTATCTTCAATTTCATACTTAAAGATGTAACAATTATACTCCAATCCAGGATGTGTTTGGAAGTTTTCTAAGGTCATTTAAAGCAGACAAAATCTACTCTGTTACCTAAAAAAAATTCATACCTGAAGTGGCAGGTGTTTTCCCAAATGATAGCCCAGTACCAGCACCAGCATTTCCACCACCAAATGTGAATCCACCTGGTGTGCCAGTGGCAGCACTTGTTGCAGCTGCTTGTGTTGGTGCTGCTGGAGCTCCAAATGAAAATCCTGATGCAGTTCCTGTGGCTGTGCTTGTTGTTGGAGCGGCACCAAAGGAAAAGCCTGAAATCAAATTAATGTTTATTGCTTGTAATGTGTCTCAAATACCAGGATCAAAAAAAGAAACAGAGCAGCACCTTTTCCAAATTTCACCTTTGAGCTTTGAACAATATTACTGATTGGCTTCTAAAGCTAAAACATTCCGGTTTCTGAGACTAAGGTAAGATTGGTAAAAAAAAAAAAATGGCACCTTTCTTATCCTAGGTCTTTGAATTCAATAGTTTTCAAATATTTTGAAAGTCATAAAATCTAAGATTTGGTAAGCATGGATATGTTTGAAAGTCCTACCTCCTGGTTTGTTACCTCCAAACATCTTCTTACTTGATTATTACTTTTCTCCTTGATATTATATTCTACAATGAGCTCTAAAATAAAAACAAAATAGTAGATCACAAACACTGTCCAACTTCATGTTATAATTAACTACCTCAAAACACCTGCTCTCATTGAATCATTTTTCATTACAACTCTAGATCAACAATTCTGTCTGGTTGGATTCAGGGTGGAATGCATGCCATAGTAACAAAAAAAGGCCTATATGGTTGTTGTTCACACTGATTCACAGTCACAAATTGACAATAGAATCCTACAAGGCTACATGGCCCTATTCACATTTCTTATAATTTTATTTTGTGAAACCCCTCGCAAAATCACTACGACACTTGCTGAAAATGTCTTTAGTTTCTTGGCGAGCCTAACATTTTTAAATTATCACCCACTTCGGGTCCACTTATTAACTTATTACCTAAAGATGGTTTTTCTTTGCCACCCGCCAATCTTTTTAAAATAAGTGTTTATTCACAAAATCGGTGCTTTTTGGCTTTTTGTACAAACCTTATTTATGATTGTCGTACAAGATATGAATAACAACTAGGTGAACAAGATGGATCACAAAACTCATGTCAGTCAACGACTGCGTCATTTGATGGAATAGTGTTAATTTTAGAAAACGAAACATGAAATGTAAAATTTTATAGTCTTTGATTTTATTGCCTTTAATTTTGTCAATTATTTTAGATTAGAAAATAACCATCATATGGACGTAAAGACATTCTGAGATAAATAATACACATTCGAAATTTATGAAATGACAAGCTATTGCAAACTGACTAGATCTTATTAATTGCACCTTTTTATCTTATTTATTCCATTGTCTACCTATTTTACATTCAAAAGCGAATTCTTCGTTGCTTTATATGTCCTGAAAGAATTAAACTCATTCCGTAAATTTAACAGATTCTTTTTGACTAATGGTCATAGATAATGTTTATATTTCTTATTTGCGACAACCAGCGATGAAACTTTCAAAATGTCCCGAAATCACGTTCGATATTTAGCTAGAACAGTTTTTGTTAAAAATAATGATATTGATACTGCGGCCAGGACTTTAGACAGGTAAAGGATGGACCCTTTGTTTATCTCTTTCTCTGTTGTTTACAATGTCTACTTCTTGTTGGCAGCTGAATTAGGCTTAAAGTCTAAATAGGAGCACCTGCGCTACACAGACTCTTGCCATCTTGGACTATTGAGATTCTGTCGTAGGGACACTGAAGAAAATAGTGTCAACGTTTCTAAATATTTTTTAAAGTTCTACCAACAGGTATGGCAAAATTGCTGTCCATTCCCATTGCACTTCACTAGATTAAGATCTGAGATATTACTTTTAATTCGGCTGTGGCAGTTGTCACTTGTACTTAGACAGTTAGAGTAAAGTTGCAGTAAATGTTAACTCTTTTAACATCACAGCACTTGTGTAATCAACAACATTGTAAGATACGATTTCCATGCAGCCTGCATAATATGCAAGCAGCCTACTACATTTTAACTGACTAATTTGAATTGCCATGGAAATCCTTTAGTTAAAAAAAGAGACATACCCGGTACTGTAGGACTTAAATTCTAAAAAGTAAAATTTAAATGTAGCTGAAATTGAGCCCCTTCTTCTTTTGGAGCAAATAATTTCATGCCTAATTTTCTCTTAAAACCATTACTGTTTCATCTTTCAATTCATACAGATGTGATACAGCTTATGGGGTCACTTCAGACACTTCAGGAATTTTAACTATGTTTGGTATAGGAACACCTGTGAATTTGTCTCAAAAGAATCTGCGAGGGTCACCTGGTTTAATTTTCCAAAATTGGGAGATTTGATATGGAATGACCCTATGTTGCTATTGGTTTGTCTGCTATGAATAAGATTTTTCTTTATTTCCACAGGGTTTTAAGAGAGGATAAATATTTAGAAAATGTGAGAAGAAGGAAATTTAATGAGAAACCATTTATTACTAGACAAAGAATCAGCTATGAGAGATGTAAAAGAATTTATTCCACAGACATGCAAAAGAAAGTTAATTTTGTGATGAGAAAAAATCGTGTGGATCCATGGCCAAGATGATATGAGGATGGTCTAAGTTAGCGATAGTGTTATTCATTTGTGCTTGGAAGTATGTAGTTGTATAAGACTTGAGAAATAGAAATAAAATTTTGTATCTGTGTTCATATGTTTGTTGTTGTTGAATTTTATAGCAATAGTATTCGCAGCTCAGAGAAATATCTGAGATTGCCTGAATTTCTAACATAATTATGAGATTTTTGCCCGAAAAACATGGTGGGGGCGACTGCCTCCTCTGCCCCCCTTTGGCATGATTCCATTATAATATGATGATCAATTAAGATGCTTTAGACCAATGAAATTTAATTCAGGAAGGAAACCACACAAAATCTACACAATGACCTACTATTACTACGTGTGGTATTTTTATTCAACAGAAGGCACCGGCACAAGAAGGCACCGTGTTGAAGTTATGTTTATAGTGCGAGAAGTCTTTTGTGTTTTATCTTGGTACCGCTATGACTTCGTATGGATCTGGTTGCATGGTCACCCCAGTCACAGTTCCCTTTATTGATGGCGTTTTCTGTCCATCTGGCACTTTGAATTCGTATCTGGATATAAAGTTGCATGCGAAAATAAAGAGTTCCATGTTAGCCAGTGGTTCTCCCATACACGATCTCGTTCCTAAAACAAAAATGAAGTTTATCATAATATTAATCTACATAATGGGCGCATATCTACCATGCAGTACCTTAGGCGTACGGGACCCTTTATCAAATTGACAAGAAAAGCAATTATATAGTATTGGATATTGGACATACACGAAACTGTTTATGGTTCTTACTTTGAAACAACACACACGAACGTAGTTCACAACCATTTTGAGGTATACCGATCTTTGCCCCCCCTGAAGTTACGGGCCTGCACTTTGATCCCTAAATAAATTTCAACTTACCACCACCAAATGGCATGAAAGCTTTATGTTTTATAATTTTTCCATCATTTCCAATCCATCTATCTGGGTTAAATTTCTCTGGTTCGTCCCAAAAATCCGTGTCAAAATGAGCTGAGTTAATGTGAAATAAAACCATTGTGTCCTTCTCTAATGTATATCCATTTATAGTACATTCTTCACTCACAGCTCTTGGTGGGGTCGTCGGTGCTGAAATTATTATGTTATTCAGTATTGCAAAGGCTACAATGGATTACACATTTTCTTCACCAGCTGATATGATGAGACCAATTAAAATTTTTTTTTTCAAATGATGTCATAATATCGTCGACTATTGCAATGCTTGAAGTCAACAAACCAAGACTAGTGCAGAACAGAAAGGAACAGAACAGAGAAACGAACTATAAGACAGAAAATGAACAGAGAACTGAACAGAACAGAATATCCATTTACTACTTACTTATACAAACAATTCTCAAAACCTCGTTCAGAAATGCCCAGATGTACACCAAGTGTGGTTTATCTGCCAGAGTTACGTTGCGACCTCCACCAGTCAACTGAAAAACAGAAGACAAAAAAGTGACGCATCTGAAGCACATGGAAGGCTGTCAGTGGTCCTTGATGGAAGTCTTTCAGATCGAGATTATAGTTGTAAACGTCAAAAGGCCAAAAGGTTATTTTGACGAATGTTTAAGAGGCCAGTCTTTAGACCCTAACTGAAGAGACTATATTAGAAATAAAAAAATCGAAAAAATTAGACATTATTATAGAAAACCCCCTTACATCCCTTAAAAATTGATTTGAGTTAATTGTTGCTTGGACTCTCGCACCCGGATGCAAAGTGTTGGTCATCTTTCGCCTTTATGACTTGCAGTTACATTACAGTCACTGTAAGCGACAATAGATCAATCAGAAAAGATGTTCGCGAACATTTTGAACTTGAACTATATGGATTCCTACTTGGTCAGCTCAAAGTTTCCACATTCACAAATCCATACGACAGTTAACGTCGTGCACCTTTGCTAAAGGAACATGGTAGGAAACATGATCTGGATGAACGTTAATATTGATATTGTTTTGCCCCATACCTTCATAATTTCTTGATAGCACTTGTTCTGTATATCTGGATAGTTGATGAGATATAATACAGTCCACCATAAAGATGTAGCAGTTGTTTCTGAACCAGCCAAAAATAAATCTACTGTTATACGGAACATATCTGTCTCATTCACTGAAATACAAACATATTTGGCAGTACAGTATGAATTATCATCATTAAATATTCAACCATCAGTCACATACTTCTTTTGATTTTTTAGGAGGCACACTGAATAATATTGCCAATTTTTGTTTAAAATTCCGGCAAGAATCGTGCCTATAGTGTTTACGAGCAAAAATTGAAGCGTTTTCAAGAAGGTCAATAATTCCTATAAACATTTTGTGATTTTTTGATTTTCAATAGGGTTTATCCATGGGTGATCATAAACATTCTCAGCAATATTCGTCAACATCTGTCAAGAATTGTGCCTTCTAGAGTGTTTGCGGGCTAAAAAAAAATTCTTAAGTTTCTGAGACTAAAGTATGATTGGCCAAAAATGGCGCATCTGTTCCTTTAAGATTAATAATATTTATAGTACCTTTTAGGTCCTCTGATTTATCTTGGCATACTTTCAGGTACATGTCAATAAAATCTCTCAGTTCATTTGGATCAAATGTTTGTCGATGTTCTTCGATTCGTTTCTTTACAAATTTCTGGATCTCCACATCATTCTTGATAACCTTTTGGGTCTAAAAAAAAATTATCCAATTTAATTACGATATATCGTTTGAGTCGGCGTGTGAATGTCTGTTGACTTTTAACGGGACTCCTTAGACCAGTCGACTCGGTTGTAAATGGGTACGGATAATCTGGGAAAGATCAATGCCAAGAGGTTTGGCCCAGGCCAAGTCGGAAGACAGGGTACTTGTGAACCTAAAATGTTTTGCTTTGAAAAAAAAATGGTTATTCTTTCTTTTGTTAGTTGTATGTCCATGCAACATATCATGATGTTTAATGGCGGTCATCGTTTACCGAAACTATGTTTCAGATTTGTAGCGTGGTCACGTGATTCTGATAGTTCTACAAACATTTTGTAAACAAAAGAAATAAAAGAAATTCGATATGGATTCAAAATAATAAGAAAATTCATAATGGAAAAGCAGAATATCATAATTATTACTTTCACTTGTAAAACCAGCGGTAAAACCAACCAGTGATAAAACCAACCAGTGGTAAAACAACCAGTGCTAAAACCAACCAGTGGTAAAACCAACCAGTGATAAAACCAACCAGTGCTAAAACCAACCAGTGGTAAAACCAACCAGTGGTAAAACGTCAAATTAATGAATCTCGTGGTATAGTAGTTGCAGGGTCGTAACTATAGTGTCTTTGTTTTCTAAGACAAAAGTCATGTTGTCTTTGAAGTCAGTTCATAGCAAACCTCGCATTGGTGTAGTTACGGCCCTGAGTTGCAACTTTCAACTATAGAAGAACGAAACAAAAAATTCTCAGAGTGTGCTCCCAGTTCTCGACCTATAATCAATTAATTCAATGATTAGAAAACGATAACTATGTCTGCAGACGTAATCATTTAAATCTTGTATAAAAGAGGTTCACATACCGAACTGTTACCCCGGATCATTCTAACAATGGGGAAAAAATTCTCGGGCACTTGAAATCCGACGTTTTTAAAAAGATAATTTAACATGTCTATCATTCTTAGAAATTCTGGATCATCATATTCGAACCTGCAATGGAGATAAGACATAAACATTTTTTGCTTGATTTAATAAATCAATAAATTCGGAAAACTTTTTTTTATCTTTTAGTTATATTGTTATGACTAAACATAGGGCCACAATTTTATACTCCTAAAAGACTCGTCATCAATTGCATCATCATCTTCATATTGTCAAGCTATCGACTAAGCAACCAATTCGTGACCAAATTGAAAACAGACTACATTTCTAGTGTCGAAATATCCATAGGGATTGGTTAGGGTGCGTGCACACGAACAGTCTTGGTCGCCGATTTGTATCGCCGACTTGAATCTTGAGTAAAATCTCTCGTGTGCCCGCACTCCCACGACAAGATTATCGCGTTGGCGACAGGATTTATAATATCAAACGAGTTTGATACTTGTAGCCGATTGTTATCGTCTGCAAGACAGAGCGTCATCATCCAGTCAGAGTCATTTCCTTTCAATTACATGATCCGCAAGTGTTTATCGACGGACTGGACAAAAATTGACGACCAAGACTCTTCGTGTGCCCGCACCATTAGCAACAATCAATGATCGTTAGCCCCCTTAGAACCCATTCTAAGAAAACTATTGATGTTTCTTTGTCTCCAAAACTTTAACATTAACCGGATGCTGATGGCTTCAAAGGGTCAATTTTGGCACCAAACTACAACAATTCTGTTTGACAAAAACCCTAAGAGAAAAATATTAAAAATAAACATACCTTTCTCCAAAGACTATGGTACAAATGATATTGGCTACTCCATTGGCGAAGATAAATTTAGGATTAAAAGCGTGTCCTTTTTTACTGTCAATTATGTTGCATATATAGGTGAATTCATCTAAAATTCTTTCTTCTAGACTCTTTTTTCCTACTCCGAAATCTCTAAGAGTTGTCAGGGTAAATCGTCTCAAATCCTTCCATCTCTGACCGTTTGTCCAAAATACACCTTAAATGAACAGAATTGTTATGTTATCATCAAATGGATTGGTTGGTTAACACTAGCTCATTAGAACGCGATTGCAGTAGAAAACTTGTTAGATTACAATAGAGACAAAAACTACAAGAAAAAAAATCGAACAATCATAAAATTTTAGATTTTCATTATATTGCTTTAAACGCGATTCTGGAGATGTGAAGAGTCCCCAATTATTCGTACCAAATATTTCTGACGCCACATCAGCATAATGTGATAGACTGTGATAGAAAACTTGTTAGATTTCAATGAATATATCAGAATAAAAGATAGGTGATAAGTGTCGTATTGGACCTGTTTTAGTTATTAAAGGCCATGATTCGCCATTTTTGGGGGTTTGATTTGTGTCTTGACAATATGTAAAAAGTCTTCAGAAGTCAAAGAAATGCACAAAAATCAAATATTTTGAAAACTACATAGTTACCTGAGTTGTGAAAAATCTGGTCTATTATGTAAATCCAATTTGGTCTATTGGCAAAGCAATGACCCTTCTCAATCAAACACTCATGAATGGCCTTATAACCACAAATTACTATCATCTTGGTGCTACCAATTTCAAATTTGATAACGTCGCCGTATTGTTCGCGGTATTGGAGGAATAACTGATATAGGTCAATACTTCCTGCAAGTTGTGGCATGTTTCCCACAATAGGAAATGAAAACGGTCCTGGTGGATCTTTGATGTGTCTTCTGGAGAATTTGCCATACAACCAATATAATCCCAAGAAAGATGATCCGAATAAAAGAGCTGCTTTGAGATTCGTTTTGTTGTTAATTGCGTCCAAGTCAATCTTTAGATTGTGAAATACACTGGTGTCTATAATACTCGATGCCATCATCAATTTTCAACCTGAAGAGACAATAAAGATGTTTGGGTTGGAAAGTAAGCTGTGGTCCTATTAGGTATTCTTGCAGGCTTAGGGGTATTATTGCCTAAAGGTTAAAGAGACAAGTGCACAATATTGGGAGTTGCTTTAAGTCTTGAATATGTAAATACTATTCAGAAGTACTAGAAATATACTAAAATCGGGTAATTCCTTCAAAAATATCTCAAATTATGAATTTATTTTCCTATTTCTATAGATGTCTTTTCTATATATGGCAGTGTCTCAAAAAAGACGACTCGTCTTTGTAACTTTCCAACGCGGATAATTCTGAACATCAAGAATTTTAAGGTTCAAACACTTTTATTGATTGGCTTAGCTAAAAAAAAATCCCGTTTCTGAGACTAAAGTATGATTGGTCCAAAAAATAGCACGTTCGTACCTTCAATTTTTTAATTTCGGAAAGTCCGAGGCTGAAAGCAGATGCTTCTACATCGTGTTCTGGTTTGTGATGACAGTGATTAAAAAAAATGGGTGAAATCAGCTACAATGGATTCGAGCCTATCTTTTTAAGATGCCAGACAAAATCTCAAAGTACATCGTAGACACTGCCAATCAGCTGAATCTAGGGCAGCAAAGAAGGAACTAAAACTTCATTTCATTGCATTCCATGTTACTATTTAGTAAAACAATAAGCGCAACAAGTTATTACAATTATTGTTATATTCTAGCGTGGATTTAAAAAAAACAGGCTTACCTTCCAAATTCTGATTGTGAAAATACCAAGCAATCTTCCAAACGATTGTGTCAGCACCCTGCGTATTACGAGAGTATTTATACTCAATTATCACACAGTTCTAGATTTTGACCTCGTCTGTTATTTGTATATATAAATGCTTGTTAAAACACATTGAGTAGCCTACTTCTGAGTGTAAATAAACCATAGGTCAAAATATGGGACGAAACAATTCTATGGTTGAATGAATGCGACATATCAATTAGGTCACGTGACCTGCGGCATTTCAAGGTCAAGCATTTACAAACGATTGTCAGACCACAATGCTTACAGAATCGCATTTTGTGAAGTACCGTGGCGGTGCCAGTGTGGGGTACAGGCGTGAGGGTAGGGACATGTACTTCTGAGTGTAAATATACCATAGGTCAAAATGTGGGACGCAACATTCGCCTAATTCTATGGTTGAATGACTGCGACATATCAATTAAATCACTTAACTGACCTAAGGCATTTCAAGGTCAAGTGTTTACAAGCAGTTTTCCGAAGATTGTCCAGTGGCGGAGCCAGGTTGACGTCCAAGGGGAGGGGGGGGGGGCGAAATATTTGAGATTGCCCGAATTTCTAACCTGGTTATGAGATTTTTGACCGAAAAACTTTCTTACAGGCTACGAGAAGGAAGGGGGGGGGGGGGGGGGGGGCACCCCTTTAGGCTCCGCCACCGAACATTATATACAATGTTCATGTAACATTTCGTCCATTTCATGGAAAGCCTGAAACATTTAGCCATTTCATGAAATTTGATTTCACAGATTGACTGTAACATAATATATACAGTAGTGTAACCTATTTTCGTGGATATAAGGATTCAACACCGAATTTCGTCAAAGTTAAAAAAACGAAAAAAAAATTCAGGTCTTAGATGTTTCCTCAGATATTCTACAAAATAATAGAAATTGGTTTATTTCGATTTTCTTAATGAATCCTTCACTTTGACCCATATTTCATGAGCAACCAACTCGGGAACGGCGGCAGAATGCGTCACCTATTTTCGTGTACAATGTTTTTTCTATAAGTAAGTCTAGAAAAACACGTTGTATGGATACCGGGTGATATAATTAACTTCTCTTAGTATTTATCTTTAATATCAATTCATTATAACTAGTGACAATTCCTTCAAAGAAGCACGATTTAAAAAAAAAAATAGTGACTGACAAAATAAGATACGTAGCGTGATTTATTGCTAAAAGTCACTGAAACAACATAAGAATATGGTCAACTTTGTGTTCCATAGAAATTTTCTGCTGACACGGAATCCGCTAATTGATCACGTGACTTCATTCGTTGGATTATATTCTAGCAGACGACACTTGGAATTCACAAACCAACGACTACCATTCGACTACCAATCAACAAGAAATACCATGATCAGAACGAGTTTGGAAGAATGAAGGAGACCGAGTAACTCACGCCACACCATCCAGGGCCGAGTTTCACCGCCATGTCATTCGACCCGACCAGATCTAACGAAGAATCAACAACCAAACCAACAACACCGAATCATCCAATTTGATCCAATCCAACTACCAACTACTACGACTACCAACAACTACCTAGTTTGCGATATCAGCATCCGCTGGAAGCGAACGTTAACTTGTCATCTACCAACCAACCAACTTGGAATTCCGATTAACGCTCGGGATTATAATGAAATTCGGCCGATAAAAAGTGGTGACGTTTGGTAATAAGTGAAATCCGCCATTTTGTATTTGTCAAAGTATACATTAATACATTTTACCTTGCTTGAAACTACTGGATTCACTCTACTAGCTGATATCATAGAGAAAACCCATGTTTATCAAAACAAACTAATGCGGAGGACGCGCAAGGTCGCTCATGTAAATTATTGATCCTTTCCGGAAATCCACGAATAATAGGTTTCCACGAAATTAGGTTACTCGACTGTACATGTACATTCATACGAAATCCATTGATATAGCTTAAAGGGACAGAATCGTCATCCGTTAGACCAATCATACCTTAGAAACAGGATTTTTTTTTAAGTCAAGCTTATTAGTAATAGTGTTCGCAGCCTTCAAATCCACGTGTGTCTAGAATTATCCGCGTTTGAAAGTAAAAAATCCTCTTTTCTTGAAACACTGCCATATATTGGAAATATTTTGAAGGAATTATGCGATGTTCGTACTTTTCTAGTACTTCTGAAAACGATTTACAAAATTGAAGATCCAAATCAAACTTCTGAATATGACCAACAAGACCCATTAAGGTGTAAATACTTCCAAGGTTTTTTAAGATAAGATAAGGTAGAACCAGTAGATTATATCTTTGTTCTGTAGGCCAATTCATATGCTGAGATGAAGGTTTTAACAGTAGTGGTAACATTGGTAGCAATCTGTGCCCTGTCCGGGGGTCAGTTGTTGCCCAATATTGTATTAATTCTTACTGATGATCAGGATGACGTCTTGGGCAGCGAGGTAATTTGAATTTATTATCAAATCAGGTTAAAAATATTAAACGGACACCACTACCAACCTAAATCCCACAAGATCCCGTTTTTCAAGTTTGGTTTCACTTTCGTTTCAGCAACCTTAAGAAACGTTCTATCGCTCTGGTTTTCACAGATTACGCTTAGTATATCATCGCATCATTTTAAAATGATCTCTTGCATTTACCAGCTGGGAAGTGTTCAAGTTCTGATGACCATGTCACTTTTCAGAATAAAAATCAGATTCGTATACAATTAAATGCAAATACTTACTAATGCCACATAAATATAATTCAATATTTATCATAATTTGTAGCAATGTGGACATTGTAGTCCACACAGTATTATGTAATAATAATTATTGTGTTGTTATTTTACAGACTGGCATTCCTAAGACAAAAGAGTTAATTGGTAAACAAGGGATGACGTTTAATAATATGGTATGGAATCCACTTTTAATTCCATTTAGTAATCTGTGCTCGTCTGAAGATGGTTCAAAAACATAAATGCACGCAAACGTAACAAAGAAGTTCCGATTTGTTCGAATTTTCTCCTGTACGGTAATGTGGATCGATTGGAACTCGATTTTGGAGACAATGATGCTTCGATGAACAGTTCAGGAGTTCAAGAAGCACATGATATATGGATATACATGCTTATACAGGCAGGCAGCGTTATCAAGAGAACTGATTAAAAACAGTTAAAAAAAAGTTGAGGAGTTATTGTCCTTGACATATACTAGTTTTGAGCGTTAAAATCAGCGCGTTGGCCTGTCAGCAGCCGTATATTTCGCCTGAAAACCTTTCATAATCTTTTAAAGCTATCATGCTCTGATCCTTATTGAATTATTTATTCAAAAATATATGTTACTAAATATATTTCAGTATAATTTGAGCACAGTATCTTTAATTTCAGTTTGTTAGTAGTCCACTCTGTTGTCCAAGTCGGTCCAGTATATTTACATCTATGTATGTCCACAATCACAAAGGAGTCAACAACTCGATTGATGGAAACTGTAATAGCCTTTCCTGGCAGCAAACTCGAGAACCTTATGCGTTTCCTGTCCATTTACATGACCAAGGCTATCAAACATTCTTCGCTGGAAAATATCTGAATACGGTAACGTTTTAATTTTTTCTATATCTCGGTTTGACCTTTCTCTATACAAGTTAACTTGTTTATGAATGATTGTTATGTGACACCTATAGTGAATTGCAATCTTCACAATATTAAGCTTTTACGAACTTCGTACTCATACCTTGACTGTCATAGCCACCTTTCTTGTATCATGGAATGCAGTTCGCATTGGCTTGACATTGTGAAGATGGGGCAGTCCAAGCCCAATTTTAGCTTTGGTAATGGTAAGGCAATTATACATTTGCCAATTTAAGCACTTAGCGTGAAGATCTTCTTTAACCCAAACTGGAGCTGAATGATAACAAGTTCATTTTAACTAGTCCGAAACTTGAAGACTCTTATTAGCCATTTTGGATACTACCATTAAAATATTTAGAAAACAGAATTAGTCAGTAAGCTTCAGATCAACGTTATGTCATGTCTCTCGATATAGCCTTTTCCACTGAAACATTGTGAAGTTATTACGAACTCTGTCTACTGCCTTGAAGTCACTGAGCATTTTCTTGTACCACGAAAGCTGTACATGCAGCGATTTGATTGATTTATGCGCTTAACAATACAGCCAATCAGTGCGCTTGGAAAGACTGTAAAATATAGTCGAAAACTCTGATTGACTGTAATACAAGAAAATGCCTAACGATGCCAAAGTATTAGATTAGTAATAGCTTGACCATTGTGAAACTCAGACCTTTTGTTTACTCGTGTTGGTATTTCAGTATGCAGATCCAGCAGTTGGTGGTGTGAAACATGTTCCACTTGGATGGGATTGGTGGGTTGGCCTCGTACGTACCTTTTTACTTTTTGACCTATTAGTTTTTGAGTTATTATCAGTCATTGTTAATAATTGTGTATGAATGACGTTGCACCATCGGTCATAAATGTTATAAATGCATGTGAGGATCCTATGATCGGATTTTAATTCTGCAAAATGATACCGATAGATACTTCTGTCCACAGTGAACAGTGTAATACTGTAAGTTGAGCTTACGGAAGCACCTTTAAATTCATTATTTAAAATTGTTCCATATTACAGCCTTATTCCATATAATGCCTTATTGAGAATGTCGCGGACGCGTTTGTATGCAAGAAAGATGTTTAAAACAATTATGTTATACTTTTAAGGTAGGTAATTCAAGATACTATAACTACCACCTATCGGTAAATGGTACCGACGAGGCCCATGGTTCGGTATATGAAGACGATTATTTAACAGATATTATAGTAAGTAGGCTAAACGGGTTTTTAATCTGAAGGATTTCTTACTTGATTTGTCATTTACGAGTCCCATTGTTGGCCTGCTCGTATGATCTATAATAAATGATTTCAAATTTGATTCTTCTTCGATATAACTTGGCAATCTTTCATTTTCATTTTTCAGAAAAAAAGAGGAATGGAATTTTTGGAGCAACAGTCTAATCGAAATCCATTCTTTATGATGTTATCAACACCATCCTGTCATGAACCATTTACACCAGCACCACAATATTCGTCTAATTTTGGTGGCTATGTTGCCCCCCGAAATGGTAGTTACAACCATCACGCCGGTCCGGTAATGCCTTTTCCCAAATTAATTCATTTATGATTTCGATTTTAATGTCAAAATTTTGAAAAAACTTTTCTTGCATGTACATTTGTTATTCACTAGGGTCAAGTTATAACGAATGCGTTTAATACCTTGACTGCAATAGCCACCTTTCTTGCGTCAGAGAAGATTTGATTTGATTGTACACTAGCAAATACAGTCAATCAGGAGCCTCAACAGAATGTCAGTAAACACTAAGCAATAATGTTTACAATCTTTCTGTCAAGAGCTTTGATTGGCTGTATTTGATTACGTCCAATCCAATCAATCTCTGTATTCCGTGGTGCAATAAAGGTGCCTATAGCCTTCAAGGTATAAGACGAAGTTAGAAATACTTTGATATTGTGAAGATGGTACAATGGGATGCCTATGAAATCTTTTGGTTTTATCCAAGACAAATTATATTTTTCTTTTTGCTGATAGGATAAGCATTGGTTAATCCGACAAGCTATAACACCTATACCAGATGATACAGCACAAACTATAGATGAAATATATCGAGACAGGTAAGGTTTAATTAGAACTTAGAGCTTAATTGAGCTCAAAGTTTGATTCATATATCCACTTATGGAATTCAAGAGGTTGTAAATAGGTTTAACAGTACATGACACCACTATAGCAAAAAACTGCTAATGATATTTAAGGACCTTTTGAATAGCCATGTCATAAATCAGTGGCATTGCAAGAACCGTGAACGCCTGGCTGAAAATAGATATATAAATCGATACTATTAGTGTCCCCGATACACAAAAAAGTTTAAAACCTCCTTATAATCGATTTACAGTATTAACCAATTTGGTGTACAAATCGTTGTAATTTTTCTTATACAATTGGCATTGCGCCAAATAATAGTTTGCAGTACAAGTTGAGAACTCAACCCCTCTCTAAAAAAAGGTTTTTACCCCCAATTTTTCAAATATGTTATTTTTCAGATTAAGAACATTATTGTCTGTGGATGATATGGTAGAAGATGTTTATAATAAATTAAATGAGATGAGTTTATTAGATAATACTTATATTATATTTACATCAGATAACGGTTATCATCTAGGTAAATATCTATCAGAAAATACATGTTTGCAATCGTTCAATTATGTAACCTTTAACCACGTCAGAGTTATCTTAATTTTCTAAAACCCTTTAAAGGGACAGATGCGCCATTTTTTTTTAGACCAATCGTACCTTAGTCTCAGAAACGGTATTTTTTTTTTAGCTAAGCCAATCAGTAATAGTGTCCACAACTTACCGTCGAAATTTGAGCCTTCAAATTCATGGGTCTCCAAAATTATCTGCGTTTGAAAGTTAAAAAGACGAGTCATCCTTTTTTGAGACACTGCCATATTATAGAAAAAATTTCTATAGAAAAGGGAAAAGAAATTCATAGTTTGAGATGTTTTTGAAGGAATTATGCGATTTTCGTATGACTTTGTTGGTTACAAATAATAATGGTTCACTAAAAGTAAAGTTCAAAGTCATACAGTGTAAAGTCATACAGTGTAAATTCATACAGTGTAAATTCATACAGTGTAAAGTCATACAGTGTAAACAGTGTAAAGTCATACTGTGTAAAGTCATACAGTGTAAAGTCATACAGTGTAAAGTCATACAGTGTAAACAGTGTAAAGTTATACAGTGTAAACAGTGTAAAGTCATACAGTGTAAACAGTGTAAAAAACAGTGTAAAGTCATACAGTGTAAAGTCAATCAGTGTAAAGTCAAACAGTGTAAAGTCATACAGTGTAAACAGTTTAAAGTCATACAGTGTAAACAGTGTAAGGTCATACAGTGTAAACAGTGTAAAGTCATACAGTGTAAAGTCATACATTGTAGAGTCATACAGTGTAAAGTCATAAAGTGAAAAGTCATACAGTGTAAAGTGGTACAAATTCCGACAGTGGCTTTAGTCTTCTCTCTTTCTCATTATGTTGATTTTACTTTCATTCATTCATTACATTTTCCTCGCGGACTGAAAGTTAGACAGGACCATGTCCTATGTCGGGATTGAACCCTGGAATCTAAGGTAATCATACCCAGAAATTCACCCCGCTCCCTATTATCATTCCTTTTACTTATTTACCTATACTGCCTTTCAGGTCAATTTTCCATGCCATGGGACAAACGTCAACTATATGAATTTGATATTAGAGTTCCATTAATGGTGAGAGGACCAGGAATAACTCCAGGCAAGACTAGTGATGTATGTCTTCTTTTAATTTTCTTTTGGCATAAAAATTCAAAATTTAATTAAATCGAGCGCAACAGCAAGCATTATTTAATAGGAATGCAAGAAGTGTTGTGTTTGGTGACTCTCGTGCACAAATTTTGTCCTGTTTGTGTACACCCAAGGCGAAGCGAGGCCAGGTCTTCGAGGGTCCCACAGGAAGCTAATGAATTTCACATGGCCTGAGACGAATTTAGAGCATTTAGAAGGCTTAATTCCCACTTCAAAATGAGATCTCAAAATGAGGAGGGGGTGGGGGGGTTGCTGGCTGCTAAATGCGCTGCTGCTCATTGAGCCGACAGAGATGAGTGAAATTTAAATTTTCATTTTGGACTACCTCAACCAGCCTACTAAGATTAGTAAAGCCAGAATTTAAGTTTTGGAAGTAAAAAATTTCAGGTACCAGTAATGAACATAGATTTAGGTCCAACCTTTCTAGATATCGCACAGACCTCCATACCAAATTATATGGACGGTATATCATTTAAACCAACATTAATGTCCAATTCCGACTCACAAACCGTAAGAGAGAACATGCTCGTTGAACACTATGGTGAACATGTTGTAAATATTCCCAATTGCCCACAACTTCATAACCAAGGACTATTTGTGAGTATATAATCTTTATAACAAACTTAAAAGGCGGGATGCGGCTCAATTTAACATCATAACATCGGCTCTGTGGATAGCAAGTCATCTGTATGGCTAACGAAAATTCAGATCGTCAACGGTGATTCGTTTTATTTGTACAAGTAAAGATTCCATAAGAGTCTGTTGGAAAATTCTCCGATATGGTAGAATATACCAGAAAACAGAAATGAAATGTTACCACAGAAAAATGCCATGGCCCCAAGCAACCCTAGTTGTACGTCATTTTTCGTACATTTTTACAAGGTCACGTTTTCACGAACTTCACACTTATACCTTGACTGTAATAGTCACCTTGTATCATGGACGTTTGTAAATTAAGCGATTTAATTGGAATTGTACACAGGCTAGTACAACCAATTAGAGGCTTAGACAGAAAGACTGTGAACACAAAGCCATTTTGTTTACAATTGTTTTTGTCGAGGGCTCCGATTAGCTGTATTCGTCGACAAACCAATCAAATCGCTGCATTCTGTAATACAAGAATATTGGCTATTGTAGTCAAGGTATAAGATACAGTACGAAGTTCGTAATAGCTTAACTTTGTGAAGATGTATTTCTTTTGGTTTAATAGTGTATTTTTCAATGCGTAAATATGCTAGAAGTTTCGCTGATAGAAGTGGTGGCTATTATGTTATTTTAGGTATGCCATAGCCATTGTGAGTGCCAAGATTCCTGGAACAATACTTATTCTTGTCTACGAGTAGTTAAGCCTGGAATGAACTATAAGTATTGCGAGATTGAAGACTTAGAGGTAGGCTAAGAACCGGTAATTGTTCAGCTATAAGCTAATTGGTTATAGTATTCACAGTCTACAGTCACAATTTGAGCCTAATAAGCTATGTGCATCCACAATTATTCGTGTTTGAAAGTTGCATTGACGACTCGCCTTTTATCAACAACCCAATTTTTAGGCAGAGGAAAAACTAGTGAAGGAAAAATATATTCCTAGTAAGAGGTATTTTGTAGGAACTGCGCGATTTTCATAAAGTTCTTGTATTTTTATATTTACATGTATTCAAAGCCCAAATCAACCTCCGAAAATGATTACCATGGGCTTTAATGATTTCCCATTTGATAGAGCTCAATACCAGCAGTCCACCTATCATTTATCAGAATGAAATCCTACTTTCGTTTTTTATAAAGTTAAAAAATTATCCCCCTAAGCGAACATTTAGATCGTTGCGGTAGAGGACTTTTTAGAATTTTCCCGATCTATATATAAAGTTAATGTAGAATGTGGCATCAAGAAATCCATACAGGAAAAATACTTTATAAATCAAGTTCAAGCCAATGTGAAATGCTGATTTGGTTTTCCATATTTTTTCTATAGAATTACCTCCCCTTTTGTCTTATAGTTACAACAATTCGCCTTTCATTAGGGGTGGGACAATGAGACCCTTTTTCTGAAATATGAAAATTTCTAAGGCGCAAAAGATCGCTGGAAAGTACGTATGAATTTGAAATAATATATACATTATCGGACGATATTGGTATATATATTGATAAATGTATATTGTGCTGTATATTGACTGTGCAAATATTTTGTAGAACAGAATGGACATTCATAGACAACGAATTCGAGATAACTCCACTGAGTGAACACATTGATATCTGTAATCGGGGAAACCCCCAAATTTTATGGTCTTTCCATTCTATAAACTGTCCAGCCAAGACAGTCTGCATATGGGAATCAAGATTTTATTTTATTTTTTACAATTTTTTAGCTTGATAATTTTCATTCATTTTCTTCATTCTATGAGTGTTAATACATCATAACAAAACAAACCGTTTAATTTAGGGTTTAGTTAGTAGTTTATGCCATTTATCTCTTACGTCATAAACAACAGAGTGGAAGTGGTCAGTCAGTCCACACCTCTCTGTATCAATGGGTAACAATTCCAAGTTCTGTTTCTCTTCAATAATCCCCTCTAAATTATGTTTCAGTATCTCAATAACTTGTCGATGTTGTTCAAGCAATCTTTGTTTCTCTTCCTTGTTGATTTGGACGAAATCTTCAATATCCTTCTTAATTGTACATTTGGGTGCAAAGTCTTTTATAATGTTCATGAAAATAAACATATCGTCGAGATGAAATATGGAATTGTTGTTATCAAGCAATAGTAATGTTTCTGTCACATCTAGAATTATGTTGATTTTGTCGATTTCCAAACAACCTTTGTTAACAACTTCCTCCAATTTCGATAACCATTCTTTGACCACCATTTTCAATTCTTCCTTAGATTTAAACTCGTGGTTTCTGAACCATTTGTTCATAGCATCACACCACAATTTCCCTCCATCATTTTTCTTCCACTTGGTAATTTTCTGTTGCCAGTTGGATACAACGTCATCTCCTTGAATAGTCTGTAGCTTCAGTTGAGGGCTAAATGGGTAATCAGGGAATGCCACCGAATTTAGATCAATTTTCAATCCAACATTTGCCCCTTCCTTCTTTTTCTGTAAAGAAAACATATGAAAAATTTTGCTTCTTAAAAAGGGTTTTTCAACTTGCCATAATTCTAATATTTGACCAGTCTAATTGAAATGATCGTTCCGGTTTTTTTTATTAATGTTTATTTTGACGAATGTTTAAGAGCCTAAGTGAAGTGGCTATTACTAAAAATAAAAGCTAATAAAAGACGGAACGAAAGTTTTGACTAATTTTAACTTAGACTAATTAAACTTAGGCCCAACTTTCGTTTCATTTTTTTAATAGTTTTTATTTTTAGTAGGCCCATATTTTTTATAAGATAATCACAAATAATTATTGCAATAATTAACCTTTTTTAAATCGGAATCCAGTTTCAAACTCAATTCGTCGTAACCCGCTTCATCTAAAGATTTAAGCAGTCTTGGAAAAGCATTCGCACCAGATTTATGAATTATTTTGACCATCGCTTCCACCCCCTTTCTCCTTCGTTTTTCTTCTTTCATGGTAATCTTTTCCAGATCATCTTCATCAATAATTTCGTTTTTAAATAGATAGTTTTTGAGAACACTGGAGTCGAGCTCGTCCACCATTCTCACATGGTTTTCCCTCAAAACTTCAAACTCTAATTCAGACAAGCTGCCTCTTTCTTTCGATTTAGTGACTGAACGAGAACCAGTTATTTTCTGAAAATAAACAGGTATAAATTTCTGAGAAAATGGATGTCTCGATAGATGACTGGGAGAATGGATGAGTGGACATATGACTGGATGAATGACTGGGAGCATGGATGACTGGAAGACTGACTGGATGAATAAGTGGGAGCATGCATGACTGGAAGACTGACTGGATGAATGACTGGGAGCATGGATGACTGGAAGACTGACTGGATGAATGACTGGGAGCATGGATGACTGAAAGACTGACTGTATGAATGACTGAGAGCATGGATGACTGGAAGACTGACTGGATGAATAAGTGGGAGCATGCATGACTGGAAGACTGACTGGATGAATGACTGGGAGCATGGATGACTGGAAGACTGACTGGATTGGAGGATGAATAGGCCTGGTGATCAGATGGATGAATAAGCGACTGGATGAATGGCTTGATGTATGATTGGATGGCGTGGTTAGTGGGCAAATTGATCGAGAGGGTGATGATACCTTTTTTAAGTCCCCTGTTAATTTATCTGCCATTTCTTTATAACCAGATTGTTGCAGAGCTGCTATTAATTTTTTAAACGCCCAACTTCCCGAGTTATAAACAATATTAAGCATGGTTTCAGCGCCCTTTCGTCTTAATTTTTTGCATTTCTTTTTGATCTGCTCCACATCGTCTTGGTCAATAACTTTGTTTTGTTCTAAATGTGGAATAAGTTTTTTGGGGTCCAATTTAACCATTTCAACTCGGTTCTCTCGAAGAATCTGGTATTCCAATACTGGAACTTTTCCTCTTTTCTTTGAAACTTCCGATGACTTTTTTTCCATCACTTCAACTTTGGCTCTTCCATTTTTTACTTCCAGTGGTACCTCTTCAGTCTGTTGAATTGTAGTTCTTATGGTTTTTTCTTCCGGTGACGCGTTTTCTGTCTTTTCAGTCTCACTTGGATGAATTTCAGCAACAATTTCAGTTGTTCTATGCTGTTCTGCTTTCTGAATCTGAAACATAAAACGTTTAAATAGATTTTCATTTTCTGTTGAAGCGTAAAAAGACTACAATCTCTGTTGTAAAGTTACGTAGTGTTTTGTTTGTAACGTTACACCAGAGCAACCATAAAACCACTATGTTACAACAGAGTGACTCGTTCAGAAGATAAAAACTTAAAAACACTCCATAGCTTTACAAAGTGACTCATTCAGTTGATAAAACAATATAAACACTACGTAACATTACAACAGAGCGACTCGTTCTGTAGACAAAATAATATAAGTACTACGTAACATTACAAATACAACAGAGTGACTCGTTCAGAAGATAAAAACAAATAAACACTATGTAACGTTATAAAAGGGGGCTCGTACAGTAGACATAACCATACAAAACACTACGTGACTCGATCAGTAGCTAAAATCATAACATGATTCTATTAATTATAAACACTAACATTACAACAAAGGGACTCGTTCAGTAGATAAAATCATATAAACACTATGTAAAGTTACAACAGAGTGACTAGTGCAGAAGATAAAATCATATAAATACTACGTAACGTTACAACAGAGTGACTCATACAGTAGACAAAAAAAACCCCCAAAAAACCAAGTAACTTTACAACAGAAATGAAATGAAATGAAATGAATGGAGTTTTACGTCCTTCTTTTCTGCACCATGTGGGCTAATGAAGACGGGCAACGCCATGCAGGGTGCGATGAGGGAAATTTTGCCAGGACAGCGGCATTAGCCTGCTCTTTTTTCGATTTCCAACTGTCGGGGGATCTTTAACGTGTACAGCCTGTAGCACACGGGGCCTCGGTTTATTGTCCCATCCGAACGACTAGACGCTTTTTCCATGTCAGCCCCTCTTACCTGCATCACAGACAGGGAGAAACCGGGTTGAAAATCCGAAGGTATTATCTCGACCTATTCCGGCATTCAACCCTGGAACTTCAGGTTAGCGAGCAAGCGTCTAACTCACTGAGACAACGCGTCTCCAACGTAACAACAGAGCAACTCGTTCAGTATAGAAAGACATAAAACACTTCGTAGCTATACAACAGAGTGACTCGTTCAGTATAGAAAGACATAAAACACTTCGTAGCTATACAACAGAGTGACTCGTTCAGTAGATAAAAGTATAAAACCACTGCGTAGCTTTACAACAGAGTGACTCTTTCAGTAGATATAAGCATAACATATATCAGAATAAAAACACAGCGTAACGTTACAACAGAGTGAATGTGTCAGTAGATATCAGCATAAAAACACAGCGTAACGTTACAACAGAGCGAATCGTTCAGTATACAAAGACATAAAAACACTTCGTGGCTTTGGAACTGTAAATATAGGGCCTTCTAATATGACTTTATGGGTATTTATTGGTATCTATCTAGTCGATAAAATGAGTAATATCATTGTGTAACCTTAAATTTGAGCTTAGTATGTGATAGTAAATATATTAAAGATGAATATGGCGACCTGAATATATTTAAACTAGGTTAAAGGGATATTAGAGAGATTTTGTAATCTTTTTAATGTGTATCGGGGACACTAATATCATTAATTTGCACCATTCCATTTTTCAATCATACGTCTGTGCCTCCTGCAATTCCACTAAAACTATGCGTTTGATGACGTCACTAATCACCAAATGCTTTATCACATAACGCCCTTCACGATCAGTGGCGTCACGAAAATTTTATTCCCAAGAAATTAAGGCCCTATAGGGGATATAGTGTTTTTATGGTTTTGTCTACTGAACGAGTCACTCTGTTGTAACGTTACGTATTTGTTTTAATGGTTTTATCTACTGAACGAGTCACTCTGTTTTAACGTTACACATTTGTTTTTTTATGGTTTTATCTACTGAACGAGTCACTCTGTTTTAACGTTACGCATTTGTTTTTTATGGTTTTATCTACTGAACGAGTCACCCTGTTGTAATGTCATAGTGTTTTTATGGTTTTGTCTACCGAACGAGTCACTCTGTTGTAACGTGACGTATTTGTTTTTATGGTTTTATCTACTGAAAGAGTCACTCTGTTGTAGTGTTACGTATTTGTTTTTATGGTTTTATCTACTGAACGAGTCACTCTGTTTTAACGTAAAATACTTTTTTATGGTTTTATCTACTGAACGAGTCACTCTGTTGTAGCGTTACGTATTTGTTTTTATGGTTGTATCTACTGAAATGAAATGAATGGCGATTTACGCACTACTCTTCTGCACCTCATTGACCTTATTAAGACGGGCGACGTCATGCAGTGTGTAATTAAGGGAATTTTCAAGGATAGCGGCATTAATCTACACTTGTTTACAATTGTTTTTTTATGGTTTTATCTACATAACGAGTCACTCTGGTGCAACGTAAAATACTCTTTTTATGGTTTTATCTACTGAACGAGTCACTCTGTTGTAACGTAAAATACTTTTTTATGGTTTTATCTACTGAACGAGTCACTCTGTTGTAATGTAAAATACTTTTTTTTATGGTTTATCTACTGAACGAGTCACGCTATTGTAACGTAAAATACTTTTTTCTATGGTTTTATCTACTAAACGAGTCACTCTGTTGTAACGTAAAATATTTTTTTATGGTTTTATCTACTGAACGAGTCACTCTGTTGTAACTTAAAATACTTTTTTTATGGTTTTATCTACTGAACGAGTCACTCTGTTGTAATGTAAAATACTTTTTTTATGGTTTATCTACTGAACGATTCACGCTATTGTAACGTAAAATACTTTTTTCTATGGTTTTATCTACTAAACGTGTCACTCTGTTGTAACGTAAAATACTTTTTTATGGTTTTATCTACTGAACGAGTCACTCTGTTGTAACGTAAAATACTTTTTCTATGGTTTTATCTACTGAACGAGTCACTCTGTTGTAATTTAAAATACTTTTTATATGGTTTTATCTACTAAACGAGTCACTCTGTTTTAACGTAAAATACTTTTTTATGGTTTTTTTTTTTTACAGAACCAGTCACTTATGTGTAACGTTACGTAGTGTCTTTATGATTTTGTCTACATTCTGGTGTAATAAAACGTAGTATTTTGTCTAGTAGACAAGTCACTCTGTTGTAATGTTAGTTGAACGCAGTGTTATGGTTTTATATACTGGATTATATACATTACTTTCATGGGACAGATTTATTAAATACGTAAAACTGGGTTATAAAATGACTATAAAATTTACCTTTTGAAAGTAATACAGCAGCATGTAGATTAGGAGAAGCACCGGAATCTCCCACATCCTTCAAATCCGATATTAAATCGCTAAAATCGACAAAGTTTAAATATTTCCTCGTTTTTGTATCATATTTCTACGCTGATATACTATAGGGCTTATTCAGTACAACATTGTACGTAACGCATGACTAGATTAAAGTGATACTACGTCTTAGAATGAGCAGAAAATTTAATTCTCAAGAATGGTCAATATGAGTATATATTCACCAGTGAACTTACCTGGTGTCATAAAGTTACAACAGAATCCCTGTAAAAACTAAAAAATTGGAAAATTTATAATACTGAGTAATTCTTGAAAAACGCTTTATCATAATAGTAAGTGTTTTTCAATAGTTACTTGCAATTTTATTAAGTTTTTTGGATTTATCGGATTATATAAGGATCCTGTTATGTTAATTTTGACAACAGGTATATCTACTAATGAATATAATGCTCTTATTGGCTCTTATTTTTAAATTTTATGTTTATTTTAAGACGTAGTATCCCTTTAAAAAAATATTGAAAAAAGGACTCTTTCATTTAGTAAGCACACGAGCCACGAAGCGTTTAGGATGCAATATGGAAAAGACTTAGACATAATAATATGACGCGGTGACGATATAGGTCGGCCTTTTTTCGGGTAAGGGGATAGGGGGTTCTTGCCCCGCCCCCTCTTTCTGATACGCCTATATAAATCACCAGCCTAATATACTTATTGTTATCTTAATGTTGAATGTATAGTGTTAAGAGTGAAGGAGTTCCTAAAAACTTCTATGTATAGTATTATACATGTACAATTGTTATTGAATTGTACGAGAATCGGCCTTTCAATTTTGATTCAGATAGCTGAATTGAGCTCTCTCAGTAAATATCAGTAAAAATGTTCATATTATATGATATCATATCCAAGTTTATCAATTAACTAAAGAAATATTATTTAGGGACGACTTTACCCTTGATATGAATTTTAAAATATCTATTTTTTGTTTTTTTGTAGAATTTTGTGGAAGTTTATGACTTAGCTAAAGATCCACATGAATTTGTAAACCTCAGAAATTCAACAGATCAACAGTTACTGACCACATTTAAACAGGAACTTTACAAACTAGTTCATTGTTCTGGGTCTGGGTGTGTTACTCCGCCGATTAAATATTCTTAAATTCATTTTAGCCTAATGAAAGCATGGTAACTTTAAGATGTATCATTTGAAGTGTCTAATTATAGCCGAGAAAAGATTTTTGTGCATAACTGGTTGTGATTCAAAACTTGAATTCGAACAGTCACTTTATTTTAATAAGTTTAAAAGGATACTACCTCTTAGAATGGACATAAAATTTCAACAAGTTCCCCCCCCCTCCACTCACTATGGGCTAATCAGAAAGGGGTTAAAATCGAGTTCTTTTACTTGGACTTGAAAGCTGCATTTATGTTTCAACAGCTATCAATGTAACAAAATTTTGCTATCATCTATGCTATCAAAACCCTATGATACTATTAAAATCTCCACATTGTGAAATATGGCAACCACACCATAGCCACCTGACTAACATGCGGTTTTTGGATTGGTGATTAATGTAATCAACCGGACGTTCAACAGGTTGGAATATAGTAGATTCAGACAGAATTCAAAATGGCAGAAAAGGAAAGAGAAAATGTTGAATGGGGCATACCCTCAGATAATTGAAAAAAAAAATGAAATGAAATGGGTGGAGTTTGACGTCCTACTTTTCTGCAACTCTCCAATCGAGCGCCATCTTAAAATTACAAATAACAATTCTAATAAAACTTATACTTTATTTGAATACACAATTTAAGTTCATCAAGACAAGAGATTTATGAGCACTTTTTAAAAAATTAACATATACATTCAAGTCTGGATTCAGAATAAATAATGCATTATGGAATTCACTAGAATTGGTAGACTATAAATCTAAATTGGGAACTTTCTTTGGTAAATCTGTTGTTTCTATATGTAACTTTCCTTTGGATTTAATTGATCCCTGAAATAAAAATAGAAATATTTAGGCTCAATGAACATTGACAAGAAGTACAGTGTGTTTTAAAGGCTCCTATGGCTCAGTAAAGCCTGAACTTCAATTCCAGCCATAAGTCAAAAAGTTACACAGGGTTCATACAGCACTTTGCCTCAAAAATTCAAAGACTTTTCAAGGACTCTGGGCTTTGAAATTCAAGGACTTTTCAAGGATATTAGTCTGACAGAATACACATGTACCTAACTTCTGAACTGTGAAATCAATAAAGATAGTTAATATTTGTCAATGGGGTTAATGATAAAAATATACATAATTTGACTCAAGGCAAGGGATGGAATTCAATGGTTTTTCAAGGCTGTGCGAACCCTGTTACATAGTTTCAACCAGACTTCGCCTTGTGATGCAAATGACTTGAAATTATTCAGATGGGACCAAATCTAGGCTCTGTGTGATACTGGCAGTCCAAAAGACCAATTAAAGGTATTTTAAAGATGTTTTCTAAATTGTGTATGTGTATCAGGAACAATTATGGCATCAATTTCCGGCATTCCAATTTTCAATCAGACGTCTGTGGTTCTAGCAATTCTACTAAAACTAAGTGTTTTATGACGTCACCCCAATTTTTCCAATCAAAATTACACAGAAAAGATAAGAAACAAAATATCAAGGGCTTTCAGTCTCTATGATGCATACCCCGAGTTAAGTTGATTTAAGCAAGCTCTATCTAGGTTTAAAAACTGCACATTATACACGCAAACGTACGGTAAGCAACAAGTTGATATCTAAATACACCGAATAACTGACCTTTTCTGAATGTAACTTCATCATTTCAGATTTTAATTTTTCTAGAATACTTAAACAGGGTTGGACTGATTTATCTTGATTTTGAAGTTGATTGATATTTAATTCTTCTCTCTGTGGATACAAAAAACACAGCTCAATCAATACATAAATCAAAATACATAGCTCAATCAATACATATATCACAATATGTAGTTCAATCAATACATAATCAAAATACAAAGCTCAATCAACACATAAATCAAAATACGTATTTCAATCAATACATAAAAACACATAGTTCAATCAATGCACAAATAAAAACACATAGCTCAATCAATACATAAATCAAAGTACATAGCTCAATCAATAAACAAATCAAACTACACAGCTCAATCAATACATAATCAACATACATAGCTTAATCAATACATAATCAAAATACATAGCTTAATCAATACATAATCAAAATACATAGCTTAATCAATACATTAATCAAAGTACATAGCTCAATCAATACAAATAAAAATACACAGCTCAATCAATACATAATCCTATCCAGTTCCTAAGTTATGGTAAACAGTTACCAGGGTAAGGACAGACATCTTATGTAACTTTTTATAAGAGTTGAGCTTGATTCATGGGTCGCTAAACAAAAGCAAATATCTGCATTGAAGACCTTATATCTTCAAAACTAAGATTTAACTTCCGATTTAATTGTTGCCAAATTGGATGGCTAAATTTTCATTTTAAAAAGAGATACAGAGAGCTGACCTGATTTGAATTTGACAAAAAAAAATTTACCTTTTCAATGAGACCTTTCACAGAACTTTTACCATAAAGTCTTAACAAGGAACCCCAACACTGCACATGTGGATGAAGTAACTGAAATTTAATAACACATCCTCAAATTATTTGGTGAAATGAGGTTGGATAAGCTAAAATTTAATATAAAACATCAAATTATTTGAAAAAATGAGACCTTTCACAGAGAAACTGATATTTAATATAAAACATCCTCAAATTATTTGGTGAAATGAGGTTGGATAAGCTGAAATTTAATATAAAACATCAAATTATTTGAAAAAATGAGACCTTTCACAGAGAAACTGATATTTAATATAAAACATCCTCAAATTATTTGGTGAAATGAGGTTGGATAAGCTGAAATTTAATATAAAACATCAAATTATTTGAAAAAATAAGACCTTTCACAGAGAAACTGATATTTAATATAAAACATCCTCAAATTATTTGGTGAAATGAGGTTGGATAAGCTGAAATTTAATATAAAACATCAAATTATTTGAAAAAATGAGACCTTTCACAGAGAAACTGATATTTAATATAAAACATCCTCAAATTATTTGGTGAAATGAGGTTGGATAAGCTGAAATTTAATATAAAACATCAAATTATTTGAAAAAATGAGACCTTTCACAGAGAAACTGATATTTAATATAAAACATCCTCAAATTATTTGGTGAAATGAAGTTGGATAAGCTGAAATTTAATATAAAACATCAAATTATTTGAAAAAATGAGACCTTTCACAGAGAAACTGATATTTAATATAAAACATCCTCAAATTATTTGGTGAAATGAGGTTGGATAATCTGAAATTTAATATAAAACATCAAATTATTAGAAAAAATGAGACCTTTCACAGAGAAACTGATATTTAATATAAAACATCCTCAAATTATTTGGTGAAATGAGGTTGGATAAGCTGAAATTTAATATAAAACATCAAATTATTTGAAAAAATGAGACCTTTCACAGAGAAACTGATATTTAATATAAAACATCCTCAAATTATTTTGTGAAATGAGGTTGGATAAACTGAAATTTAATATTAAACATCAAATTATTTGAAAAAATGAGACCTTTCACAGAGAAACTGATATTTAATATAAAACATCCTCAAATTATTTTGTGAAATGAGGTTGGATAAACTGAAATTTAATATTAAACATCAAATTATTTGAAAAAATGAGACCTTTCAAAGAGAAACTGAAATTTAATATAAAACATCCTCAAATTATTTGGTGAAATGAGATTGGATAAACTGAAATTTAATATTAAACATCCTCAAATTATTTGGAGAAATGATGATGGAGAAACTGAAATTTAATATAAAACATCCTCAAATTATTTGGAGAAATGATGATGGGGAAACTGAAAGTTAATATTAAACATCCTCAAATTATTTTGTGAAATGAGGTTGGATAAACTGAAATTTAATATTAAACATCCTCAAATTATTTTGTGAAATGAGGTTGGATAAACTGAAATTTAATATAAAACATCCTCAAATTATTTTGTGAAATGAGGTTGGATAAACTGAAATTTAATATTAAACATCAAATTATTTGAAAAAATGAGACCTTTCACAGAGAAACTGAAATTTAATATAAAACATCCTCAAATTATTTGGTGAAATGAGATTGGATAAACTGAAATTTAATATTAAACATCCTCAAATTATTTGGAGAAATGATGATGGAGAAACTGAAATTTAATATAAATCATCCTCAAATTATTTGGAGAAATGATGATGGAGAAACTGAAATTTAATATTAAACATCCCCAAATATTTGGGTAAATGTTGATGAATATACTGAAATTTAATATTAAACATCCTCAAATTATTTGGAGAAATGATGATGGATATACTGAAATTTAATATTAAACAACCTCAAATATTTGGAGAAATGATGATGAATATACTGAAATTTAATATTAAACATCCTCAAATTATTTGGAGAAATGATGATGGAGAAACTGAAATTTAATATTAAACATCCTCAAATATTTGGGTAAATGTTGATGAATATACTGAAATTTAATATAAAACATCCTCAAATTATTTGGAGAAATGATGATGGATATACTGAAATTTAATATAAAACATCCTCAAATTATTTGGAGAAATGATGATGGATATACTGAAATTTAATATAAAACATCCTCAAATTATTTGGAGAAATGATGATGGATATACTGAAATTTAATATAAAACATCCTCAAATATTTGGGAAAATGTTTAATCCTACCTGTAATATAGCTTGTGCTGCTCTTTGTTTACCATCACGTTTATTTTTAGCAATCACCTACAATTGTACAATACAATGAACAAACCATGATATCTTCAGATCTTAAGAGCTGCGAGTAGATATTGACATCTAGCCCTTCTCTTTACAGACCATAAATTTTTAATTGGAGTAGACTTTATTCTCTCATAATTAGATTCATCTAAACATGACATGGGCAAAAGTACTGTAATTAACAGAAATTTTCTAGCTATTTGATGTTAATTCTGTGTGAATAGTCACAAAGGTGAAAGTTCAGCAGAATTAATTAAAGGGTCAGGTGCACCATTTTGGAGGGTTTGTTTTGAGTCTGGAAAATATGTCAATAGTCTTCAGAAGTAGTAGAAATGTATGAAAATCGCATAATTCCTTAAAAAATATCTAAAACTAGGAATTTTACTCACTATTTCTATATATGTCTTTTCTATAAATCACAGAGTATATTAGATTGACGACTAGTCATTTTAACAATCAAACAAGGATAATTCTGGACAAATATGGACAGTGAGCTGTGAACACTATTATTGATTGGCTTAGCTAACAATTTCCATTTCTGAGACTAAAGTATGATTGGTCAAAAATAATGGCACACCTCTCCCTTTAAGTGAATTAAGATTCTGGCATGAAATTTATCAATTTTGCTCAGAAAAGTTTTATTATTTTTCTTCCTGACCAGCATCTTCAGCAGTCTTTGCCAATACACAGGATTTCTTTTTTGAAATAATAATCAAGAGTTTAATATAAATCTAATGGCGCAAATAATTTGAAAATCTGACTGTTTTTGAAAAATTTAAAACCAATTCAAGTTCATTAAAACAAGAATTACTCCCTATATTGAACTTTATGACCAAAATTTATTTCCCAATATTAACAATACCCATACATTGTTGAGCACTAGGAGAATGGATTTAGTCACAGTTCTCTGGTCCACTTTTGCTATTTATAAATCAATTGCTACTTACAGAAGCTGTGTGTTTTCCAACAGTCAATGTAAATTCACTCTTTTGATGTTTTAATAATTTCATATTCATTGTACATTTAGTATCACCTAAGCCATAATTTCTGTAAAACAAAAGTTGAAATTTAAAACAACTGGATGCAAAAGTTGCAAAAAAGACACCACGATCAGGACCTACCTCACTACATTTGCTAAAACAGACATTTAGATAAATAATATTTTAAACTTATAGAAAGACAGACTCGCCATTCTTGGGAGTTGATTTGGGTCTTGATAAAATGCAAATAGTTTTAAGAAGTACTATAGTACTACAAAAATCGCATAATTCCTTCAAAAATATCTCAAACTATATGGCAGTTTCTCAAGAAAAGACCAAGTCATCTTTTCAACTTTCAAAAAAAGATAATTCTGGAAAAATGGATTTGAAGGCTCAAATTTTGATGGTGAGCTGTGAACACTATGATTCATGACTGGCTTAGCTAAATAATTCCCATTTCTAAGACTAATGTACCATACAGATGGCAAACATGTCCCTTTAAAAAACCAGTGTTATTACTTCATAGGGCCCAAAAGTGAGGCTGGGCTGGGCTGGCTTTAGCAGTGAAAGAAAAGCTGTCAGGGTTAACGAACTCAAACCAGGCTATGCGTAAAAAAACTTCATAAATTGAATTTTCTTCAACTCAAAATATGTACAAAAGATTTTTGAAACACAAATTCAACACTGACCTTTTAAGACATTCATCTAATATTTGATAAGGACTAGGCTGTCCTGCTTTATTCCCTAGTTCATATACTCTAGGATCTTCAATTTTTACTTCATCAAAAAACTGTAAAATATCAATGTTATAATTCAATTCACAGACTTTTGTTTGAATATTAGCATCTCTTTAAATCTATATAGAAAAGCAATTCAAGGTTTAATTAGACAAGCTATTTTGAAGTATTTTTTATCTGAAATATTCTCAAAACTTTTAAATCCTCATAGCTTTTGAATTGAAGCATCCTGCAATTAATTTTTCAATAAAAGTAAGATCATGAATTCCAAGAGAATGTTTAGATTAAATAAACCACAAATCAGAGGCATATAACAGCACTTGAGATCAATGGTTGCTTAATGTGTTTGAGTCACAATCTGCTAGTTAGTTAGACACAACATTGTGTGTGATGAATTTATCATAATGCATTACTTACCGAAAGATCTTCTATATCTGGAGTTGATTCTTGTGTTACTTTGTTCATATCTGGTATTAATACTTCTAATGTGGTCTTAGCTGAAATATTGAAAAAAACAAATATTAGAAGGGAATTTGGGTGTAATTCCTTTATTCTCACATTTTTACATTTTTTTAACTGGCTGCAAGCTATCAAAATCTTTTGCTTTGGTAATTTGCTTAACAATGGCTACCTCACTATAATGATGTGACACTTATGTGCACAATGAGCCCCTTCAAATAATAAGGGTCTTACAGCATTCCAGTGATGTGATTATTGTATTTTTTTCAGTGATTTGAAGAGATATACCTTACAAGGATAATAATTTCTACTTCCCAAATCTATGGGAACCATTGCATATTTTCAATGCCCATTTACAGCTGTTCCTACTGGAATAATGATGAAAGATGTCTCTTACCTGCTTGTAATTTAGCAGCCTTTTTACTAGAAGCATATCCTGTTCCATACTCTATATCTTCTATTAACACTGTGGCACTGAATGGTGTTAAGGAATTCTCTACAAACAGAAATAAGTTGAACGACATAAAGTACAAATTCAAATTTTGTTCTATCAGATTAAAATGTAAATGAAATGAAATAAATGGAGTTTTAAATCCTACTTTTCTGCACCATGTGAGCTAATGAAGACGGGCAACGCCATACAGGATGCAATGAGGGGAATTTTGTCAAGACAGCGGCATTAGCCTGCTCCTTTCCATTTCCGACAGTCGAGGGATCTTAAACATGCACAGGGCCTTGATTTATTGTCCCATCCGCACTACTAGACGCTTTATCCATGTCAGCCACAATAATAAACTCTTTATTTGACATGTGTCAGAATTGGGCCCAATATACAAGGACATTCAGCCAATTGGGGACTACATAATGAATGAATGAAAACAAAAAAAAATTACACTATACTTCGATGGACAACCTGTTTAACAAATAAACAAGTACATGTGATTTAAATGGACAGACTATGTTGCTATAATCAAGTACATGACCACCAAAGATGTATTATCTTTACTTGTTAGTAATCTGGGGATTTGTTTTCAACCATGATTCTCCATCTGAGAACTGTTCATCAGAGGTCCAAAGTTCTGAAGGTATTCTCTTGAGCAGTGCCAGGATAGAACTGAAGATCTCTGAGGAGGCGTCTATCTCTGAATAGTGCTGGCACGATGTATCGGTGAATTGATGTATTACGAAACAACATGCCACGATACATGTATCGTATCACAAGATCTTGTTTCGATGCTTGACAATACCTCTCATTCAATAAAAAAGTGGGGATTTTTTTTAAGTTGTTTTATGATACAATTTTTTTCACTGAAATTTTTTATAAGACAGTGGATGCTTACCACTTCTATCAACTATATTACCAAATATCACAGTTATAAAGTTATAAATTAATAAATATTGAAGCTTTGAAGATAATATGTTAATTTTTATCCCATTACCCTATATAAGGGTATGTATTGTATCGTGACCCTTGTATTACGATACATATCGTATCGAGGCATGATTGAGGATACCCAGCACTATCTCTGAAAGCCAACTTGGCAAGAATCCAGTAGGACATAAATGGAAATAAAGCTGAAATCAAAAGTACTTACCTAATTCTTTATATTTGTACCGAGGTTGAACTCTCATGGTATGTTGGATATATTCATGTAGAATACAGATATAGGATTTCCCTGATGGATTTAATACAAACTCTACAATATATAAGACATTCTTTTCTATAATACTAGAAATATTCTGCAGTGAACTTTGCTATAAGCTTAGTTAATGCAAGTGATCTTTTCTGTAATATACTAGCTAGTGAACTTTACTATAGTTAATACAAGTGATCTTTTCTGTAATATACTAGTGATCTTTTCTGTAATAAGCTTATACTAGCTAGTGAACATTGCTATAAGCTTAGTTAATGCAAGTGATCTTTTCTGTAATATACTAGCTAGTGAACTTTACTATAGTTAATACAAGTGATCTTTTCTGTAATATACTAGCTAGTGAACTTTTTTGTAATACACTACCCAGTGATCTTTTCTATAATTAATGCAAGAAATTCTTTTATGTAAGACTAATGATTTTTTTTGTAATACTCGCTAGTGATCTTTTCTATAAAACTAGCAAATTTGTATAGAAATACAACTTAGTGATCTTTTCTTTAATGAGATAGTGATCTTTTCTAGTCTAGGAAATCTTTCCTGTAATATACTCATAGCAAAGTGATCTTTTCTGAAATACTAGCTACTGATCAAAGATCAGCCATAGTGATCTTAGTAATAGGTCTTTCCTGTACACTAATTCTAGCAGTTTTCTGAGTATTCCTCATAATTTTGAAATGAAAATGAAACAGCATTGGGCATCTAATTTGCATTTAAAATTCAAGATAACATCTTACCTTTCAACTTATTTGACTTGATCATACCAGTTTTAGATGTTGGAGGAACAGGACAGGTTATCAATAATTTAGTATTGGACGGCTGAAGAATAGAATTTGTGAGATCAGTACTTTGTCTATCTCAATGAAATAATACTCATCCATGGACAACTAAGGCTGTAGTACAATCAAATTGAAAAAAAAAAAAACCCTGAGAATTTTGGTCCTCATTTCACAGTGAAGTATGTCTCTGATTTGCCTCCATTGGGCTATGGCCTAGACCACTAATGAAAGGAAAAGATGTGCCGAGAATTGAGAGAGGTTACAGACTCTACAAGAGAGAACAGCATGGTGACCCTGTGGATATGTGATTTGAATAAAACAAAAAAAGTACTTACCAGCTCTGGACGGAATCGCTTCTTCATATGAACTCTTCTGTCTTTCCACGTCCTAGAAGAACCAAATTTTATCAATTATCCCAAGACCAATTTCATTGCTCAGAGACATTTATTTCTGGTTATATTGCATACAACTACATTGTGTTCTTGTTTTGGGTATTTCCAAATGATCTGGCAAAGGATTGATCAACAAACTGCACAAATATGGGTAACATGTTTGCATATATAGTTGTAGTTAAATTTTTCTAATTTCTGGTCACATATTCTCGAAACGATCTTAGCGCTAGGATGTCCTAGAATCAATGTTAGAAGATAAGAAACTAGGAAATCCTAGCGCTAAGATCGTTTCGAGAATACGTGGCCAGAATTATATAAATCAATGTTTCCAAATGATTATTGGTATTATTGATATCATCACTTTACTTTGAGTAAGTAACAAGTTATACTTACTTATATTTTTTAACAGTAATGCTTGTAAACTGGAATAGTTTTTTACAATATTGTCTTACTTCTAGAGAATCTATAAAACATAATATACAATAACAAAATATTTTTAATGTTAAAATTGTGCTGTTAAAACAGAACATGAAACACTTTGTTACTCAGAGTTTCATGCCATGCAATCTTCAAGCAATTGATCTATTTCAGCTGTGTCAATTATGTAATTTGACAAGTGGAACTTATTTTTATGTCTACACTTCTAACATAATAGAGAAATGTTAAAGCCACATGCACACTGTCTCACACTGATGAAACAGGGCCAAAGTTACAATATTTTTAAGTATAATACTCTTTTGTGCTCATAAAAGTTATTTGACCAAAGATTACAGCTGCTATTGCTATTGATAGAAAAACCTCATGCATCTACATAACTTGATGCATACTGGAATATTAATTCCTTTTATTTTGAATGAATAGAACCCAAGTACTAATAATCCAAACTGCAAAAAAGAAACTGACATTCCAAAATAACAGTTTGGCAATACGCAAGTTGCATATGAGAAAGTATTTCACAATGAAAAGTGGTACAAGTGTCAAACACATTCGATTCAACTTTGAATTCAAGGAATTTTTTAAAGCTCACATCAACTCTTTTCACTCCAGATGCCTTATCAAAAATGGTAAAATATAAATAAGTAGGATTTTATACCTAAGGATGTGTCTTGCTTTCTTTCAGATAATGTTTCTATTCTGACCTTTGACCTAGGTAAAACTTTCCCACTTTCTCCTGCTGTGGTTTCCCCATTCTCTCCTTGAAAAAAAGGTTTTTAGTTTCAAATAATATATTTCTAATTCAAGATTCACTGGATTTCACTATTGCAGTTATTTTGGCTTGAATGGTGATCTCATAATCAATTCAAGGTTTCCTGGAAAAGCAGGAATCACAGGCAACTTAAGAGATATCAGAAAAATTCAAACATAAGTGTAACGTTTATAATTTAACTAAGCATTTTATGGTGTCACTATGGAAAAAGATTCTAACAATATCTAAGGGCTTTTGCCATAGTAATTTCATAAAAAGTTTAGTTTTGGTGAAATTGCAAGAACAACAGACATCTGACTGAAAATCGATGCTATCTGTGTCCCAAATACACTCAAAAAGTTCAGAAAACCTTTAAAGCTCATTTCATTCCAAGATTATCAAAACTCAAACCACTTATTACCTTGTCCATCTTTATCACTGTTGACAGTTTTTTCTGTTTCAGTTTCACTGACTTCTATTTTTCCTTCTGTTTTAAGATTTTGCATGGTTCCATTAAGCTCATTTTTAGTTGATAGGTCACTGGCACCATCATTTTCTTTGCAATTTTCAGGAATTTCCATATTTTCTTCTTTGATTGTTACAGGTTCTTCTGAGCTAGCAGTAACTTGTGAAGTTTTTTCTTCATCTTCTGCTTCAGTTTTACATGTTTCTTTGGAATGATCAGAAGCATATGCATCTGGGACTACAGTTTCTGATTTTTCCTCAACTTCCTTAAGCAAAGCTCTTCTGTATTGAAGACATGGAATGGCACTAACAGGAATATCATGGCGCTAAAAAATTACATTTTATAAAGATGTTAAATAAAGAATAATCAGATAGTTCCTTTATTTTCAATGTTCATGTACAATTGGTCAAAAAAAAAAATTGCTCAGTTGTCCCTTTAAATTATAATTGTCCAACAAAATATAAGCTAGATTACCAAGTGTCTCATTACTCCCCAAAATTTCAAAGTTGAATATCTCGAACATTTTTTAACAATTAAAAGTAATTCTTACCCTGACACTACCAGGACCTAAGAAATATGGTCGTGACATAGTACATACACGTGTATCTTTATGTAGGTAAACAGGCATACCACTATTATGAGTGACCACAACCCAGCCTTCTGGTAAAATATCAAATGGGTTTGTACCCTTTTCTTAAATATAAAAAAAGATACAGTTGAATTCTAAAATACATATGATGCAGAAGGCTTCATTAGCAACCAATATTTGTTCACACTGTACTGCAACTGATATACCAGTAGTGGACTCCAGGTTACAGCTTAAAGGGATTGTAAAGAGGTTTTCTTGCAATTCCACTAAAACTAACACATATTATGACATCACTAGGGGGGGAGCTACAGGAAGCTACTATTAATATATATGCAGTTCCCCTCTAGTGACGTCATATAACTAGTTATTTTTTGTGGAATTGAAGGAACCACAGACGTCGGAATGAAAATTGGAATGGTGCAAACCAAAGCTATCAGTGTCCCTGATACACATAAAAAGTTTAGAAAACCTCTTTTCAGTCCCTTTAAGGCTTAAATACACACACAAAATTGATGCAAGTACAATCCTATGGGGATACCACTAAATATATGCTTATGAGTCTGATTTAAAATATTTGAGCAATTTCTGGAATAATCTACAACTGAGCGAATAAGTACTAAGCCAATTTAACCTGTATCAACTTAAAGGGCTATCGACATGCTCATGTGCAGTTATTGTAAGTAATAATTTCGTTAATAATTGCATATGAGAAGATCAAAAATGCTGTGGTGAAGAATTTCAAAATTGGCTCTAATTTAATTATAGGAACTGAATGTTAAATTCTAATTCTGAAAAATGCTATAGATAGCTGAAATTGAGCCCTATCAGAATGTAAAACTAATCTTTATATAACAATATGCCTTTGCAATATACAATATCAATACACATTTAGAAAGCCAAAGGAGGAAATTTCCTAAAAAAAACTTTTTGAAAAAGAGAATTTCCAAATTTAGATTCAAGTCAGAAACAGACAATTCCCTACTTTCAGTTTTAACAATACTGGAATGTGAGAAAAAAAGAATCTCCTCATTCCCAGCAGATCATACAAATGCAAACTGTAAAAAAGAATTCCCTGATTTCAGCAAATCATACAAATTGAAAGCTAAAATGGACTAGGCTTTGTGAAATCTGTTCGGTTAAGGAGAAAAAAATGATAATAAAAAGTAAACCTTGTAAAACTATTTTTTCTTTTTCTTCCAAAGATTCTGGAGTTTGTTTTTCACCATCAGCTGAAAGTTTCATGTCCAGCCCTTGATCAAGAAGGTCATAAAGTTCATTATCATCTAAATACTCATCACTTTCATCATTATCTATATTTTCTGCTTCATTATCAACTTCATCAATTATCTCAAACTCATGTAAGTTACCCCCCTTTAAATCATAATCTTCAACTTCATTTTCATCTGGCAAATTGCTTCCATGACCGGGGTCTCCGATGCCAAATGAAGCATCAAGGTCTAACCTTGGTGCCTTAGAAGGTGGTTCTAAACTTTCAGAAGTTTCCTCCATCAAAATTCCATCATTATTTTCTTCCAGATCACTGGCCATATCGGCATCATTTGACGCCATTTTAATTCTACAAGCTGAATGTTATTTTCCACCTCGGTTTCTCAGTCCAACTTCAGTTAAATTATTCGTTGGACACAAGATTCAGAGGCTAGAATACTACAAGATTCCACGAAAAATTTCTTTAACTTTCTGTCATAGATTATTCAATAACCTATGGATTTTGTCTACGCAAAGTAGCCTAGTCTGTACTTAGGGGCAAAATGTTTTGCAAAAAATTCCAGTCAGATCTAGCTTCTCAAATTGAAAAAGATTTGGCTTTAAAGCAAAAGTTTTGTGTCCTGGAATATAATATGATGTCCTATTAAGCAGGCCTACTAACACCAATCTAATACAGTTGATCTGATTTCAGATAAGCCTATTCAACACTGTAGATATGTCGTAAAAGGTTGAGAACTTTGTGTATTGCAATGATAAACTGTAAGAACTAAAGATGTATAAAATATATCTTTAGTTGACTTAGTCTGTCTTACAATACACTATCTAAATTCTGCTTGTTAACCATAATTAATATATTCCCACGATCTGTGAATCTGAAATAAGACAAACAATGACATCATGTAGTGGAAAGAAAAACCTTTCTAATTTCATTGCTCTCAAATGTGCCACAGTAAGAACAGATTAAAAAATCACAATTTTTTTTTACAAGGATAACAATAAGATCTTATGCAGACTACCTGGTTTTTCTCCAAACCTTTTGGGAAAAAGTCTTTCCTGGGTTAGTCTCATTTACTGCTTTATCATCAACTGTGCTTATAGTAAAACTAACAAGCTCATATAAGCCCTTAGCCTATGCTTTTGTTCTTCATATCTGAGAAAATAGCTGAGGGGATAAACATTCTTATTCTTCAAAACGAGGACATAGTCGAGATAGCTATACTAGTAATAGGCTACTGAACGGCTATTGACTAGTTTGATAAACTCCAACCATTATTTACAGGCTTAATCATTACAGATGATGTATACAGCTAGTCACCTGGGTAAGTGGGAGGGGGTCAGAGATAATGCAGCCCAACCTACTAATTAGTGCTAGAGTGAGATGAGAATAGTACTCTCAAAAAAGCACTGGCCTAGGTCATGATGAGACAGTCTGTGAGCCTTATGATGAGTTTCAAAACCCCTCATGCCTTTTACCTTTCCAAGTCAACACAACCATTCTTTAAAGATTGTGGTCAGACAGTTATGACAAGATCAGATTAAAAGAATGTGTATAAACAGAAGCTGCTCATGCATGTTATTATCAAAGAATAAGAAAGTAAATGTAAAAAGATAGGCTTCACTAAGGCTTAGCCTGTTAAACAGTCCATAGTCTAGGTTGTCAACCATTTAGTTTAATTGTGGTTATTTCATTTCTGAAGAAATTGTTTTACTGTTAATTACCACTCAATCCAAAACTTCAAAACCTAAAAAAATTTTCGACAGGAAATAGTATTTTGATTACTTGCCCTTTAATCCGAAAAATTTCCATATTTCAGTACCGGTATTTGATACTAAAAAAACAAGTAAATGGACCAAATTTTTATCTATTCCTTTTTTATTTCACATAATTTGATCAATAAAGATTCAAATCGAAAGGCAATTCAATATATGAGTGAGTGATAAGAGAATGAAGAAGTAAAAAATTAGAACTTGACCTTCCTGAGTTTGTCAATGTTTCGGACTAAAGGGCAAGAACTCTTGTAAATTAATGAATGCATGGCCACCTGAAATTGTTTCTTAATTTCTGTTGTGTTTATCCCTTTTTAACTCTTTGTTTATTGAGTATTTTAAAGGTGTCATAGAATATTGTATAAAACTGTTGATCTATGACCATCGTTAGTATTTTGTAAGTCTCCCTGTTGATTGTTTTCAGTGTGTTTGAGAAATAAGAATGTGAGAAAATGGGTCAGACTGAAATATTTAAGTAGGCTATATGCCTAGTTTCTGCTTATTCATTGAAGTGGAAGTTTGGGCCTGATATCTTTATCTGTTTCTATATCAGACAACATTTTTGTACTGAGAGTCTTAGATTATCTTGCAATATATAAGCAATCCATGTACTAGTACGTAATTTAAAATGATTAGCCTAGATCTACAGGCATTTAAAATCACATTGGCCAAATCGATCTAGAATTCTAGAATTCCATCATGGCTATGAAACACATCAAACGTTATCGCTACAAAGATACGGAAATTTTTGATTATGTAAAGCAAATCCTAATTCTAATGAATGTTTTATTGTTGTTTTATCATTCTTCATAGTTCATGATGTATTGGTCCTATAGGCCTACAGTAAACACAGTCATGTCTTTCACGTGTTGCGTATGTGACCCTTGACAGGTTTCCTAATGGGAAGGGACATAACTCTAGTTATGGAATGGCATGGTTCAACTATCAGGAAATTCGTTGAATCACACAATTTTATCGGGAACGGGAATGTGCAGATAAACGAGGCCCCACTTTAACTTGGTTAAGAATAAAAATTAATTTCAGTATTTGTTTATTTTAGTAAATTCTGAAGATGTTGGATGAACCAACCAAAAAGACCCTGGAGAAGGAAATACTTCCATTTCTGAACAAGACTGCCAGAACAGATGTTAAAGCTATCGCATTGGAGTATTTTCTTGGAATGACAGGAACTCTCGATGGTCGATCATTTATTGCTCAGGGAAATGTTTACCTAGAAGGCATTTTATCTTTAACCACTGATGAACACGATTTAATTATTAAAGATGCTTTTTTTTCCTTAACTAATTTGGCTACGGACGAAACAACAGCATGGAAACTCATGAACATGGACAAATTTCCAAACAATGGAATTAAATGGCTACGATTTTCTATCAGTCCTGAAAATGAGACTGCAGACGTTGTACTTAGTTTGATCTCCAATTTAACTCGCTCTTATAAATGTGCTGAAAAACTAGTCCAGGAAATTTCAGAAAGTGATGACATTACCATTGAAAAACTAGTTTTAATTCTTTGTGACTTGGAACATAATAAAAAAGCCAAAATGAACTATTTGGGTACAGTTTTGATGAATTTAACGCAAGTTCCTAACATTCGTAAAGAGATCACAAATAAAGACAGATGTATAATACAACGTTTACTGCCCTTTACAGAATATTCAGCCTCTGCCATTAGAAGAGGTGGAGTGGTTGGTGCAATCAGAAACTGCTGCTTTGACTCTAGTAAGTACTGGTGGTTCAATATCATTTGACTTTTGACTATATAACTGGTCTGATAGAAGAAATATTAGGATTTTCCACAATTTGAAAGGGATTGTAAAGAGGTTTTCTAAATTTTGAATCGGGGACATTAATGGCATAAAGTCTGCACCATTCAAATTTTCAATCAGATATCTGTGGTTCCTGTACTAAGTAAACTAAATGATGGCTGACTTCACTATATCAAAATCTGCTTATATCACATAAGGCCCTTTCTGATCACAAGACACTTTTCACGTAAGAATTGCAGGAACCACTGAAAATTGAAATAGTGAACTTGATGATATAAGTGTCCTGAACATAGAAAGTTTACTCTTCTACCCTATAAATAAATGTAAAATTTTCTACATTATTAACTTCCATTTTCTTATGAATCATTGTTCTATGTACCGGTAATCCCATATAAAATGTAGAGTAATATAGAAATTAGGTTTTTCCGATGAAACATATATTTTGGACCTTTTGAATGACAATATACAAATAACAGTTTTGATTACCTCTTTAAAAAGGCATTGTAAAGAGGTTTTTTAAATCTTTAAATACCAATGATAGCATCAATTTGCACATTCCAATTTTTGATCAAACGTCTGCGGTTCCTGCAATTCCACTAAAACTAACCGTTTATGTCATCAAATTTATCTTTCGATTTCTATCTACTGTTACACAGATATGTCTTTTCTATATGGCAAGAAATGATGAGTCATCATTTTAACACTCAAACGCTGATAAATTGAAGGCTCAAATTTGGACGGTGAGCTGTGGACACTATTACTGATAAGCTAAGCTAAAAAAAATCCTGTTTCTGATACATAAGTATAATTGGACCAATGGATGGCAAATTTGTGCCTTTACGTTTACAAACCTAGGAAGATAAAGACATCATTATTATGATCATTTCATTCTTCAGGTTATCACGAATGGTTATTGAGTGATGAAGTTGATATATTACCACGTCTATTATTACCATTGGCTGGTCCAGAGGAATTTGATGAAGAAGATACAGAGAAATTACCAGATGATCTTCAGTATCTACCACCAGATAAAACTCGAGAACCTGATGCAGATATTAGATTATTACTGATAGAAACTCTAAATCAGGTGAATACAAAAAATATTTTTTATAGCTTGACTTACTAAAACTGGTACTGTTAGTGAACCATAGGTGAGTAGCCAAGATCTAGTTCTAAATGGCACTATAATTATCTCAATATGAGTGTTATTAAATGCTATGGCCATTTAGTGAGAACATTCAAACCCTTTGATAACCCTATTGATCCATAACTGTGAAAATGCTATAGCTCTTTAAATATTAGATAGTTAGATATGCTCCTTGGTTCAAACCTTGTTGAGCACTCTATCTGGAGTGTACCATAGTCGTTAGCTTGTATGCGTAGCTCACTAGCTTGCTAGTTTGAGCTTTCTGGCATAGTGCCATGATACCACATATGCAGGGTCATCTGAGGCGGCTATATAGCCAAACCTCAACTCCAGGATCAGCTCTGCACTGCACTGATGAGGCCCAGAAGGCCAAAACAGTCCTATTTGCAGTTAGCTCTTTTAAGTTTTCAACTGATTTTCATAAAACTTGAATGAATGAAAATGCAAAAATGCTATAGCCTATCAGTAAAAATATTTTGTTATTGTTGCTCTCTAGGTCTTCAACTGAAGAAAATTTTAAACTTTTAACCCATTTGTCAATCCTTGTGGTCCTGAATTATATAAATATATATATAAGCTTACTTCAGTCATATACAATATATAATATGTTTTATGTTTTTTTTTTTTGCAGCTTCTTGCTACCAAATTTGGGCGAGAGACGTTTGAAAAGAAGAATGCCTATGTTATAATGAGAGAATACCATAAATGGGAACCTGATAGAAAAAACAATTTAGCTATTCACAATGTTATTGATGTATTGATCGGCGATGAGCCTGATGAAGGAATGGAGAATTTACAAAACGTGGAAATACCACCAGATATTCAGGAGAAGTTTATTAAAGAAGATAAAGAAATGGAAAAACAATTGATTGTTGAAGAAGATCGTGCTTCAAAATCTGATAATAAAACTTAAAATTTTTGTTTTGTTTTGATTGATCCCCAGTGGTTCAATGAGTTAGACCTTGCTCACTAACCTGAAGGTCCAGGGCTGGGGGCAGACATGGAAAAAGCTTCTAGTCGTCTAGATTGGACAATAAATTGATGCCCTGTGTGCTACAGACTGTGCACGTTAAAGATCCCTCGACAGTTGGAAATCGAAAAAGAGTAGACTAATGTCACTGTCCTGGCAAAATTCCCTCATTGACCTCTCCATGGAGTTGCCTGTCTTCATTAACCCAATTAGGTGCAGAGGAGTAGAATGTAAAACCATTTCATTTCTTTGATTCGATGTTTTTCAATTCAAGAAACATAAAATATAACTTTATTAATAACTATATACAATATGATTATAGTTAAGTTAACATAAAATACCACATGGTTATATTTATATAAACATAAAATACCACATGGTTATATTTATATAAACATAAAATACAACATGTTTATATTTATAACATAAAATACAACATGTTTATATTTATATAAACATAAAATATAACTTGAGAAATATATGATATATTTACAGTTAACATAATATAAAATACAACATGGTTATATTTATATAAACATAAAATACTACATGTTAATATAAATATAAAATACCACATGTTTATATTTATATAAACATAAAATACCACCTGTTTATATCTATATAAACATAAAATATAACTTTGGAAATATATAATATATTTAAAGTTAACATAATAAAAAATACATGTTTATATTTACATAAACATGCAATATAACTAAATAAATATAACATATGATCATAGTTAACATAAAATACAACATGTTTATAAAATACCACATATTTATATTTATATAAACATAAAATTCAAAATGGTTATAGTTACATAAACATAAAATATAACTTAATAAATATAGAATTTGTTCATCTATATATAAACATTAAATATAATACAGTAAATTATAATTGCAGAAACATAAAATACAACATGGTTATTGCTACATTAGACTTTATTACCGCATGTTTGTAACTACAGAGACATAAAATACAACATGTTTATAGTTATATTAAACTATAATACAGCATGCTTTCAATTTCAGACACATAAAATACAACATGATGCAATAACATGAAATAAAGCATGTAACTTATAACACAATAAAATACAATATTGTTATAGCTACAATAACATAAATGTTACATCAACATCAAATACAACACATTGATAGTTGAATTAACATTAAATACCACACATTGATAGTTGAAGTAACATTAAATACTGATGGTAGTTGTTACCTTAACATAGAATGTAGCATGTTTATACTTAATAGTTACAACAATATAAAATACAACATGCTTGTAGTTACGTTTTGGCCTTGTGGATAATACAATTTATAATTTTTTTTTTGTGAAAATAGAATACAAAATGGCATTCAGGATTTTTAGAGCATTTGTCCTCTAGATTCAATAAACAATGCTATCTTTCTGATTTCAAGTTTTTTTACGCTAGGAAAGGCCTTTTGTAAAGAACCGAGGTCCATTTTAGATAGTGCTTTTCCATCCAGTTTTTGGGCCCTCATGATTGACAGAGTATCCTCTTTAATACCATATTGTCTTAGAATTACTTGTACGTCATTAACAGATTGAGCAGCAAGTTCAGAACTCTGGAAATCCTCACCACCAACTCCAGAGTCAGCTACACTCTGAGTATCAATGGATGTCGAAAATGCTGTAGCTCCTAGTTGAAGGTTATCAAATGCACTTGTGTTGAATTCTTCTGTGCTCATGCGATACATCGGAGCGCGAGACGGAACGGGTGGAGGGAGATCGGGTATTTCATCTTTCACAACTCTTCTTAACAAAGTTACGTTCTCATAAACGACCTCAACGCTAGAGCTCGAATCTGTGCGCCCTAAACCAGGAGAGCTCGACCTCGGAGAAGAAGGAGATATATTCGGAACATCATGCTGTGGAGAAGAAAACATTTGAGTTACTGAATACTGATTAGGGCGACCTCTGTATGTTTTTTGCACTTTTATAGTTCCTCGGTGGTCCACGGGAATTTTAAAAGAACTATTACCAAAACAGAGAGTCACATTCGAGTTTGATTGGATGGGAACCTTCTGTGATAACAGTTCTAAATGAGTCGTCGATTTCGTTTTAGGGAGCCAATGTTGTTCGTAAGCACTTTGACGAACGGGTGTACTAGTTTTTCGGATTCTGGTCGGTGGTAAAGGGGCTCTGTGTTCCGGTCCCGAGTATAGGGAAACATCATCAAGTGTATCTGGCATAACAATGGACACTTTTATCTGCCTCATGTATAGTTCAGCCCTTTCTTTATACAGCACCATTGCTTCTTTATAGCCCCTATTTTGTATGAGTTCTTGGTTATTTTTGGCAACGTTGTATTTCAATACGGTTTCCACGGGGATCTCTAATAAGATATTTTTCACATTGAACACCGTTGATGACACTACAGATTCTTCCATAAATGTAGCAGAAAACAGTAAGGTCCCTGTAAAAGAACATGGTGTTGATGGACCGCGACCATAAACAAGCTTTAGAACGCAAGGAAATTGCTTGATCTTATGAAGTTGCACCACGGGCACTTTGACATTGTCTTTAGATGAAGTTAGGATATGAAATTGACCCTTTGCCTCAAAGGGTAGTAACACTTCTCTATCACCCTCGTCAATACACAATAAAAACTGTTCTTCTCTGCTTAAAATTTTGTCTTTAAAAGCTCTTTTCTTGGTGTATTTAGTGGTAGCTACGTACGTTCCGGATACCTTAAATACATCGCCGGGAAATACAGATCTGCTGTCTGGTCTTTCTGATGTTTTACTGGATGGCATTTGAAGACCAACAATTTTTTCTGTACCACCAATCAAAAATTTCGTAGCTCCACTGGCTGCCGTGTTTTTAACGGTGGTATAAACCGGTATAGCCGGATCGTCTGTAATAGTATTAGGGTCTCCAAAGTGTGCAAACCATCCTGAAAAATAAACGAGTCATCTAAATGATCTAAATATTATGATTTTGTTCAGATGAAGCTTAATCTTAAGTTTGACCAACCTTGAATAATATCTAGAAAAATTATGACGTTGGTGAAGTCACAAATTTGAATAGTACAATACAATTTTACGATTGATGACAAAATACATACACAATAAGATCTATTACATAGCTCGATACTAGGTATTAGGGGGGACCGACTCTCGAAAGCACTGGCAGAGGCATCAGAATTTTTGTTACATTGAGGAGGATTCGAACCCACGGCACCTAATCGCCTAGCAGATGTCAATCCAACTCGCTTCCGACTGAGCTACTCCACTGCCATAATAAGACAGTGTTCCAACCCAGTGTTAGAAGGAAGTATTGTCGTTCACACAGTTCGACCTTCAAGGAGATATCCTTATAGCCTGACACGGGCAGGGAGATGGTTGGCACTATGCCATTAAGACTGAAAACTTACCTTTGTAATCTTCAGGGATCAAAAGCGGGTCACCAATTACTACGTATTTTCCTTTTGATTTATCATAATTCAGGTTACTCGCCACAAGTTTTCTGACAGACCTTTGACGGTACAATAACATTGGTTGAGCCATATTAAAGCTTTTACTGTCAGTGGGCAAATCAAAATGACTGGAGTCACATCTTATCACACGTGGCAACTGAAAACTCTCCAGAAGCTTTCTCATGGTGTATATACCTGCCTCCCATTGAAGATTGGGTTTGGCGATGCAGGCTCCCAACTCTAGTTCCTTTACGTCCTTCTTCTTTGCCATAATAAGAGTATGATCAGGTAACTGATGAAAGTAGAATTTTCCAGCAGAATTTTCCCGCATATATCAGTATATAAAAGTATCTAAAGAATCGGAGTAAGTTCCTGATGATTTTGTTTCGAACACTAAACACTTTCCATGTTCACTTTTAAGTAAAATGTAAAATCTACTCAGCACAGTCAAGTGCCAAAATGAAACGTAAATTAGTCAGACCTCAAACATCTAAAAATCCTTATACAACTCCAATCAAAACATTCGTTACGAAACTAAAGAGGATATTGTTTACATCCTTCCCAATGAAGTGGTGCAATCGGAAATGATTTCATCAATTTCGTCGTTTGATCTAATCTTTGGTACCATTCATGTCCGCCATTCAGTTCTTGACTTTATCAGAAAAGTCACAAGCTGAAAATAGATATCAAAGATAACAAATATGCTATACTCCTAGATAAAGTTATTTTATGAATGTTGTTTTTTCAAACGAACTCACCACTGTCACTTTGCGAGCCCTTCGGAGGACTATTTAGTAATTCTACGTAACGTACACTTTACTCAAACCAGATAAATCTTGCCCTCCCCAGTTCCTTAGCCACGATGTATAGGTTTTATTTCACCACGGGTAGAGCAAGTCCGACAAATCTGACCCTCCCAAGTTCCTCAAACCCAATAATGGATAAAATTTCGTCACGGGTAGATCTAGTCCGACAAATCTGAGCCAACCATATTCCCCAGACCCAATAATGGATGTGATTTCGTCACAGGTAGACCTAGTCCGACAAATCTGAGACAACCCAGTTCCTCAAGCCCAATATATGGATGTGATTTCGTCACGGGTAGATTTAGCCCGACAAATCTGAGTCAACCATAGTTCTTCAGACCCAATAATAGATGTGATTTCGTCACTGGTAGATTTAGCCCGACAAATCTGAGCAAACCATAGTTCCTCAGACCCAATGATGGATGTGATTTCGTCACTGGTAGATTTAGCCCGACAAATCTGAGCCAACCATAGTTCCTCAGACCGAATAATGGGTGTGATTTCGTCACGGATAGATCTAGCCCGAAAAATCTAACCACTTCCCAAACCTCAAACCTGATTTTGGGGCTATAGGTGTAATTTCGCTCGTCGCCAGAACTGGGTAGTTCTTTTAATGGCTATAATATTTTTACATTACAGGACACATATATAGCCAAATTAATATTCAAAATATTATAGGTATTTAGTCTAACCATTTGTGGTAATCTTCAGACAGTTATAAGCTCGATATCATGTCTTTGAAAATGTTAATGACGACCTGAAACTAACGGTTGTCGTGGTTTGATTCTAAAATGTGGTGCGAATTGAGCTCTATTGGAAGAAATTGTCTGTTTGAAATATTTAAGCTTTTTAGTAGCCTCGATATTTGAGATCACTTCGTGGCATTTTCTTTACGCAACATCAAATATCTTGCTGTTCCATTATACATGCGTTCCGAAAAGACATTTTGTTGGCTCGTATTAGGGAATTGTTAATCCCCAAACCCCGGCTTGCTCTTCATTCTTTTTTCGCGATTCACCAATCCCAGAATGATTCTTGCTTGAATCGTTATTCTCGAACCCCTTATCTCGAATAACACTGCCAGTTACGGTACGAATTAAGTTACAACATATTTAATTTATCATTATCTGAATGAACGAATATAATTTGTTTCCTCACATCGATTTACTTAGGAGGAAAACCATTAAACATAATTTTATTCAGCAATGTTATATATTATAGTAATAATAAGTGATATTTCAGCACGTCACGAAGTCTTTTTTTTATCACTAGTCTTGTTATCACTTCCTAGGTTTTATAAAATCGGCAATATGCAAAATTGTCATTATTGAAAACGTTGTAAATTATAACGCTATATTCTTCTCTGAATCTACTTGAATTTGTTATAAACTGTGCTACATTGTTACGTTATATTTTATTTATATTATAGACTTTGTTATTGAAAAATGACATGGAGCTGAGCTTAAACTTGTATTTATGTTTTAGATGGTCTTTCTCCAATAAGTTTTTATCACCCAGCGGCGGCGCCATCCTCCAGAGACTGGAGGTACGAATAGGGGGCAGACTGATTCAATTAGAGGACAATTGTCGAGGTTGAATTCAAAATTTAGCAACTCTGTGGAGGCGTCATAGTCGCAAGCCTCTCATGGAGCGTCAGAGAGATTTTACCCACGAAAATCTTCGAAAAATTTAAATAATTTGGTCCTTCCCACACATATTTTGGGGCAAAAACGTATAAAAAGGTTATTTTTAAAAAAATTATAAATAAAGTGGGGATACAATTTGGGGTACAAACCATTTTTCTAGGAAAGCAAGAACCAACCTACCCCTCCTGTTCCCCTCCAGGCGCCGTCACTGTAACCTCCCCCAGTAGGGTTACTTTATGACCCCGTTGATATATATTAGTAGCCTGCTAGATAAAGAGTTAAGTGTCCACGAACTCCAACAATCGGAATGGTATGCTGTATTAGTTCTTAAAAATTTTCAGTTGGTCGAGCAAAGAGAGGGCCGACGAAAATTCATTTCACCGTATATGATATGGCGGTTTCCGTCACTAGAACGTTTCTCGTTTTGTTGACTCTCACATATACATCACGTTACTACTATTATAATTCAGGAGTGTTTGCTTTTAGCCGTAAAGGACTTAGCTGTGGTGATGTCTATCGTCACTTTTTCATAAATATTTTTTATTCGATATAGCTTTAAGGTGATAGGTATAATTTATAGCACAAAATAGTTAATGACCCCACCCAAGCGTAAATTTTAATACCGAAACCTATCCAATTGAGAACCATCTCTTTGAATTAAGCAATATTTAGAAAAAGGAGTGTATATCAGTTAAAAAGTTCATATTGACCTTATCTTCAACACTGATCTCCGATACCCAGTTTTTGAGTTGAATTGATCATTTTTACAACTTGAAAATTAATACAATAACGTACCTTCAATAATTTTTTTCTGTCACACCGTCATTGCTTCACACAATTAAATGCAGTGCTCTTAGTATAGCATCTTGTCTCACACCATAAGCAATGCAGTCTAATAGGTATCAATATCATTTGCGTCAACAAGTTTTAAATTATTGCTTCCTGTTTGAATGAATGACAAAATTAACTCAAGTGAATCAATCATTAGAAAGGGGCTTAGACTATTTAGGTCAGGTAAAATTATGAATAGAAAGGTAGTGTATTGTATTGTAGGTTTAACATAAAGTATATTTAAATACATATGGTGAGCTATTATGTCTCCCAGCAAAATGGCAGTCGTTGAACTAGATAAGTTGGTGCCCGTGGACTTATGTTGGCTGAGGTCCTTACCCAGGGAATTTTTTAAAAACATTATGCTCTCCTGCATTTTTCATGGGTTGGGGCCTTCGTAGCGGTCGCTATGATAGTTGTGTCACTGTCGTTGAAGGTTGAATGGTTCAAGTCTACCGTGAATGAGAAAATTGCTAAGATTTTGATTTCTTTTGTAAGATACGACCTAACGTTTTGTGTATACATGGGGAAATTTGTTAGTTTGTGAAAGGGATGAGTTGTCTACAAACCCAGTCGCAGGTGTTATCATAGAAGAGAGCATGCTCTGGGACGATTCCTCATTCGCTTGGCCAATCGTTACTTAGAAACGGGAATTTTTACTGTCGAAATTTGAGCCTTCGAATCCATGTGTGTCCAGAATATTATCCGGCGTTTGAAAGTTAAAATGATGACTCATCTTTTCTTGATACACAGCCTTAATATATAGAAAATACTTACATAGAAATAGAAAGTAAAATTTCTCTACCTCGACTTAATAAGTCGAATTTAAAAAAAAATAGCTATAATATTTCAACTAAGCCTTCATGTAATGTGATTCGAAGGCTTTGAACTACGTTTTGTCTGTTTTTGATACGATAAATCCTGCTCACACAGTCATGCGATTTGGACAAGATTGTCATGTCCTGCTATGTTGTACATATAAATGATCAGCATACGCCCTTACATCGCATATAATTATATCACGATAATAAGTAAATATCATAACTGTTAGTCAGATAGTCGTGGTATATTATATTAATACTTAGGTTAAACATCACTTATCTGGTAGGGTCTATTGATGAAAGGGGATCTGTGATGATAGCAATCGTTTTATTTATTTGCGTTCATGCACACAGTTATGAATCCTTCATATTTTATCATAATTATGACGCAGAACTTAACTTCGCTTTCCGAACTATTAGCGCATCAAATTGGCATGTAAGCCATATTTCTACATTATACATGTTTTGAGACTAAAGTACACTAGGTCAATATATTATGTAAATATGGCTTATGTCCTATTATTGATAACAGTGACACTACTTTCAGTTTCATAATTATTATCAACAAACGGGTCCTACATGACACTCTTTGATTATAATTTCATTACAGATGGGTTTCCTTATTTTTTAGTGTCAAATTAAGCAAACTATTTGATTAATTGGTGTTTCTAATGAATTAGCATGTATTCTTTATCATATCATTATTTTCTTATATTGCATAAATGTCCATGTACAGTCTGGATAAACAAAAAAAGACTTTTTGACTTTTTTTGATCGGTCACTCATTGGAATTCTGCTGGTAATTCTCTTCTAATTTAGCAAATTATTAATTAATTATCGACATGTGAGACAAACTGGTATTTTTCCAAGTCATTAGAACACTTCTACCTTCTATTAATATAAGTATATATAGCATTTTGAGGGAACCCATCTTTAAGATTGCAACGCAGGTGAACCGTCTTCTCTTTTTCACAGAAAACTTCGTATTTCAATGTCACACCGTTGAGTCAATTGGTAAGGTAACGACTATACAATATTCGGCTCAAAATGAAAAATAAGTCTATCTTTATTTTATATAACTTTTACTGTAAAATATATAATTATATCTTGAAACAATATCTTGAAATATGAATGCATATAGACGAGGTAGGTTACAAATATAATATATTGGGTATAAGTTACATTTATGTTAAAAAAACATTTAGCGGCACATAGATTTATCTACATCCATACAACGTTCAAGATTGACCCAAACACTAGTATATGACATGGTTACATGAACAGAGTATCCGGCATATGACGTAATCTGATTGAACAGAGTTTCTTTTGGTTAACACTTGTAATGCGAAAAAAATTCGAAAATCATTACAAGAGTCAACCACAGAAATCGACCGGCAAATGACTCAATTATATAATACAGATCGGATTGAACAGAGTTTCTTTTGGTAAACACTTGTTGTGCGAAAAATTGCGAAATTCATTACAAAAGTCAAGCCAAGAAATCTACCGGCAAATGACTCAATTACATAATACAGATCGGATTGGACAGAGTTTCTTTTGGTAAACACTTGTAGTGCGAACAATTGCGAAATTCATTACAAGAGTCAACCACAGAAATCGACCCGGCATATGCCACAGCTTTTAAGTAATAATTATATGACTTTAGCAAGGGTACGATGTTATCTAGATATGGATAATATCGTACCGTAGAACATGATGCCACAGTTAAAGATGGGTTTCCTTGTTTTTTAGTGTCAAGTTAAGCTATTTGATTAATTGGTGTTTCTAATGAATTATCATTTTGATATAATAAAATTTTGATTTCTGGAAGACTGATATCAAAAGTTTGTGAAACCATGGCATTGAAAAAGTGAAATTTGTTACATTTTGAAATAACGATGACGCATATTAATATATATATATATATACAAAGCTTTGACGAGACAGTGTGCACAAACCATGTAATAATAATCATAATGTGAAACACAAATAAATGGCTTTAATAGATTTCGTTATGCGGAACACAAATTTAAATTCATAATCACCATGATTAAATAAATAAATTAAATTAAATAAATGGCTTTTTCATATACTAAAATAAATGGAATTCATAAATTAAATTGTAAATAAATAAATGGAAAAAATGGATTTATTTTGATTTCGATCTCGCTATGTGGAACACAAATTTATATTCATAGATAATACTGTTATTGAATAAACGACTTTTAAACGGGAAGTTAACTTTCTTTGATTTCGATTTCGCTACTAGAGTAAATGGAACTTGATTCTTTTTGATACAGTTTTCATTATATCACTTTTATTCACTGTAAAAAGTGCGGAACAGCTTCAAGATGAAGTTCTACAATAAACAGTCCGCCCACTGTGAGGCCTCTTGCACCATGTTCAGATTAAGCTGCAGTGAATTGTCAAATTTGTAGCCAAATATGACTTCTTTTGCTTTCCAATTGTCAGCAATTTGTTTTAACTTTTCGCTCTTGCGATGATCTCATTAAATTTTCTCACATTAATTCCAACATTTTTGAATAACTGTTTTTCTGCCAATGTGCTGATTCAAAAAGTTCAATTCATCTTGACAAATTCGTACAGGTTGACAAATGTTAAATTTTTAGGAATTGAAACAAGTAAAGTTGTGTGGCATCGAGCTCCGAAAATTGACTCTGGTCTCCATTGGAATGGGATTACGACTGCAGCTGTATTATCAGAAAGATGATTATGAAAATCTACATTACTTACATGCCTTCAACTTAAGGAATAAGTCGAAGAAAAAAGCACAAACAGTTTGCTTATGTATAATTTGCATCCACAAAAATATCGTCGGTTTGGTATCCCGCTGATCTTCTTTTCTTCATTTTCCGTCTTCGTTCAAGCCTGATCTCCCAACTTTTTTTCTGTATGCTCGACTTTCTAGTCACAACGATGGGAGCTTTGGAAAGTTCTACCAACAGAGCATCTTCCGATGGCAGCTGTATCATACTATGTACTTTAGCTTTTCTGGATCCATAATCATCATCTGACAACGGACGTTTCTTGCTTTCCCTGTTTCTTTGAAACTTTCTGCGCTTATGGGCAATCTCAAAGGCCCTTTTTTGAATGCTTTCAATCCTTTCCAAATTGGTCAGAGATATAGATACTTCTTTAGCATCTTCGTCGATTGCTACAATACCGTCTAATTGCAACATCGAGAAACGACCATAACAGGCTTTACTAGTACCTACGGAATAAGGTCGACCAAATCTCGAACCTTGGTCATCTGGATGTCGTCTGTAAGCTACTCCTGATAAAGTGGAAAGGTTTGACAGTGATTCTTTGGAGGACATCAACGACTCTTTGGAAGAAAACAGGGACATCCTTTTCTTTGTGGGGCTTGACGAAAGCATATCGGACAAGGATTCCCTTGAAGACATCAGTGATTGTTTAGATGGAAATAGTGATTTTTTCTTCGTCTGCTCTAGGAGTGGTGTCCCCAGTCTTGGTATATCAACACCCCATACATCATCCTGATATGAATCTTCATCTAAGTACAACTTGCTTGCCCTGACATTGGTATCTACTGCTTTTAAAATTGCTCTTTTCCCCATGAGGAAACTTCGAATTTTATTCATTCTGAAAGCTTTTTATTTGGTGGTTGTCTGCAAATAAATGAATAAATGAAAAAATGAATGAACAAATGAATATACATTTATAAACAAATGAATAAACGGATAGGTGCACTTTCTATACACATTAGGTCTTCTGCTTGAGTGGTTATCAATATCGGGGAACTGATTTAAATAAAATTGGCATGAATGACTCATGACTATACATAATATATAAATATATAATTATTTGGATTGAATATACACATGGGTATGTATTGCCTATTCGTAGTGCTATTTTTAGCCAATGACACACATCCGCGTTACAATAATATTGTTAGATGGTGATGAAAACATGAGAGCATGCGTTATCAATTCAGCAAAATTTCATTTGATACAAAGCCTTGGTGATTGTTATTTTAAGATACGATCACAGCTGGTCTTGCGAATATTTGATCTGTATTTTTCAGACTGAATTTGGCTATCAGAGATACATTATACGTATCCTTACGTATATACGAGATAAAAGCAATTACGGGATAAAACTGATACATAATGAGTAGTCCGAAATAGTGATAGTTCTGTTTGAGCTCAATGACTCAAAATCTCAAAATGTTTTTTCCAGGACCCTAAATATAGGCAAATGCCTCAAAGCGAATTTGACAAAAAAATAAATACAAAAGAAATATTTTTAAAAATTTTGAAAATAAATATAATATGATCTCCACGTCATAGAAAAACACGATAATTACGGATATGATTTTAATAGTGTCTATAGGTCAAGGACTAATGAGTCAACAAGTTTATGGTAATTGAATGTGAAATCAACCATCTTGGGTTTTCCCCGATTTCTATTAGGTGATGGTTTATAGCCAATAAAATGTTCGGAAACGTGAGTAAGAGTATATAGTTTAGCCTTTATATAAATAAATACACAATATTATGTTTCACGACTTGAAAACATAAAATAAGATAACTTGTAATGGCAACTTTGATTTTAAATAAATATATTTGGCAGTGCAGTAACAATTACCAGTATGAAATATTCAACCTTCAGCCATACACTTCTTTGGAACTTTTTGGGGCGAAACTGAAAAATTTTACCAAAGTTTTGTCAAAATCCGTTAAGAATTGGGCCTTCTAGAGTTTTTAAAGGCTAAAACTTGAACGCTTTTTCAAGAACAGGGGCTATCATATTAAGAGTTTTTTTTTCTGATTTTCAATAGGGTTTATCCTTGGGTGATAACAAACACTAACACCCAGTTTCGTCAAAATCTATCCAGAATTGTGCCTTCTAGAGTGTTGACGAACTAAAAATTGAACGCATTTTCAAGAACAAGGGCAATAACTCATACTAAATATTTTTTCGATTTTTCTGAATTTCGATAGGGTTATCCTTTGGTAAACACTCACACTAGGTTGATCCGCCAAGAATTGCGCCCTTTAGAGTGTTTACGAGCTAAAAATTGAACGCGTTTAAAAAAACAAGGGCAATAACTCATACTAAACATTTTTCGATTCTTCTGGGTTCATCATTGGGTGATAAAAAAACTTTCATACCAAGTTTCGTCAAAATCCGTCAAGAATTGTGCCTCCTAGAGTGTTTACGAGCAATTGTGGACAGACCTACAGACGGACGCCAATATACGCCACCATTTCATGTGGGCGTATAAAAAGAACAATTCAAAGGTAGCATTTTCTTCAATTCATTTCAATCAAATTTAAGCATAATCAGAAATATATCATTTAAGATACCTCGTCTTTAAAAATTAAAATTTCTCTATAGCTGTTGTATAATATGTACAATGGGACAATTCTATTTGCACCACTTCCATTTTTCGTAGGATCTACATTGTTCTAATAGGATATACCATAATAATTTCATATCAAACACAGCATTGAAGATAATGAATATCCTAGACGAGGTATGAGTTCAGACAGAAATTTTCAACCCTGGATTACAAGTATTCGTATCTCGATATGCACAGTTGCACACCAAAAATGTCGATGCATAAAATGTAAAAGGCCGCTACAAAACTTACGTTCTACATCGATAACCATCCATATAGCAATGAGCAACTATAATATGTGATGATTTTAAGAATATAATCTTAGCTTTACTACCCTTTATCAAACTGATTTTGTCTAAATACGTCATTGTGGTTAATGGAATCTTCATAATATTTACATGATAAATGGGGACAAAGAGTACATGGGGGTTCATAATTGGAATTAACTTGATAAATCTCAAGTAGGTATTTCCTGAATCAAACAGCTCATGCATCAAACGTTTTGTCATTCGAACAATCTCTTAAGAAACCTATATCTTGCCGTTACATTACAGTATTTTGCTGGTGTTTAGGGAGATTAATCCGGAATGAAGCTGTTGAGCAATTCACAAATTTCTTTTACTTCAAGATACAGATTCGCCATTTTCGGGGGCTAATTTGGGTCTTGAATATTTGTAAATAGTCTTCAAAAGTACTTTAAATATATATGGAAGAGTCTCAAGATAAGACGAGTCGTCTTTCTTAACTTTGTAACTGCTATAATAATGCTATCAGTGTTTCCGATACACATACAATTTAAGAAAGCCTCTTTACAATCTCTAAACCCAGACTCTCCTGCTACAGACTGTGTAGTATGCACGATAAAAAAAAGATGGCAGACTAATGCAACAGCAATATTTCCCTCGTTGTCCGTCTTCATTAGTCAAAGCAATAAGTAAAACAAGAACTATAAACACAATACCTACCTATGAGGGTGTAGTAATGACGGTGTTAGCAGTTGGTGTTCTATCACTGAGAGCCAATTTCTGTCTGATGAAACTTGTTGAATGTATCTTATTTTTACAAAAATTCGTGGAAAAGGGGAATTTGTGATGAATAATTCATTTTGAGAGAATAGGGGTTACCCCTTATACATGACTAACGCCCTTGCTATTTGATAGTTATTTAAACAATTTGTATTTAATAGACACGCTGATGTATAATTATATTTCATACATTATTTTATATATAGATAAAAGTGTGTTTATAACATTGAGGTTTTTCCGATATCCGATATTAAGATAATTTCCTTAATATTTGTTTGCTGACGAAATAGTACGTGAAGGCCAAAAATACTCCTTCAATTACATTTTCACGTGGAGTTATCCATGAGACAAAAACAAACAAACACACACAGGAAACACTGCTGTTAGTATCAGAAAGGTTTAATTGCTGCGTGACTCGTCGTATATCTTTCGAGTCAGTTGACAGTCCCCACCCCACACCGTAACTGGAAAAGGGTTGTCTAAAGGTAAATGACGGAATCAATTTTGCAGGATTCATCGTAGGTATGAGTAATCAAAAGGTGTAATTCTTTAAAATTGAAAAAACCGAAATATTAGACGACGTTGCGTCAGTCTTATGAAACTATGAAAGATTATCTTAGCATAAAATCGTATTTACATCATTTGTAATTTTTTACATTTATACATTTGTCAGTGTTCCCAAATGAAACGAATAGAGTTTTACGTCCTAGTTTTTCTGCACCCGATCAGACTAATGAAAACGTGCAATGAGAAAAATTTTGCCTGCTAGTTTTCGGAGGGATTTTTAACGTGCACAGCACGAACTATATCGCTTAGATTTCAAACGGTAATCCAACGGTAATAACTCAACCTATGTCGAAAATATCTATATTTCGTAATTTTTCATACATTAGTGTCAATAAAGTCCAACTTTTTCTCGGTGATTTTCTCGACGGAAACGATATATTGACTTACTTGACAAAATATGCTTTTGGTCATACGGTTGCAGCCTATACTAACTGACAAAATAAACAAATTTGACTTAATGGAAATTCGACCTTAATACCCACAATTATTGCAATAAGATATTGTTGATAGTAAACGGGTGACAAATTTCCCAGCCGCTTATCAAATAACATGGATAAAATAAATAGCCATCCTGTGACGTATTTCAGTCCATGAGTGTCTTTGTCTTGATTATTATAATCTGTGAAAATTTTAACCCCTTGCACTACTTGACCCCCCAATTCACAAGTAAACAAGGTTTATGACCATGATAGCGGGAATGGGATAGGTCCTGGAGTTTCTCTATCCACAGATTAGCTTTATGACACGCCGTCCACCGTGAAAGTTTTGTAAGCGCAACATATACAGCTATCTATTCGGTTTTACGGAAACGGTCTACTGTTAAAGATCTGCATGCAACAATTCATTCACGTTGATGAATGGCGGCATAGTTTGCCGGAACTAGGCTAGTATTGTTAATGTTACGTGATCACGTGATTCTTGTTGATCTAACATTAGAGGCTGATCGTTCGGGACTACAAGTGTCTGAAAACAAAATCGATAAAAACAAATATTACAAATAATATATGGATTCAAACCGATAGTCCCGTTTCTGAGACTAAAGCACAATTGGTCAAACGAGTGGCAAAACTGCCCCTGATGCACGAACGCTTTCATGTGACAAAGTCCCGGTTAGAAACACATCTATACCTGGATTCGCTCCTTCTTACAAAATATGTCACCGTAAACTTGATAAGAAACGGTTAAAACAGTTAACTAGTTAAAACACGAGTACCGGTAACAGAAATTCTGCTAGAAAGCGTGCCTATTGCTTCAAATATATCTATCAAAGGCAAGTTAGGAACACTATGTTTCGGACTATGTAAAGTAAACAAGGTCTGATGAGTAGTAATCAAGTCGAAGGTTATAATCACACAATAGAAAGTCTGCCCTAACTAGTGAAATTTACTCACCGAGCTTTATCGCTTGAGAGGCAGTTTGCTTTGTACATAGCAACCGGTAAGTCGACATTTTGAAATTATCTGAAATTCCTTTTAAGTTTTAATATAATTCAGCCCCCACTGTCCTGTTTTTGAAAAGCTAACGTTGAATATTTGAATAAAAGATATAAGAATACGAATTTTCAAAGTAAAAATGAATGGAAAACAAATGAATTTATGTGAGTGTAAGGGGGGGGGGGGGCTATTTATATGCGTTACCAAAACTCTAGTACTCCTGAGGGGAAAATAGACAGTAGCTCAACTAGATGAGTGGGACCTATGGACTTCAGTAGCTTGGAGCCCCTCCCCCGGGAATTTGACTTTAACATGTTCTCCTGCAGTGTGAGTCAATTTAATGCATCGGTCCGACAACTTCTTTCTGTTAAATTTGAGCTCTACAACAATGATTACTCGATCACGAAAGGCCGTGTCCTCTCTACCAGGGAAAATGCAATCGGTCTAGCCTTCAGGTTAAATTATGTCCCCAGTGTCGAAACCTTGTTCAGAAATGGGAATATCCATGAAAAATTTTCGACACGCTGAATACATGTATATCTAAATATGTCTCTGACTGTCTTCTGCCCTGGTACATGTACTCTGAATTGAGACAGGGTTCCTTTTAATTTTGATATTTTTGTCTCATTTCAGGTCAGGGGCTCAATAGCGGTCTTTACTATTGAGTTAATACACCAATGGTTGGGATATCATCCCTTTTGAGGTAAGTACATCCCTATGATTTATCAAGAGTGTATGAGTAAGATGACATGTAACCTTTGATACAATAGTTATTACAGATATTATTTTAAGTCATGTCCTGAAGTGACCAAAGTTTAATCTTCTATTGTTGATCTTTTGCTTCCGGAAACAAGCATTATGTTTTAAATTTGAAAATGGATACATATTGGATTAATTGAGTTTATCAGCTAGTATATATAACCATATCGCTTTTATTAAATACATAATACCAGTAAAAGAAATTCAATTGTTTTTGTTATTTTTCAGGGTTCCAAGTAAAGTAGCTCGTCTTCAGCTACGGACAGTATAGTTAGATATGGTGTGCAACCTAGGTTTTTGGAGGTAGTTCACAAGGAGCAAAATTTTCTCGTGCATTGGGTTCGTTTCGTGTATAGTTTAGTTGTGGCAGCCTGTGGGCTACCTTGTTAGGGCCACCTAGGTTGTACATGGCCATCATCATGTCCACCCAGCCTCTCTTGGAACAAATGGAGGTAAGTTATGAGTCATTATTTCATAATAGTCAGAAACTTGTTGACTTCTACCGGGTCTCTGATTTATTAAGGGTGTGCGAGTCTACTTCATTTATAACCCTTGATCCAACGGGCTTTTATTCCTGTCATTTAGAAATGATACCCCCCTGCTTGCAGGATCAAGGGTACATTTACCAGAAGGCTCATTCACCTTTTATAAATCAAGATGAGCCTTCAATATTCTCAATTTGCATGTTGGGGGGAAACAGACGCTGTTATGGGGGTGGGGGGATACAGGATTTCCGCTTTCGGCTACATTGTGGGAAAATGGTTCCAAATGGCAAAATATTTTGAATTCGCTAAGTGGAAAATCTTTATTGCAATAAGTCAACATGTTTCAGACTATTATTAGAAATGCACATGGAAACCAAAATAAGATTTGCAAATTGATTATGTGATTCTGTTCTGTTTGCTTCAAGAAGTTGGAAAATAACATTATTCTGTATTATGGTCATCTTCACAATGTCAAGCAATTAGAACCTTCAACTTATACTTTGACTCCAATAGCCACCTTCTTGTATCATTGAGGTTTGTTAATGCAGTGATTTGTTTGGATCGTACTCTACCAAACAACCAGGCTTATAATCCAACCAAACTACTGTATCCCGTTTTACAAGAAAGGCGGCTTTTTGAGTCATGGTATAAGCCGAAGGTCGTAATAGCTTGACATTGTATTATGGTTACTTCACCCGTTTCTTGATCTAACACCTTTTTATTGTTCACTGTTTCAACGAATTATGCTTTTTTTTGATGAAATAAATTATGTATGATGTTTCAATAATTTTAGGTGTGTACAGATCGAACTTCATTATAAAGAAATAAAGGTGCTAAGAGCGTGGCATGGAAGTTCATCACGTAAGTTTCAAATTAAGCATATTTTAACTATCGAGTTATGGCTTTTCATGGCATTTCTTTCATTTTCTGGACGTTTTGTTCAAATTTTATGGTGACTCATAGTGTCACAAACTTTGCAAGTTAAAGATCCCTTGATATGTAGGCTAGTTAATAACACTTTCCATGCAAAATTACCTTCATTAAAAAGCACATTCTTGTAGACCATGTCTGTCTGTTTATCCATCAATTCTAACTCTGT